TTGTGCTCGGGTTTTGGGCACTGTGACCACAGCAGGTAATCCTTTTTTTGACCAGGCCATACTACGTTTTAAATTAATGTGAAATGCAGACTCATCGAGAAAGACGCAATTAGTTCTAAAGTCCATGTCCGTACACTCCCACTTATGAACCCAGTCAAAACGCTCCTGAATTTTTTCTTCACTGTTCCTATTTACAAGCTGAAATTGGGCTTTTTTGAATGACAAGTTGCATTCAGTTCTTACAAAATTGTGGACAGTGCTTTTAGAGACCTTGAGATCCTGAAACTTTTGTAGTAGCCGTTCCATTACTTGCTCCAAGGCGGCTGAAGGATCTTCGTCTACCAATTCTTTATTCTCTTTTGACCTGCCTCGGGCGAAGAAGATATATTATTATCGCGCGCCCACTTGAGGCTTTAATTGTAAATAAAACTGTTTAACCGTATAACAATAGAAAGAAGTTACAATACTGATCTAAATGCATCGGAATGAGCTACTGAGTAGTCAAGGCTGATTATTTTGCTAATCAAAATTGTAAGATTGATGCAAAGATAGAGACAGGTAAAAGAATAGTTTATTCGTCTACCCTAAGTGTTGTAGTTGTAGAGCGTTACCTTTTGACGCGAATGTATGTTGGTGATAGACTTCATTTTGAGTATTTTTATTTATTTATTTTTACTATTGCTTCTGGCTGATTTCACGATATGATATCACTTTATGATAGCGTGAAGTGGATACTTTTAAAAAAGAAGAATCATGCGATATCTGCGGGAGTAACATTTGTGAAAAGGACAAGTGCTTTCTCCTCTAACTTTTGCACTCTTGCCTTCTCTATTCTATTTTCTTTTTCAGCATACAGTGTCTGATAAGTTGCCCATTTTAGATTTACCCACAAGCGAAACAACTTTTTAAAGGCAAGTAGAGTATAAAAATGGATGACATGGCTTGTATTCGTATGCTTAATGTAGTAACATTGTGAAGCAAACCATTACTGACATTTTAGATTCTTAGTGAAAAAAAAAAAGAAAGCGATATAGAAAAGATAGAAACTGAATCTGCTTACCTTTATACCATTTCCTTTTTTTACGTGCTCAGATAGTAAATATGGTGTATTTTGTTCTACTCTCTATTTGTTTATACATGATATATATGTCAAAGGTATCAAGTGGATAGCTTGCTATAGCAGCCATACACCATGTTTGTCTTTCTCCAAATTATCTGTTATTTTAATTCATTTTATACTTTGGTGTTCTGCTTGTTGTATTTCAAGCCAGTAAATTAAGCTATGGTAGATGCAGATTATGATATGATGCTATGGTTACAGTGTTTTCATGCTACCTTCAATGTAACATAGCGCAAAAACCAAACTACATCTGGAAAACCATTTTATCGCATCGTTAGTTTCCAAGCGCTTTTAATCTTTTCCGCTTTATCTTCCATACGATGAAGCTTCTTTGGTAACCACTGAGGATCTTTATGTGGGATTTAACATTTCTTTCGTAATACAAGGACCGCATAGTGGTTACACTACCCCCTTAATTTCCTTTCTTATCGACACTGCCGACATTACTATTATGTGTAATGACCAAGAATAAGTTTAAAACTAAAGGCAAGACAAAGGCAAACGCAGAAGAAAAGCGAGAAGAGCATATCTTACTTATTATTAGCTCACATTGATCAAGACGCGTCCATTGAATAATTGTAAAAAAAAGAGCGCGAGAACTTAGACACAATTATTTTCAAGAATGTTCAAGCAGATTATTTTATTTTTAAAAAGGGAAGGGGAAAGACCACTAGTGTTCAGTATATGACAACCTTTGAAGGCACAGTAAAGCCAACAAGAGAAGAACAAGGACAAGGTGACCTTAACCATATTACAAGTCTCTCTGTGTTGCCCTTAAAGTGTGCTTCTTGGGTGATCAGATACATTCCAAAAGCTTGCCTAGTGAGCAGCACCAATCTTAGAAATTTGAAGAATGCAAAGGAGTCTAAAAGACAATGAGTAGAACCAAGATGAGAACCTACAAACCCTCGACCGCCCCATACACGTGTTAGAATTAAGATAAAAGGACCATAAATAATTTCGATCACTTCCCTGGAAATTACTGAGAACCATAGATAAAGCTTGCTTGAGACATTTGAAGATATAAGAAAGAATAATTTGAATAAAGGAGGGGGGAAGTTGTATCCTTTTATACCTTTTAAGCCTTCTCTATGGGAATGTATTTTTGCTCATACAAAACAAAGAAGCAATCAAAGTTTCTTTGTCTCCTTCTCCCCTTATCTTTAACCCAAAATGGACTAAATGCATTTTTTAAAAAACTCACACACACAAATATCTGCTCTCCTTTGAAAGTTTTTTGTCCTTTTTTTTTGAAGTACACGTTTGGCCTAAAAGATACTCCTTGCCTTCATTCTTATTATTTGCATTGCTTCATCTATTGCTTTGGTTGTGACCTGAATTCAGGCTAAAGCATATTTAAGCTAGTTACTCTCTTCTATGTTTTATTGATAGTCCATCATGAAACATAATCCATTACAAAAATGGAAAACCTGAGTCAACTCCCTTTGGTGCGCAACCCAAATATACATTGCATCCTGCCCTTAATCAAGCTTTTTTTTTTTTGTTTACATCTCAAAGCCAAGAGAAAAAGCCTGAAAGTCATAAAAATAAATCCAAAATATGAAAAAGAAGGAGATGAACATATAATTCATGCAGCCTATATGAACGCCTTTGAGTAATATAAAGGGAATAAAGCAACTACTGATGATTCCAGTCAATGCCCTTTATTCTTTATCATCAATATGACCATAACTAAAGCCTGTATTCATCCCTATAGTAGCTATAGGATTTTATCATCAGCCTCCTGTGGTATTTCTATCGTAAGTGCAAATAATTATAATGAAGGATATGTATAGAGTCGTCTTTTGGCTTACTTTGCTATTTATTTCTATACTATCATATTTTACTAAATGATTATACTGATTTAATTACTGACGCTCATCAAAGGAAACTGCTTCGATTTACATGCTTACCTAAATATTTGTCGACAGGAGCCTGGTTCCTTCTTATATATGCATATTTCCCAAATACTTATCCTCTAGTATCACAGCGGCACCTTGGCTGCTTCATAGTTTTGCATAAGGTTTTCGCTTTGTTTCTCCCATCATATTCCGCTTATTCTAAAATATAACGTATAATCGTAATGTGAGGCGCGTTTGTAAATGCGAAAGTAACACCTCTTAATTGATATATTTTACGACAAATTAAATAAACTCTTGAAGCAGTCTTTCACAACTTTTGCAGTCGTGCTTCATGCACTGAGCATGCAAGAGTAGAAAAAGAAGCTAGTATTACTTTTTCGTCGCCTCAGCGTTGAGAAAAGTGACAAATAGAGCACGCTTGGCTGATTTAGTAATGGAAATACACATATGGTTATTTGAGTCGTCAAAAGAAACGAACGAAAAATTTTGTTTTTGTAGAGATCAGTTTTTTTAAGAGATACTTGAAGACCATTTTTTGTGTCCTTAGGGTTTAACTTTATTTTTCTTGAAGGCTTTTTATATTGTCCTTACAGCTAGACTGAACTGCTTAAGAAGAATCCATGAGCGCTTATGAGGCATTTTTATGGAACAGAAGGCTCGACCTTATTGAATTTCTAGCTAGAAAGCTCCTTCGTTTGTTTATTTTCTATCTTTTTGCCCTTGGAATGGCTTACTTTGAAAAAAAAGAAATAGTTAATTGGCAAGTAGCCTATAGTACTTTATTGACTTTACATCCAATGTCAAATTTTTATGGGTAATCAGGGAACGTAGTATCATAATTAACGACAGATGAGTTGTTGCTGGCTTTATTATTGGAAATAGGCGCAACATTAAATGATGTGTCAAAAACAAAGAAAAAAAAAAGAAAGAAAGCTTCAGCTGACTGAATAAAGTGTCGTGCTAAAGGCTCAACAATAAAAGCATCTGAATCATTCAAAGATATCTTGACTTCGTTATGAGCAGCAGTGCGTAAAGATGGTCCAGATCTTGGACGATTAGGGAGGCGTAGATCTTTACCAGAATAGAAATGCTCGTAACAGGGTTTAGAACTGGGGATGGCATGGCAAAAACCATTAGCATATGGCTGTTTAATAAAATGGTTTATGCAGCTAGCATGTGCTCTGCAGCTTAGTAAATCTCTTTGTCGTTTTGGCTTTAATACTGTAGCAATGAATGATACCATATTTATTACCATTTTCGTTCTTGTATCTGCCCTCAGGGCTTTTTAAAAAAGCTACTTATTGCTATTTAAGGATTCACTCGAAACGTCATCTACAAGATGACTTTCCATTATTCTAAAGGTCTGGTTATTGTCCTTTCATATACATTTGCTTCTCAAAGAAGATTTATGCCAGTAGTTCATGTAGTTTATCTTCAAAAGAGCACCACCCTCAATGCCATTAGTCGACTAATGTCTTCTTTAAACTGAAAGCATCGCTGGTAATTTCTTCTTTCAAATAGCCATTTTGATGGTGATAATGTAAATTTGTCATTTTAATGAAAAATAAAAGAGATTCAGCCTTCTAGTGCTTCTGTAGAGTTAATCTTACAAACTTTGTAATCAAAGAAAGGTGTTTTTATTAGAAAGAATAATTTAAATCATTTATCTAATAGGTTATATGCGGTAACAATGGTATACGCGATGTCATTGTGAACATAGGTGTGCTCTCGATAATCAGGTGTTACAAGATAGTCTAATAGAAGCGATATACCTGAATTTAATTTATGTGTGAAGCTAGCTCGATATATATCATGACTGTAATACGTATAGACCATCCAATTTACTTTTCTTCTAATCTATATTCAGTAAAATTTGAATTGTTGCACCTCCACAGACTCATAAAGGCTCTTCATCACACGATCATTTAAAGTAAATCATGTAGCACTAATACTTGTAAATATTATGAATATTTTATTATGACCAGCAAATAAGCGTAGTAAGAATATATAGGTGCTAAAAGCACACGATTAAAAAGATTAGGTATTTCTTCTTTCAGGAGGCTGCCAGAGCCAATCACGGATAGAATCGTCTTTTGATTGATTTAACGGTATTTCGGATGTATTTGTTAATGGTCTGTACATATCGCTCTCTTGCCTTTCCCATGATGGACGATAGGGTGAGATAGTTCGCTGTTCATTGTGAATATATGAGCTATTATCATAGGGATGCCGCATGCTTGAGACTGGAGAAGAGGTTTCGTGTCGACTACTGACACTATCATGATGGATGTGTCCTGTAGTAATTGGTTGAAAAGCCATCTTCTGCTGAATAGATTGTTGCTTAATTGGAGGAAGGTCGACCATAGAAAACATGACAGGTTTGTTTGTATAAGGATCCTCTACAGCTATATTGCGTGGTTGATGCATCTGAGATGAGAATGGCCCTGGACCGCTAACCACATTACTAGATATAGATTGAGAGTATCCGGGACTTGGAGCTTGCCGAGCAATAGTACTATTGTTGGTTGTCAATTCTAATGCCTTTCCTGCATACTGCATACTCGAGTCATCATGGGTGGACTCATCCGCGTTGCGACTAGCATACTGAGCACGTGGATGGAAAATGGATATCTGAAGGTGTCAGTGGTTAGTATCAAAGGGTAGATAAAAAGCACAAGTATAACATTTGATAACTTACAAGAATAATCAAGAGGTAAACCGTGCATACATTTGTATTTGCCATGATCGCATCTATAGCAAACTTGTTCTGATTGATCACTGGGTTAGGCAATAATCCATCAACACAAAGAATGATGAAGCCAATACTATAGATGAAGAGTATGACTGTCATAAGCCTATTCATATCCTTGAAGTAAGATAGCTTGATTATAATATTTTTACGCCCACTCGCATTGTTCTTTTGAGTTATCCCAATCAATCGCTTAAAACGGAAATGGGTACGTACGCCCAAGCATGCCACAAGAAGTGCTATTGGTAGACTGTGTTGAATAACAAGTTGTAATATGTAAAAGTTTCCTTACCTTCACAAGAATAGGTGAGTTGTGGAATAGCCTCTCTTTTGATAGGATCATCTCTAAATGCCCATTGAAGAATAGGATAGGTAGCGACACTGACTAATGCCCTAGAATAAAGGAATGAATTTCCCATGGTTTCTTTTCAGAATAAAATGAGGAGTACCAAACAATATAAAACCTAAATTCGAATGAACTCATAAATGTCTTTTTAGCCACGACATTTGAGAGATAGTTCCAAAATGATTGAAGAAGTAAGAAAATGCCTGCTTCTATTGAGAAAGTGACGCATTGGACATAATCAAACGCCTATGGATGTAAGCAAAGGACGTTGGTTGGTGAGATGATCGTGCTACAAGATCTGTAGGACAATGGGTCCTTACCTCCGCTTTTTGTTGATGAGAAGGAGTCCAGAGAATAAAAGGTTTTGTTATGATAGTTCCATGATAGTTGAAATATCCTTCCTGGTATTTTAGATAGGCCAGTAGAATGTCTATTAAAGATTAATATATTCCATTGTAATGAATAAACAGTGATAAGTTACCCCACATAAATTGTAACGTTAGCATCAGTATTAATAAAACAGTGATGATCGATTTCAATTCACCAGCAAGTATTGATTTTAATCTTAGACATCTAAATCTATCTCCTCTGTATATGCTATAGGTTAAATAAACAGAGATGCAGAACCAAATAGGGCATCTTTCTAGAATAAAGTTATTAATAAAAAAAGAGAGTTCATTGTCTTTGAATAATCATTTTACGCAAATATGTCATATCACTATTAATAAGTGTTATAAAGTCGCATAATGAACAAGTTATCACTACGTTACCTTAGGTGGGTCATTTTGGCCTCAAAGCAGAGAGAAATGTAGAAAAGAAAGAAAAGGACGCAAAAATAATTTTAGGCAACAATTTCCTGTGGTACAATTGGTACAAACAGATCTTGTAACACTCGTTTATATTTGGCCAACAGGGCCGATCAAATAGCCTCTCTTAATAGGATTAGTACATTGTAAGAAGTAGATCAGTTAGCAAAGGTCGATGTTGTCATAACAGCTAAATTAAGTAATTAAAAGTGCCAAGATACATAAGCATCTCATTGTTTATACTCTCAGTACACTTCCTTTTTAAGGGTTTTAAGATGGAGTGTTGTGTATGAATTATCTTTCTGATTTGCTTTTATCAGCGTTATTATAATATCCCATATTTCTATAGTCAAAAATAGAACACGATAAAAGATGTCGTAAGGTTCTATTGCTATTATAGACATCCCTTAGAACAGTACTAGCGCTAATGACATGTCCGTGTGTCTATTTCAAATGTTCAACATGGCTACATGTAGCTGTCTGATTTACACACATTAGTATATGTGATCTTCTTTTTGCCAACATTTCAAAAGGAACAAGTTTTTGTATAATGCAAAGGTGTGACATCTATAAGGGCAAGTCACCCCTTTTGAGAGCTAATAATAATGGCTTACATATGATATTATTGACACCAGCTATTTTTAAAGATACTTTTCCCCTTTCTTTTATCTCAGCACGAGTACAATTACCAAATGTGGACAATTTATACGGAGCCTTAATGCGTTTTTAAGGTTGAAAAAAAGTTAAAGACACAGCTCTTCCTTCTTTTTCAACAATAAAAACACATCAAATGAAACTCAGTTTATTGTTTACATCGCTTTCTGCCATCTTTTATCTCGCTTCAGCCGATACAAATGAAGGATCTGTTCTCGTCAAGAGAGATCACGGCCTTCCTTACAGCTCTTTACCTTCAACGACATGTTCTGTACCAGCAACTTGCAGCAATATTGGCAGTAGCGTTAATTGTCGATGCAGTGATCAAATCACTGTTTGTATCAACAGCAACAATCAATACTGCTGGGGATCACAAACATTGACTTCAACCTCATGCCCTAGTGCACCTTCTTCATGTGGATTATCTGGATCTCAAAGTAGCTGTCTCTGTAATTCCAACAATATTCTCTGTGCAGACAATGCCAATAATTACTGTTATGGCACTATCAGCGCAGGTTCAGTTACCCTCACTGGTCTTCCTAACGCATCTGGTGGCCTCACTCCTGGCGCATCTGTATCTGCTAATGTCACTTCCCCTTCTAGCTCTGTACCTGCTTCATCCTCTACCCCTGCTTCTACAAATGTTGCTGGTTTTACTACCATCAATGCTCCTACCAACGTTGTTACAACATCACCTACTCCCACCAATGACGCACAAAGCACGAGTGTAAAAGCACTATTGACATTAGGATGTATCTTGGTTGCTTATATTGCCAGTAACTAAGCAACATACTTTGTCTACTCCTTGACTTTCTCCTTACACAAATCAATTTATTTTATTTTATTAAATTGAAAAAAAAAATCATTTTTTACATATAATCACGTCAATATACAGCATAGAAGGTATTCATTTTTTTTCTATAAAACATACAAAAATAGTTTTATTTCATTACAAAAACATAAAAAATTAATTTATTCCATGTTACATTATAAAATAGTCTTTTTTTTGCTGTTTTTTTTTTTTCCTTTTTTACTCTTTCTTGTTTGGTCTCCTTTTTTTTTTTCTCGACATTCTGATCTCTTAAAAATAGTTTTTGGCATCTTTCTTTTCCTTTTTTCTTTTATTTCTTTATTTTCTGTGTGTCAAGACGAAATCAAATGTTATTTAGATTACAGAATTTAGATTCGATCATTTTGTGTTACATAGTTTCACTTAAATTGCCTTGGCAACAAGGGGAACTTGAAAGCCCTGTATCAAAAAAAAAAGACTAGCTTGAGGATGTTGAAGTCCAGCTGTTGCCATTTATGATGGTTTGGAGCTGCCAAAAATAAACTTTGTATTATAAGGTAACGTCTCTGTACTTAAGAGGAAAAAGAAAGTGTCATTGCTCATCCAATTCATGTTTATAAACATTCTCTTATAAAATTAATGACTTGTTTACGCTAGAAGACGTTCCAGAAGCGCGTAAGATTTGTTTTATTCTCTTTTTGAAAATTTAATTGTATCTAATGTGTTTAGAGGTAATGAAACATAAGATTTTGACTGCCTATAATATCGAAGCCATAGATTAGTAACCCATTGATTCATTATTCTAACACCAAAGAAGATAGGAATACGATCCGTTGCGCTCTTCTGAACAGGCTGTGGTCTGGCGGCAGAAGCCATGATGATATACTAATAAAGTCAGCAATTACTCCTTCCTTTTTTTTTCCCTTCTACACCTACAGTTGGATAAATTAAAGCAAACACAGCACTAGCTTTAAGTGTGGACAGAAAAAATGTCAAAATAGCGCCCGGTAATCCTAAGAAAGACCGGGTTTATATCTTGTTTCTCCTGTCATAGATGACCCTTACCAAATCCGAGATAATAACTCCAATGCTCTTCCGCAAATGTCAGTCGTTTTTCTATAGACCAATCATGCTTCATCCACTTGTATTCAAAACAGTAATAAGACATGACGATACAATAAATGATGAACGCTAGAACTGAGCCGACGACTGGTATCATCTTTAATAGCAAGGCAAAAAGGGCCATATTACCATACAACATAATGACGCTGAGATTATTATTATTATCAAAACTACCTCCAGTAGTATTTTGTTCAAATTGGGCTATCTTTGCGTATAATCTAGAATTAAATACGAGACATACTAGACTGAGTGGGTAACCTGTCAAGTCCTACAGTACCCCTCTCTTAATACTGATCCAATGTGTTGATGAATCAATCTTACTATGTATGAGTATCCAAATATATGATGGTTTGGATAAAATGTTTCCAACAAGACAAGAGTGCCCAGGTATATGACGCCATTGAGAGTAAAGCTCTTGATCAGCGTGTACTGTGTTTGTTTAGATCTATAAACCATTAGAATTGACCATCTAAGCTGTGTCTAAATCCTCATATTTACGAACTAATCAAACGAATGACACGAGACCAATTGAAAGCTTCCTTGATTCCTTCAACAAAATAAGTGACATGAGCAAAAGAAACCATTATTTATGAATTTTTCTGAAAAAGGAGCATCCCGCTCCCTTTTTTTTTTCTCTCTTTTTTATAATTCACAAACATGCAGACACACCTACTGTTGAGAGAGTATCCGAGAGCACTAGCATTACGACCTACAGTCCTTGAAGAAGCTCCTTCTGGAGTTCTTGTTTTGCAAGCACATGAGGAACAACAAAACAAGGCGATTGCTAAACTGTATAGTCCTAATGAATTTGAAGATTCCGAATGGCGCATATTGAATTCACGTCCTGTCTTTGGTTGCTTGGGACTCATTACGGTTCAATCAGGTAATTGCATCTTTATCTTATTATTGACATAATCCATATTTGGTTTTCAATAGATTGCTTTGTGGCTATTGTTACAGACTGTGTGTCAGTAGGAAGGATAAGAGCTGGAGAAGAGGTATATAAGATCCAGTCTGTATCATTCTATTCACTATCATCTGGGAGATATGATGACTTTATGGATTTCTCATACAACAACGGATATGACAGTGATGACTTTGATAACAACGTGCAGCATCCGTGTGCTCAATTACAAAAACTATTATCAGTTGGCAATTTCTATTTTACACCTGATTTTGATCTAACAAAGACAGTGCAAGCAAGGTAAGCTACATTTATTTTTTGGAAGTGCTCTTTTGATGATTTGTCTTTTTCTAGAACTTCAGTTGCTTCATCTGGTGTTTATTCTTTTGATCAGCATTTTTTGTGGAACCAATTCATGATCTCTGGTTTGCTTGAATTTAGGTCAAAGCTGGATAGGAAAAAGCAAATGGATCTCGACAGAGGAGGATTTTTGGTAAGTTATCCACATCAAAATTTACATTGATCAGCTGGACTGATAAACACTAGATATTCGCAATTAGAGGATATGTGGGGGTAGAAACAATAAGAATAGACCATGATCGATATGAGTTATCAGTTATTTCCAAATTAAGCTGTCAGCGTGCTGGAACCCGATTTAACTCGAGAGGAATAGATGACAATGGTCATGTAGCTAATTTTGTAGAGGTAAAGACGATAAACATGATGATAAGCGTATGAATCTCATTCCTGTTGCATAGACAGAAACAATATTTTACTCTGATAGAATATGTTATTCATACACACAAATTAGAGGAAGCGTTCCAGGTACAAGTTGATAACTCTATTCGCTTACTTTTTGCTGATAGTTTTTGCTATAGTATTCTGGGAACAACAAGGCATGCAGTTAGTACAGCACAAGATACAAATTTCAAGAGGACCAGGAGCAACACTCCCAGCAGTCAAACGACACTTTGACGAATTAATCAACCGTTATAAGCACGTCTGCAACGTTAATCTTTTATCACAAAAGGAAGGCACAGCATCTGGAGAAAGTCTACTGAGCACTGCGTTCAACACAGCCATTCACCAACTTAAAGGCTACGAAGACAAGGTTCGCATGATCAATTTTGACCTTCACGCAGAATGTCGAGGCGGCAACTATGATAATGTGGTGTACCTGATGAACGACTTGGAAAGCATTATAGACGAATATGGTTATTTCTTGATGGATACAGAGGATAATCAAATCGTGTGTAAGCAAAAAGGCGTCTTTCGTACCAATTGCATGGACTGTTTGGATCGCACAAATCTTGTTCAAAACGAGATTTCGAAACGATTACTACTCAATTACTTGTACAGTCGCTTTAGAAACAGTCGATCTTCCCAAATTGAACATCTTATGGCGCGTCATTCACACTTATGGGCAGAGAATGGTGATGGGCTCTCCAAGATATACGCAGGCACAGGTGCCCTAAAATCATCCTTTACCAGAACGGGTAAAGTGACGTTTATGAACGTACTTAGTGACGCCACTCGATCCGTCAACAGATTCTATATCAATAATTTCCAGGATAAGGCCAGACAGGAAGTTATCGATTTATTGCTGGGTAAATTAGCAAATCAAATGATGATTGCTATACATGACCCACTCAGCGATTCTGTCACACAGCAACTGACAAAGAGAGTGAAGGAGTATTCAAAGAGTCGAAAAATAACCATACTATGTGGGTCATATAATTTGAATGGAAGGGCATTTAAAGGGGAATTATTAGATTCATGGCTACTACAGCACTTTAAATGTAAGTAAGAACACAAATCAAGGTGATGCTTAACTTTTATATATATTTGTAGCGGGAAACACCGAAGAGCCTGATATCTACGCCATTGGATTTCAAGAAATAGTTGAGCTATCACCTCAGCAAGTGATGGCGACAGACGCCGAAACAAGGTAGTATCAGATGGGTTACATTTACTAGTTTATAATTCACACAAATGTTTAGAAAAGTGTGGGAAGATCAAATTGAGCATACCTTAAACTCACGGCCAGGAGGGAAATCAAAGTACACACTGCTTCGGTCAAATCAACTAGTAGGGGCTGCTCTCGTTATCTTTGCAAAATCAAGTATTGTGGACGAAATTAGAAATGTAGAAAGTTCGATAAAGAAGGTAAGACGTAACTAATGGAACTATCCCCCCTCCCCTGATGCATTATAGACGGGTATTATGGGAATGGCAGGAAATAAAGGGGCAGTGGCCATTCGTATGGATTATGGTGATACTAGTTTTTGCTTTGTTGCAGCACATTTTGCTTCAGGTAGGGTAAATGTTGAATATCCCACAATGATAATAATGCCTCCTTTTTTGGATAGGTCAAGCTAATGTGGAGGATCGCAATAGTGACTTTTATACCATTAACGAAGGCCTGCGCTTCTTGAGGGGAAGAACGATAGATAGTCATGAGTAAGTTATAAATCGAAAAGAGGCAATAATGACTAATCATGTTATAGCAATATTGTATGGGTTAGTGATCTCAATTACAGAGTATCTTTATCTAACTTAGAGGCAAGTCGTCATGTGAGCTCAAAAATAAAAAAAAAGTGGACTTATTTCTCCTTTAGGCTCGAGAATATGTATATCAAGGAAATATCGAAGCGTTACTCCATCATGATCAGGTAATGAGAATAAACAGAAAAAGAAGGCCTACATATACTCATGAGAATAATTATTAGCTTATACGTGAAATGAACCAAGGCAATGTCTTTCCAGGATATAAAGAGGGTTTGATCACCTTTTTACCTACTTACAAGTACGATGTTGGCACAGACATCTATGATACCAGGTATAAATTAAGTATGTATTTACCAAAGAATATAAACCAACACATTCTTAATAGTGAAAAGCAAAGAATACCAGGATGGACGGATCGTATTTTGTATAAAGGAGGTCAGTTAAGACAGCTTCAATACTCTAGAGCAGAACTGTATACCTCAGATCATAGACCAGGTAAAATGTAAACATGTTGGGAATGCTAAAACTAACCAACAGGTTTATAGTATTTGCATTATTTGAAGCAGATGTAAGCCAAGTCTATAAATATAGTCTAATTTCTTCTTATTGTTACTATCATCACTAGGTCATCACATTAGATAAAGAAGCTAAATTCAAGTTACAAAAAGAGATTTACCAGAGTTTGAGTTCAATTGAGGTCCGACAGCATCCACCTGAACTGCCCAAGAGAAAGATGACTGCACCTTTGCCTGCTACGAAAGATCCACTTGTAGATGTTCTTATTGACATTTCACTTGATTCTCCGTCACAACGCTGTATGCTATTCTTTGTCTCATATAATTTAGAATGAACTAACCTTATTTATTAGTGCCACCACCTAGTACAGACATAAGGAAATGGTGGGAAGACGGAGAAGGTAAATAGGAATAAAGTAAAAAGAGAAAGATGGCTAATTAATAGCATAGGTCTACCAAAGGCAGACAAGAGTCAAGTCAATACTCAAAATCCATTTGAAGAAGGCTTGAGTAATAGTCATCTAACAGATGGTTCACTGATTTAGCATTAAAAAAAATGTACACATGCTCATTTTACTCTCTTCTCTTTCCTTATCTGAAACGGAGTATTAGTATCCGAAATGGACATAAACAGTAATGATCAGCCACTTGTGATATTTTTCATATCTCTCTCTTCTATTTCTTCTTAAATTAAAAATGCTCACTTTTTATCCTTAAAATGACGGTGTTCATTTTACGTTCCCTTACAACTGAGATCTTCTTTAGTCCCGCTTTCTTTTCGGAGTAAGCTTAATTTTTATTATAAATGCCCTGATTGTCCTGTCACTTGCTGTACAGAAAATCTGTTGAAATTCTCCTTTTGAAAATAGTGTATCACAATGAATTTCGCGTGAAGGATCTAAAAGAATATTTGTTACACACTGTATTCATTAAACTTGTTTTTTTTTTTTTATATATGGCTTACGTTAATAGACCCAAACGAAGTCATTCACTTGCTCATCATAGATCCAAGTTACCAACTCCATCTACCCCATCACCTCAACCTACCTTAACACGATCCAGTTCACTTTCAACTCGGTCAACGGCATTACCCAAGGTATTTCTATTGTGTACGCATAGTTCAAGTAACATATTAATCGTACATAGTTGACTCGATCTTTGTCATTACCACAGAAACCAGTGAAACCTAATGTTGTCGTCATCACACCACCTACACGAACATCAAGTCTTCAAAAAGAATGTTATTTAGAATGGAAACATAGATCAGCATTTGACGAAGTTGACTGGGGGAATTTGTTTTCAGAATTCAATAAACTATGGCAAGACGACCAAGATATATTCGAATTCGAAGATACAGTTAGAGAAGAAGAAGCTAAAAGAATAGCTGAAATGATTTGGAATCAAGATGAAAGTGTAATCAAGAGAAAAGACGTAGCCAGTTATCTAGGCAAAGAGTAATGCAATGATAATTCATATATAAACCATGTGCTGACATAGATTCATAGTGTGCCTTCTCACCATAAAGTACTTGTTTGTTATATGAATTACTTTAATTTTAAAGAAATGAGACTAGACGTTGCGTTTAGAAAGCTATGTAGCAAGCTATTCTTTAAAGCAGAGGCTCAAGAGATTGATAGAATACTCAAGGTGTTTGCTTATAAATATTGGACAGAGAACAATGATCCATTGTATATGAATGCAGACACAGTCTATGCGATCACTTACTCTATGATGTTATTAAACACAGATTTATATGTCATTCAGTCTAATCAACACACAAAAATGACGTGCGAATCATTTTGTAATAACGTTATTTCTACACTAAGCGAGTTTGCAGATATTCAAGGACGTGAAATAGCATTAAGGCAACATTTAGCAGTAAGTCATAAAATGATACTCTCCAATTGTATTAATCGCCCGAGATAGGATATTTATACTTCCATAAGGCAGCGGGGAATTCTTCAGCCAAAGTTATCAAGTAAATCAATACTCAGAAGAATTCATTCATCGTCAAAAAAGCATAGCTAATAAAATTCTCACGACTATTCAACAAAATGAGCATGATTTTTCTTTTTTTGGTAATAGTATCAAGGGATTTGTGTATCACATGCATACGTCAAATAGACAAGCGAATAAGATTGAATCCTCTTATCATTACTTTATATGGTCATCAGAAAATATAAAAAGGGAAAGAATGAGATTTACATGACAGAACGTACTCGACAACAAAGGAAAAGAAGTATAGAACCACGATAGCCATCACCATGGAAATTACCAGTAAAACCAGTGTCTGTTTGTTTATTTATTCTTATTTCAGTTGCATATTGGCCTTGGGAAAAATATAATTTATATAATTATCCCACGTGATAAGATCAAGAAATACATACTAGAATACAAATATAAAGAAAACCATCTTATCAGTAAAACTTAATTTGGATTGTTACACAATTGCTTTCCGAAGTATATATAAATAATAATATATATTCGTATGTATACTCTCTCTTTCTTTCTTTCACCTCTTTTAATTTCTTATATTAATCACCATCGAATGACCCCAATGGAATCATTATTAAGCGCAATTGATAAAGCAGATCCTATTCAGCTTCCGTTGCCTAGGAAGCGTAAAGCAAGTATGTCTATTGACCATATCATTGAGAAAAGACAATACTCTCCTCCTCAATCACCCAAAAGTTGTCATAAAATCATTTGTTATCATGCATCTGTTGCTCAGAAATCATATGGTACAGAGAAACGATTCTTATGCCCACCACCTATTGTCATGACAACACCAAACCAATCCTCTACTGTCGTTTCTATGTCAATTATCAATGATCAAAACCAACCAACATTGGAACAACGTGCCGTATTGGATGATGAAAGCAAAGGATACTTTAAATATTTATTTGTGAATTCAGCGACAAAGCAGAAGCAATTCAAATTGAAAATCAATTTGCAAGATTTAACGTTTTATTCAAATCCTATTTCAATCATTTCAAAGCCATCAAAAAAGACTGCCAAGATCACAAGGAATGCCTCAAGCTGTTTATTTAATCATTCCATCATTTCATTGTTTAATAGAATCAATTCTCAAACTGTACGTACAAAATATATGTCATCCGATAATCATCAATTATGCGCCAAACACGCTTCATGGTCTCCATTCGAAATCATTGTAACAAGACAACCACAGCAACAACAACAACCATATCCCCATCACCATTCGACCGCCATCACATTTGGTACAGAAATTATTCTAAAAGATATCCATACTGGCACTACCTCCCCTCCTTTAATCCTTCGTAAGGTCGAAAAAGGTCAAATCGTTCATGATGCCACTGGTCTGCTCTCTCAAATGCAAAAGGTCGCTCTTCAATTAGCTAATGCCCCTCACCAATACTTAAATTCCAATGGAAAATCAATGCATCCAACTGAAGCAAGCGGTAATGTTTTTATTGACTTTTCAAGTTCAACAATGAATGACCAGCAACATGAGCTTGTTGATGATTACCTATGCTGGACTATCGTCGGCATCTCACGGTTTGAATATGAATACCAACACAGCACATTTATGCCCATACAGCACCCTCATTCTCCTCCTCCTTCACCGCCAAGAACAATCATTCCTTTTCCTATCATTAAATCAATAGAATATATACCTTCTACACATAAGCTCAAACTATCCAACCTAGAGCATTCTCTTGATTACTGGCTAGGCAGACATGGTCCACTCAAAAAGAACGCATCCACACAAGAAATTGAACTACCTGATATTCAAGAAGTCATCCTTAATAACCATGATCTACTTGTTGTAAAGTCAGATGGAAAACGATACCTGGAGCTTCCTCTTTTACTATCAAGGCACGATGGTTTCATCTACCACTCTTCCAAACTGCTATCCTACGAATTTGTCCTTAACTCTCCTGAATCAGGCGTATGGTCCTTACTGGACGCTATGTTACACAAAAGATAAGCAATCATTTGATCTTATCAAACGTTGTGCGTGGGAAAAAATAAACTATTTATTTTTCATTCAATCAAATTTTACTTGAGTCATTTCGCTTGACAGCCAATCTTTTTCTTTTTTATATTTATGTGTAGCCATGGCTACCTTTCTTTTCAAGTGGCCTGACCTAAGAACATTTGTTCTTATTCGTTTAAATGATGATGCTACTTTATCCATTTATCCTTTACACTCACGACTAGCCTATTTGTACTTTCATCACGCTTCATTACCATGCCAACCATCACCATGTGTCAAGAAGAAAAGATACCAATTTTGGAAGCCAGTTAGCTTACCAACAGTTAAGCATGCCAAGGTGACACTGAAGGAAGTCAGGAAGGGACAGCCTGTTGACTGGGTACATCTCAAGCACTGTAAGTTGGGCCATTACGATTATTCAAATAACACTGTGATCGTGTTGGTCAAGAAACAATCTATCCATTGGATAGCTCGTTCGCTTAACGAAAAGATTGTCTTTCTCAATCTCTTCAAGTTTAACTCTCGATTCAAACATCAGCCGCATATATCAAAACCGCCCAGCCTGTCCGTTGATACCTTTTTGCAGACGTGGCTGAAGCATAGTGAGTCTGATATTCAAGCTACCTTGCGTCAGATTGACGAGATGAAGTCAAGAATAAAAGCAGTCCATTCGGAGTTAGTGACATGTGAGTCGGCATTAAAGCAGCAACAAGAACAGTATGGCACAGAGGGTGCAATCGATAGATGGGATAAAGTGACCCTCATGCACCGCGTCAATGACGTGAATCACTCAGTTGAACGTACACAAGCGCTCTTTGAAGAGCATAGAAGGACAATGGCCAATGTACAGAAACGGATCTCGTTCTATGGATTCTTTTTCAATAGCGCGAAAAGAAGATATACCCACGTCAAAAACGAACATGGTCCTCTTTTGCTTTATGTAGCAGGTAAAGCATAACTTTATTGCCATGATATAAATACTAACATTTAACGAATATAGTCCTTGTTGTATTGTTTATCTGTGTTTATCTGTTTATAAATTAGGGTACAGGACCTGCATTGACGAACTCTGTAGTACACTATTCATCCTGCGTGTGATCGATTTCGCCCACTGTTCCATTCTTGTTGTGGAAGTACTCATTACAAGACGTATCTCGAATCACGCTGCTTGATTTCTTCTTTAACACCGGTCTTCCTTCTTCTTGCTCAATGGCGTTCAGTAAAGAAGGTGGCATATGATGCTTGCTAGGTGCAAATTCATCCACTTCATGCTTGGGAGTGTTATGAATCACTTGAATGGGGTTATCGTAGCGAAGAGAGAAATGGTCGTCCTCCATTATCGGGTCCCGGTTTTCAGGGTGGTGATGGGAAGGATGGGGTGAGTTAGTGTGTGACATGTGGAGATAGAGTAAAGAAAGAAGAAGAAAGAAATGTTTCTGAGATATATTTTTATAAAGAATACGTTTAATCCCGAAAATAGTTATCGAAAACATACATTGTCCGTAGTGCTTCAATAATAGAATAATTCTATCTTGTTACAAGTGCTATTTAGAAAAATTCTGTGCTCCTAAAATAAAGGTACAGATCTTTTTTGATAACAGATATTAAGCGTTACTAAACAAGTAATAGAAGAATTAATAAAAAATACTGAAATACTCAATATAAGATAAAACGACATATAATTTGTAGAAAGGAAGGAATATTCATTTAAAGACATGACACTCCTTGACAATCTACTACCCAACGCTAACATTGGTCAACGAACGAAATATAGTCTTGTTATACAGCCATTTGAATGTCTCGCCTCACCTGCTCTACCTATTTGCCGATGTAGTGCATATGGAGCTACGACCCTTTTAAAATTACGAATGTCGACATCACCATTAGTACCTTCAAACACGTCGTCCGCTCAGCAATTCCAGATGACCATGATTATGGTTTATTAGTTTGTGAATCAGGTTCTCATATCATTTTTGAAATCTCTTTCGGTCATACTATGCTGCAACAAAAGAACTACAGCTGACGATTGCAGCGTCTTTGGTTTCCCCCTCCTTTCTCATTGTTTGACTTCAGCTATCTAATATCCCATTTTATTCTTTGAATGATCTCAAAAAAGATTTAAGTGCCTTTCTTTCTCCATCTGAATCCATTGCTGATGGTGGTATCTGACGTTTCTATGGATTGTTTGAAGGCGAAGGATGCTTCACGCTTGAGCTCCCCTTCTCCTCTATTGGCACTTCTCCCATGTTGTGAAAGGTATTGTAAATGATTAAAACTGGATGATCTACAGAGCCTATCTTGATTTACTGTGTATTCCAGTTTGGACACTATCTTGCCCACTACTTTGGAGTCTATTGACAATCATGACGTTGCTATTCTCTCCTTGTCCGATTTTCCAGTCTCCCAAACTAGGACACAATCAAGATATCCCATGCCCTCCACTTTCAACACGTCTTCTATCCTTTCATCCAGTAAAATAGAGATTATTACCGATCCTCTGAACACGGTCTAGGTATTATTCATAGCGTTTTAGGTATAAAGTAGCAGACGTCTTCTCACTATCTAAAATCATCATTTCTTCCTAGGTAACTTCATCAACATATTTTATTTGTATAATAAAAAGCCGGCTTATATATTCCTACAGAAGGACTCTTTAAATAAACCGCCTACGTAATGTAAAAGAAGCACCAACGATATATGTGTGTTTACAAACATATCTAGTCTTCCAAGTAAAGACCAGAGATTCATATGCATCCCGTTATCTTGTTACTGTATGTAACAGTGAGTATTACGAAAATAATTTTATTACTATACTTGAGGCGCTTTCAGCTTCAAGCTTATTAAAAAGGGATACAAAATACAATAGAAATAAAAGGGTAGTTTATTGTTTATTATGAAGCCAATATAAAGATTACCTAAAATGTACCTAAAAAAAGAGAAGAAAAAGTCAGTACACATCCCATAGCCCACAAATTTAAAAGAGTTTGATTGTTGCTAGTTGACGTCCCAAAGAAGGGTGCCCACCTTCAAAGGAACTCTTCTCCAGACAGATCAGCTACACCGCAGTGCAGGCGATCCCCCATCAGTGTCAGTCATATAACCAGCCAATACACCAAGGACCGAAACAAAACAACCAAAAACAACTAGGATCAAAATAAAACCAGTCAACAGCGCCTAACCAAAAGATATGGGCAACGAGACCATAAACTGCTGAACATGGCTCAACGGTGATTTGTCAACTAGCCATATCACAGATAACTAAGCTACTAGTGCACACTATGAAAGCTTCCTTTGAAGAGAGGGCCTTAAGCTTCGCCACAGACGCACTATCTATTGACTTTTTGGGGGCTGTCCGGAGGGCCCCCTACTTTGTGTGAATAGTGGGATTAAAGTGGGCTTCAGGCTTCGTCAGGAAAGGGTCCGATAAGCTTCATAGTGAGACATTCGCGAAGAACCTGGATATATACAACCAAAGCATCTTGTGTACTGAATAAATTTTTTTTTTAAAAAAAAAAACTTACCAAGAGACCAAAAGAAAAATATGAGAAAAGAAAAGAAAGAGAAAAAGAATGCGTTCACTTCCATTTATTTGTTTGTTTACATGAAAACAAGTTATGGGTTACATCAAGTCTTATCGTAAACTGTTTCGCATTTTTCATGACTTTAACTTATTAAAATTATCCTTTATCTTGTATACATTTGAATGTCTTTTAAAAGAAGAAGAAATAAAAGGGAGAAAGGTACAAAGTATCTTTAATACACTAGAAAAAGAAAAAGGGGATATTTTCCATAAATGGAAACTGATATAATAGCTAATGCTCAGAGAGCATCATTCATGCAAATTACGCAGTAGAGAAGATGAGCTAAAATGTTGTCTTTTAAATAAAGTCATTTGTGATCGTATATTAATGTTATATGCCGCTTTTACTTTACCATATTCTTTTTTCACAAAATGGGGAAAATACGCAAAATGCTGAAGGATTCTATTTAAAATAGTTTGAATTTAGTCAATATGACAAATACATCATCTACCTTTGTTCAGTATGCAAGACACTGTTAGTGACAATCTCATCTTCTAACGGTTATCAGACAAGGCGATGATATTCAAATTGTGAAACAAAAAGGAATTTACTATTTATTCGATTCTTTCTATTTTTGTTGTGTGCACAAGAATGACTTTGAAAGCAAGAAATAATGTACAGTTAACTCATGTATTTTTCTAGTATGCAAGTCAATGCATTCGTCCACCAGGTCTCCTTTTGAAGATCAGTTTCAGATACAATCCAGCTACTGGTTTGTCCTCTTTGTTTACCAATAGCGCTCTTGAGTTGACTCATGAATGTTTCACCAGAAAAGTAATATCCGCCTTGACTTGAAGAGACTGTCATTATTTGAAGCAGGCAAATCCATGCTTCAATCACGAAACTCTTTTCTTGTGAAGTAATACATTCATGACCAATCATCACAAGGACATCAATAAGCATCTGAGTACACTCTGATACAGACCATTCGGATTCATTGATTCCAATAAGATGAAGTCTACATGACCAATCAAGAATGAATATCATGGTTTTGACAATCAGTTTCCATGAGGGGATAGTATGAGAAACAGATTTTACTATATGGCAGATATAGTTGGCCATAGCTCGAATCTCTTCACCAAAGACTTGAGTCATGATAGTAGCATGTATTGGTTCTTGTAAGGGAAGCCATTGAGTGAGATAGATTGATACAAATACACAAAACATATCAAGGTCAGGAATCTCATCTGACTCTGTATCAAAAAACATTCCATATGTACGACTGCAGCTATCAGCTATCTGCTTACTGGCATACTTGAATAAGCTTTGTATCAATTCTTTTCTATCAGGTCCAATATCTGTCCAGAATATACGTCTATGAAATATGACAGGACTTTCAAATGAGGATTTTAAATGAGCGTATGCTCTTTTTGAATTGGGTCGAGTAGACAAGAGTGGTTGCAGAAGACGGTGATGAAGATAGACTGGATTCTTTAGTCGGACCGAGCATCGAAGATCTGGGTCAAAGACGCGTTGTATTTTCTCTACAACTTCTTCTAATGATAGGGTATATTTTGGGATCGGTCTTAAGCTAGCTGCGTTCTTTGTCGAGCGCAGATATTCTGCAACATTACGAACCCATTCAACCGAAGGGCGCTGAACAGTAAAATGGCCATCATTGTATGCTCGCTTAGAAGATATCGACATATCATCTAATGTTTGTTGAAAAGGTCGATGCTGTGAAAGATGGGTTCGAGCTTTTGGCTGTGGGTGAATATATATATCGTCCATAGTTCTTCTTGGCCGCTTTCTCCTCTTCTTTGCCTTTGATGCTGGTCGCTGAGTCGAGACCTGGTTTGTCTTTCGAACCTGTGCGGTGGATTGTCGATGGGGTATTCGATTGTCTTCAATAGCTTCGGTATCATGGTTGAAAAATTCGTCAATTCTAGTCATATGAATGGATCGACTACTCTGAGACTTGCTGTGCATTTTTTCATGAATTTGTCTTGTGCTAGATGCATATCTAGATGAATCATACTGCTCGCTTGATCTATCCTCATTAAATTCAGATTGTGAGCCTAGGAAAGCGTCAAATGGCTGATCTAAAGTAGATGTATTTTTGTTATTATCAGATTTCCTCTTTCTTAGGGTTGAGTGTCTGGCGGTTCTTGATGTCGACTGATTCTCTTCTTCATTCAACTCTCTTTCATATACTTTTAAAAATGAAGCTGGTAAAACGCCTTTAAGAATATTCTTGTTCTTGCGCAGGTCAGCTACCTTTACACGCCTTCGCTTCGCAGGTCTATACTCAAATTCATCATCTACTACGGGCACAACGTCATTCTCATTTTTTTCTGCTGGTATGATCTTTCTTGAAGTATAGCCTCCGGTCAAAGATTCCACGCTTTCAGGGAAATCGAAAATGGAATCATGATCGCCTTGCTGCAACTGCTCCTCCTCGTCGTTATCATCATCGTCATCAGATTCTATTCTTCTACGTAATCTTCTGCGATGAAGAAAGACAGGTTGCTCATCTTCGTTATCATCTACCAACATAAGCTCAGCATCACTGTTATCGTGATTTTTTAAAAAGTCAAGAGAGGAAGACAGGGTTGACTGTGATGGATTCTTTTGTTGATTATGTGACATAGGCTTATGTTCCAAAATATCAACAAACGGTCCAAGCTCCTCTTCCAATCGCTTTGCTTCAAATATTTTTTCCTTGAGCTTCTCTCTGTGAGAACTTGATGTAGCCTTCGTCTTTCTCTTTTTGCTGTAAGTTACTATTTTCTTTTTCCTTTTTTCAGCCTCAAGCGGAATGCTTCTGGGGCTGCATGAGTCAATACGCATCGCCTCTTTTGGCTGGCTGTCATCATCCAGTGCACTTTGTGTACAGTCAATGGGTAGAGATGGATCTTCTTCTTCTCGAGCATCTGGCACGAATTCTGTATCTGACTGATCTTCCGTAATTGTTGGCTCAACGGACGATACAACCCTTGTGATAGATGACCCTTTTAACAAGCTTTTAAACTTGTTCTTTTCAATAGTAAACGGGTGAAGCTGAATATCCTTTCTTTTTCGTAAAGTGATACCAGGACGATAGTGTGTCTCATCATTGTCTATTTCAAGGGTCTTCATACTTTCTATAAATTCATTCGTATCAGAGGGAGCTACCTCTTGTCCGTTGGTTTTAGCATTGCTCTTATTGTCATCTAGTACAATTACAGCTTCTAAAGGATGATTTTGATCTTGTGAGTCTAATTCAATAGACGAATTTTGTTCCTGAAACTGATTTTGTTTTACTGTTGGTTGATCAACATGGTCACTCTTACTTTCAAGTTGCCCGTTCATCCCTCGATTGTCAGCATCGTCAAGATCGAATAGTCTGAAAAAGTCGGAATCATTGTCCAGATCGCCTGCTTTAGAATGAGTTTAGTTTTTTGAAAAGATGTATTTTTGAAATATATTTACCAGAAGAATTACTAGTGTCATTGACACCAAGATTACTATTGATCATGAGCGAGTTTTGGGACTTCATGTTGACATTTTACTAGAGTTTCTAGTAACTACAAAACGCGTAGAATGTTCACAGCCGCGCGATTTTTTCCCTCTTCGCGTCAGTTCATAGCTCCGACATTTGGACCAGAGGAAGAGCAACATTGCTTTGGCATTTTTTTGTCTCTTATATTTCCATGCCTATCCTGAATAAAGTTACTTTGGAACGCGTCTCAAAATAAACTTGTTCAAATGGATGCAGTTAACAATCTCTTTCGAACATCTCCAATTATCAAAAGTGAAAGGAGCTTTTAAACGAACTAGACACAACAGATAAGATTTGATATATATTCCCTTCTAGAAAAGGTCAGAAACAAGTCAAGCTTTTTGATCAAAGGTATCTTTTTATTTAAAGGAGATAATAACAGTAGAACAGACATTGCTATGAAAGATTGTGTGATCATTTTTAACTCCTCATTCTCTTCATAGTGCGCTCTTTCTGAAGCAAATTATTTTAATCTTTATTCTTAAATACCACCGTTGGCTTCATTACATGGGCATAGTCATTAGATATACATGGTAATTCTTTTTTCGTCGTTTGTTTGCAAGCTTTCAATAATGCAATTCTAAGTGAAAAAGAATAACAATACACATTATAAGCGATGCAAATATATGAATTAGGATGTTGTCCTTAAAGGAAAGTATGGCTTCCAAGAAGTTCGCCATTTCTTGGTTAGCACAAACAAAGCTTGGGAGAACCATTATACCATGTTGTACGTAGCTGTAAATAACATCTATGCTCAGTATCAATGAGCTAAAATAGATATCTTTGCCTAACCAATGTATAAGGAAGACGATCAAAATTAGCTATATAGCACATGCAAAATATATTTTTACCAGTAATGGACATGCCGAAGGTTGCAAACACTTTTGTCGTCTTAAATAGATATCAGGAGCATGTATAAAAACAAATGCATTAATATCCAATTATTCTGACAGATAGGTGGTAGCATCAAACCAAGTCCCCAAAAAGGCAAACACACGATGCTGTTATTCTGTACACTACTTCCAGAAAGAGATGTCGCGCTATCTTGTCATTTTTTTGTATAAATTATATTATAGAAATTACAAAAATGCGACTTTACTTTTTGAAAAGACTGTACAAAAAAGTTTATTATATACACAACGATTATAAATAAGGCTTTTGACCGATTGACTTATGCCAATTAACATAGGATCTAGCTTGATGCCAGTCTGCTAGTAGTTTGTTTATACATGAGTCAAACTTGTTCTTGCTCTTCTGACCATCTTGTGTAAACCATGGTCTTAGTGATTTTAACAACTGCAAATGTTGCATAGCTGAAGCTCTTGCATATTCTGAACAAATACTCTGTGCTTTATTCCGTGAGCACTTGCTGTAGCCCCATCCTAAGGGAATAGATTGAAAGTCACTCTTGATACTTCGAAACCCTACGACAGCCAGGATAGAGGATAGTCTTTTGGATATAAAAGGGTCATGTTGATGAGAACCAAGTATATCAATAACTATATGAAAAGGGTTTAATGGGGAGTTTTAAAAAAGGAGAAAAAAGGGGGTTCATACTTTTGTCAATTAAAAATCCCTCGTCACTTGAGCTACTTTGTGTCTCGATATCCTATCAGGTTTTAATTTGATTAGATCGGCATATTTGTGCACACATGATATTAACTCACTTGTTCGACCAGTTCAATCCATCCTCCCGGTTTTAGGATTCTATAAAACTCTTGAACAAGAGGCACCCAAGCAGATCCTGTTAATTCCCAATTGGCGTCACGCTGAAAGATGTAGTCGATACTATTATCTTCAAATGGAAGGCGATAACTGATGTCACTTGTATCAAATATCATAAAATTACAATTTCTGGGCTTGATATCTCGAGGAAACAAGGGTGCTTTTTCAATACCAACAAATGTTGCATGTGGGAATTGAACAGCCATCTCCATCGTCCACGCGCCAGCACCGCAGCCAACATCCAATACGACCACTGGATTCTTTTTTGCCTTCTTGTGATTTATCAAGGAGGACACCGGTGCAGAGAAATCGCTGTCAAAAGCTGTACGGAGAATGTAGTGCTGTGAAACCATGCGATCAATTTCACTTTCATCTTTTGGTAGAATACTCTTTGTGTGGCCTGCTTTCTTTATGCTACTGATATCGATGCCTGAATCAGTTGTGTCGACACTACCAGAGGATGGCTTTCTTTTGTATTGATAATAATAATCATCCACCTCGCTTGTTCTTCTTCTTGAATATCCAGATTGATCAGATAAGGAACTTGTCAACGGAGGCTTATTCATGTAGAGTGCATATTTTAAATCCTCAATGCCTATTGTATGCGCGCCTGAGAGAATACGTTGTATATCTTCAGAGTATCCATATGTTTTAGTATTCTTATTGGCCCGGTAACTTAGATTCGACAGAGAGGATTGTCTGATGAGATTAGTAAAGCGATGAGAAATGGGTGTATCATTATTATATAAAGAAACAGTAGGCATCTTTGAAGGATAAAGAGAAAAGAAAAAGACTAGTGCGAGAAAGCTTAAATGCTTTGATTCAACAGGGGGCAGTTACACAAATCAAACGCATGCTGCTCACATTAAGTAAAAGATTACTTTAAATGAGATTGTGTACATACATCATAGCAACGGTTATTGACACCCAAAAAAGGATATTTTCACACTGGTTGAGAGAGAAACAATCACCTTGATTTATTTTATTTTTTTCTTCTTCTCTTTTTGAGAAATTATTGAGCCTTTTGAGCTGTGTTGTTGTATGTATAATGTACGTATGCAAATTGCTTTTTTTTTCTTTCTATAATCCGCTGTAAAAGGGGGGGTACACAGTGTGTTCATATGATCAATTATCCTCTGCTCTGGGCGATCGAGAACTGTCTGAGGGATGACTTGGAGAGCGATCGTCTCTTGACTCACGGTCACGGCTTGACCGTCTGGGTTCTCTAGAAACTGAACGATCGCTTTGAGGGCTATGATCACGTCTCGAGTGCCTATCACCGCTGTAGGAACGTGAACGACTGGCGTGACGTCTAGGTGAACGAGAGCGACTGTCCTTTCTACGAGATGCGTGATGGCTTCTTGAGCGTGATACAGATCGTGATCGTGAGGAAGCTGAGGTGGATCTGCTGCGTCTACGACGGGGTCTATAACTATCACGACTATCACTTCTACCTCGACGTTTATCACGGCTATCACTTCTACGTCTGCGCCTGTCTCTGCTGTAACTACGATCTCTGTATCTGTCACGGCTGTAACTGCGATCTCTATACCTGTCACGACTGTAACTACGATCTCTTCTACGGCGAGTGCTATAATAAAGGGTTTTAATACACAAGCTCTTTTAATTAACATACGCCCCCCTTTGCTTATCAACAAACACAAAGCTAAATTAAGAAACATAACAGTAAAGCCACAGCACAACACACATACAACCACAAGCCTCCTTTTTTGTTTAACAATTCAACAGGGAGGAAAAAGGGGGGAAGACATACACACAAACAGAAATAGTGTTTGTCTGTGTATGCGCATTGTTTACATGTCAAAACTTAAATTATATTTACCTTTTACAGTCGCGTGCCCAATGGCCTCTTTCACCACACTTGAAGCAGTCTGATTCATTCTCTTTACGTGCACCTTTAGCTTTCTCGACAACAATACTGATACCATCGATTTTCTGCTTAAACATGAGTACGTGTGAAATGAATAAAGGTGGATAATTTACCATACGATCTACTTCTTTCATTGCTGTTTCTGCATTTTCGGGATCTTCAAAATCAACAAATCCAAATGCTGCAATTGTATGCATTAGCAAGTTGTGTGTGCACACAAACATTTGTATTACCAAATTTGTTTCCTTTTTTGATTTTGCATTCTGCGATTTTCCCGTACTTTTCAAAGAGTTCTTCCAATTCACTCAAATCAAAATCAGGAGGCAAACGGCCGACAAATAAAGACATTGCGCTTTTGAGAAGGGGGATAAAAGGAAAGGGAGAAAAAAAAAAAAGAAAAACGCTTGTTCTTGATAAATTCAAAGCCCGCTATCACTTGGATTTTACACTATGAAAGAGAAATATGACAGGCTGACATGGATAAACATGACTGAAGAGAGGACGACAATAAAAAGGGATGTGGAAGAGATAAAATAGAAAATAGACTCGATTCCTTATCCTTTCAAGAGAGGTGGTACAACAAAAGAGAGGAAAAGAAGGGTTATTTACCAATAATACACATAGAATGAGCCACGATGTTCCTGTCAGCTGTTGCTCACTTCTCCAAGAACCTTTCTTTCTTTCGTTGCTTTGCCACAAAAGCTTCCTCCCCCTTCAATATGAGTCAAAATGTATGCTATAAGAATAATAATAATTTGTGTCTTGACTCAAGTGGTGGCTTTGAAAGTTTTTTTAATATAAAATAATAAGCGTCAGTCAAAGTTTCAGGCTTTTAATTAAAATGTCATCCGCCGAAAACTTTGACAGAGCTGCACTCGAGGTACTTCCTCCTTTAATTTCATAATAAACTGTACATCTTACTTATAGCAAGTAGCAACTTGTTACCAAGCGTTTCTTTTACGCTCCCTCTTTCCAGATCTATGGAGGTAAAATAAAGGGAGAGACATCAAAAAGCAAAGTAGCTAACCCCTCTTTAGGTGTTGCTGGTCTTTATGACTATGGACCAACTGGATGTGCACTCTTGAACAACATCATTTCAGTTTGGCGTAATCACTTTGTCTTGGAAGAAGAAATGCTCGAAGTCGATACTAGCATCATGACGACTCACGACGTTCTCAAGACATCTGGACACGTTGATAAGTTTGCAGACTATATGTGCAAAGACTTGAAGAATGGTGAAATCTTTAGAGCTGACCACGTTGTCGAAGCTGTCCTTGAAGCTCGTCTTCAAGGTGATAAGGAGGCTAGAGCTGCCAAGGCTGGTAAGACCGCAGAACAAATCGCCGCTGAAGCCGCTGAAGATGCTTCCAAGGTTGACAAGAAAAAGAAAAAGAAGAAGGGTGTTGTCGTCGCTGTCGAGTTGGCTGATGATGTTCGTAAAGCCTATGAAGAAACCTTGGCCCAAATCGATAACTATAACGGTGAAGAACTCGCAGCCATTATGAAAAAGTTTGATATCCGTTCTCCAGAATCCGGTAATGAGTTATCTGAACCCAAGGAATTCAACCTCATGTTTGAATCTTCCATTGGTCCTACTGGCCATCTTAAGGGGTAAGTACCTTTTGGTATATAACAAAACTGGAGACCAACATTGTGTAGCTACCTGCGTCCTGAAACAGCTCAAGGTCAATTCCTCAACTTTAAGAAGCTTTTAGAATTTAATAATGATAAAATGCCCTTTGCTTCTGCTCAAGTCGGTCGTTCTTTCCGTAACGAAATTTCTCCTCGCTCTGGTCTCTTGCGTGTTCGGTAAGGGAAATGAGATAGTTTATGTAGCTTAAACTAATGATTTCACAGTGAATTCACCATGGCTGAAATTGAACACTATGTTGACCCTGAAAATAAGCAACACCCCAAGTTTGTCGACGTAAAGGATGTCGTCCTCACCTTGCTTCCCAAAGATGTTCAGCTTGGCGGAAAGACCGAGACAGTAGATATGACCATTGGTGAAGCTGTCGAAAAGAAAATTGTCGACAACGAGACACTGGGTTACTTTATGGCTCGTATCTACTTGTTCTTGGAAAAGATCGGTATTAAGCGTGATCGTCTTCGATTCCGTCAACATATGGATAACGAAATGGCTCACTATGCTTGTGACTGTTGGGATGCTGAAATCAAGACAAGCTACGTAAGTCATTCGACGTTTGTCTTTTTTTTTTTTCTTAAGCTAAAATAATTGATATAGGGTTGGATTGAATGTGTCGGCTGTGCTGACCGTTCTGCCTATGACTTGACTGTCCACTCCAAACGTACTGGCGAAAAGTTGGTTGTACGTGAGCAACTTCCTGAACCTCGTACAGTTGAGCTCTGGCAAGTCGAGATCAACAAAAAGACCTTTGGACCTAAATTTAAGAAGGATGCAAAGGCCGTCGAAGAGACATTGAACTCACTTAGTGAAGACAAATATGCTCAATTGGCCAAGGAATTGGAAACCGCTGGCGTCGGCTCCATCGAAGTGAACGGACAAACGTTTGAGGTGACCAAGGATCATATCACTGTCAAGCGTGGCACAGTTACGGAACATGTCCGTGAATACACGCCCAATGTGATTGAACCCTCTTTCGGTATCGGTCGTATCCTCTATTCTCTTCTGGAACACAGCTGGTGGGTACGCGAAGATGACGAGGCTCGTAACGTCCTCTCATTCCCTTCCGTTGTTGCTCCCTTCAAGTGTTGTGTACTCCCTCTCTCGGGCAATGCTGTCTTTGAACCTTTTGTTCGCAAGTTCTCTCGTGAACTTCGTCAGGCCGGTATCTCTACGCGTACTGATGACTCCAAGGCTTCCATTGGTCGTAGGTATGCTCGTAATGATGAACTCGGTATTCCATATGCTATCACTATCGACTTTGATACCGTAAAGGATAACACGGTCACTCTTCGTGAACGTGATTCAACAAAGCAAATCCGCGATACATTTGAGAACATCTTGAAGATTCTTAGAGATGCTTAACTGTTGTATTTGTTTAAAATAAAAAGCTGGTATTTTAAGATGACTTGTTTTTGTCAAGTCAATAGGTTTATACACTCAATATAGCTTAAAAAAGAGATTATGCAGAAAGAACGTTTTTGTATACAAGTCTCAGTTACAATCAACAGTTTAACCTTACATAAATGCCAAAAGAGTGGGTGATATTTTCAAACATCTGGTAAATTGAGAGTGGAAGGACGGTATTAGAAAATAACTATTTGGAAGAAACGTTAAGACGAGTGAACACCACCATCACTGCTACTGATGTTGCTTACTGCTTGTTCAAAAGACATCAAAAATGATAATACTTTATAAATTCGTATTCTACATCAAGCAAACTGATTGTCCACTGGCAGGAATTTTTTGGGCACTGCTGCATACCACCCTCTCAGAAAAATGACGTGAAATTCCAAAGTGCGACAAGTAAATTTTTACACTGGATTTTTCTCTCCTTTTTTTTTTATAAAAAAAATGTGGCAAGAAGCCAAAGCAAATGACCGAAGGGTAATTTATATTTGTTTTAATAAAGAATAAAAAGTAAAACATCACTTAGGTTAAAGAATTAATGGCTAATCATAAACGGCGTGCAGAAAGACGTCGAGCATATCATGAATCAAGAGTAAGATATGAACACGGCTTATATTCACATAATCTAACAATGTGCATTTAGCTTGGTGATCCACAGCAACTATTGCGTGTCATTGGTTCTTCATTGAAGCTATATCCTGATGCAGAACAATTTTATTACCACGAAAACCCAGAAAACCTGTAATAGATCATATTTTACATTTAAAAAAGCCGTAGACTTCTTTGAATATGTAAAAAGTGGACAATTCGACTAATAGATCACTATTTCCTTTTTCTTTACCACGTAGAATGCCTTGGTTAGGGAATCCAGATATAAAGATTGATCGGTAATATATATAATTGTAGCTTTATTATTAAATCTCTACTTAACCGCTATTACTAGATTCGATGGTCGATCCTTACTTGACTCTGTACCTGAGCCAGTACAAGGACTAAAGGAAGATAACGAAGATACAGATGAACTCAATTTTGAAAGATACAGAGATTTGATCGAAGCAGAACGATTGAATAGTAAGATGGGAAAAAAATGACCCAAGCTGCTGTTTCTAACTTTTTTTAAGTAAGTGAAGCAGATCAGCTGGCTCAAGTGGAAGAAGAATGGACAAAGTTATTGGATCGTCATCAAGCTAAATTAGCATTGATTGATAAATCTAGGTAAGATTTTTTCTGGTTCAAAAGATGCTATAGCTAACAAATAACAAACAGTAAAGAGTCAAAAACACGATCAAATGCCATTGGGTTTGACTATGGAACAACCAAAGTAGTAGAAGATGACACGAAGCAACAAGAGACTTTGCTTATATATGAACCGGATCTTCTGGAGCATGTGGACGATTTGACAGAAAAGGACAAGGAAAAATTGAATGCTATGTCTTCAAAGTATGGCGTCAAGAGTTATGCCCGATTACTCCGTGTAGCCAAAAAGGACCGAGATGCTGAACTAAAGGTACTGAAGAAGAAGCAGGACGAAAGGAAACCAAAGGATCCATCTGCAAAGAAGGGCAGAAGGAAGAGAAAGAGAAGAAGAAGACGGTATGAAGATGACGATGAGAGAGATAGGTACAGACGACGATATAGTCCAAGCTATGAGCCCTATGGAAACGATGATGATGAAGAGACATCTACTAGCAGTGGCAGTATGGATAGCGATGAAGAAAATACAAGCTCTGATGCATCTGATTTTATTATTGAGTTTGGATCGAACGCCCCTGAAGAAAAAAATGAATCAACTCTAGTAGAAAAGCCTCAAGAGTCTGTACAAACAACGCAAAAATCAGAACAAGAAAAGAAGCTGACGCCCATGGAGAAGCTCAAGCTGAAGATGAAGGCTGGGCTAGAAAAGCAAAGTAAAGAGTTTAGAGTTTACATAAAAGTTATCTAACTCTTTCTTTTTTTTTTAGTTATTTTGGATGAAAGAAGTAAACGGCAAAAGGAGCGAGAAAAAGAAATTGAACAACTACAAGAGCTTGCGAAAAGCCAAAAGTTACCTGCGAATAGCTATATGAGACCAGAGCCTCCCAGGAGACCATTACAGGATCGTAAAGAACGATATAGATCTCCATCATCTTCACCTGAAAAGCCGCCAACCAGATACAGATCACCTTCTACAGAAAGTGAAAGGGGACGCTCTCCTGTTCCAAAAGCCAAGGAAAGACACAGATCACCCTCCAGTTCAAAGGAGAGGACTTCCAAGCAGCGATACAGGTCTCCATCTAGTTCCAGAGAAAGGGCTTCCAAGCATCGATATAGATCGCCTTCCAGCTCAAAAGAAAGAACTTCTAAAAGACGATACAGATCTCCATCTAATCCCAAAGAAAAATCCTACTCAAGACGTAGATCTCCATCTAGCCCCAGACTTGCAAGCTCTAGTCACCGTCGATACAGATCACGCTCAACAAGTCACTCTCCTACTAGGCACCAGAAGAGAGACAGGTCAAGGGACAGACACTCGAAGAGATACAGATCGCCTCCTAAAAGGAGCTCGCACAGCAGTAGACGATCCCCTTCGAGAGAATCTAGCAAATATCGCTACAAGAGACATTGATATAAATAACAAAAATAAAAATAAAAGCCTGCTTTATTATTCTTCAGTCAAGTATTCATCGTCATCTGTGTGATGGGATTGAGTTGATGTTTCTTGCTGAGGTTGATCTTGAGGCAGCTCCTCTGCTGTCAAGGGTTCCATAGCAAATGCATCATGTAATTTATCCCAGAGATTCTTTCCGAATGCTTTCCATGCGATTGAAGCACAAATCAGCTCAATGACTGTAAATAAGATCATGAATACGAATGCTGTTGTGATTCGTCTGTGGTACATGTAATATCTATTTCAGGATTTAGAGAGAGAGAGCGACGTATGCAACTGTCTGTGCCTTACCTCAAGCCACGGAAATCTGCAACAACGCTTAGATGAGCATCATAGAGTTGTAGTTTAGGAGTAGATAGTGCTACTCTTGCATGAGTCATTGGCAATGCCTAATAAATAAGTTAACACAGTCTGAGCTTTTTGATGTATTCATCACATACCTTCTTTTCAATAAATTCTTCAATTAGATGTACGTTAATACGTTGACTCTCCTCTGTCCAGCCAATGAGTAGTGGTATAGCCTTTGCAAAGACACGAAGGATGCGCTGAGTGTTTGATTGATACCTTAGGATGGCCTAAAAAAAAAAAAACAAAAAACAAAAGATCAGAAACACATGATGTACACATCATCTCTTCGTATATTACTGGTCTACTAGACTGTGCTAATACTGTTCCATTTTGAGATAGCAGGTCTACATGTATCATAAAGTTACCAATGTCAAAGTTTATATCTGAAGTAGGTACATGGAGTTGAACAGATACATCATAAGCTTGATCACCTCTTAATGGCTACATACAGTCAATATGACAATCTAAAAAAAAAAAATCTTACATACCATGCTATTACTGTCGGGCTGCATAAAATGAATAAATGCTTGAGGTTGAGAATCTTTTTCGTACTGAAAGTAAATAGGTTCAACGTGAGCGTTCTTTGGTATATAACGTTGATAAAATGTGATGTAGGCCGTAAAACTAGTCAAGAGAATCCAAGCGACAAGAATAACGACAACAAATGTTTTAATAAAGGTTCTCTGAGCTTGAGGTGCAAAGAGGACCTTCAATATAGGCGACATGAGTTTCTTCAGCAAGTTGCCGGTCATGACCAAAGCTGGATGCCACTCGATTGGCTTTATCTTTTCTTCTTCTCCTTCTTCTTCCTCCCCTATAATCAACTTTTCATTGATATCACCACCTTCATTTTCAAAAGACTGAGAACCAGTAGAGGGAACAACATGAAAATCAGAAGACTATATGTAGCATTAGTTTATGAACCACGGTCATATCACTTTCGACTCACTGGTACCCCTTGATCTGAATAATCATCTATGTCTGAAAACGCTTTGCCACTACTATTAGACATTGCCAGCTTTTTAGAATAAAAAAAACAAGAAAGAAAAGGAAAGCCTTTTCCCCCTTCATGTGAAGAGGTAATAATTTTTATTCCCCGCTTGTTAAACCATGAAATTCATCTGATGTTGTCATGATATTCCTTCTTTTTCTGCGAGTTTATTTTTGTTATATATAAAACACCTTGGTGTATTTTAGAAATGTGTTTATTTTGATATATAAATTCACTCTTACAAGCTATGCAAGTAAGATGTTTTATTCTTGCTTTGGAAGAGACTGGGTCATGATGATACCAGCGTCAGAATTACTTCCGCTCTTAAAGACACAGGTAACAACAGAAGCAGTAGTGACGATCAAGAGAACGCTTGTCCAGAACAACAATTGGAAATCACCTACAGCATCAACGTATTGGCATGCGTCACCCGTATAAGAAGAGACGCACTGACAAGTGAAACAACTTTCACCAGCTTTAACGCATTCACCATGACCATGACAACCAGAGGTTCCATTTCTGCAGGCTCTAGCTGTACGATAGCAAACATCATCATTATCATCAAGGCCTCTCTTGTTGATAGTTTGAATAGGGGTGAAGATGAAAGCAGTAAGTGATTTTTGAGGATAAGCGTTTTCAAAGTTTGGTATAATTAATTTTTCAAACAAGTGAGAAAAGATGCGCTCTGCTTCCTTGTACTGATCGGAATCAACACCATAGTCTGCAGCAAGTTCCTGCAAAAAGCGTGAGTATTATTTCTTTTCACTGTTTGTATTTTGTTTTTATTACCTTTAAAGAGTTGATTTCGATCAAGTTGACAGAAGGAAACTCGGGTTGATCCCAGTGTTGTCTAATGCTTTCAACTTCATTCATGAATTTAGCATCTGCCTAAAGAGGGGATGAATCGGTCTGCTGTTTGCTTAGCCTCGAGTTTACCTTTTTAGTTTCATCAAACAATTCAGTCTTAAAATTGGAAAAGAAAAGCTTGAAGTATTCGGACTTGTCATCATCATCTTCACCACATACACAGTGTTCACCTGCATCGCGATGTTTAACGCAGACCTATGATGAGATGTATATTTAGGGCGTCATTTGCAAGTGTAAAATCATCCTTACGCGAGAAGATTTGAAAGTAGTCAAGGCAACATCTTGATTACTCTTTAGGATATCATTGACTACGTCGTTAGCCAAGGTGGAATATTCGTTTATATCATTATCATCAACATAAAATGATGCCTCTCTTGTTGGCAAGAGAGCTTTAAAGAAAAGAAAAAAAAAGCATAAGTAAATGAAACGATTAAATAAAGACTTTTGTTACCTTGAGGTGAATGAACAGAAGAAACAAGAACGACTAAATTAGCATCAAGTTTCTTTTCAAATAAGCCACTGTTACTATCAAAAGATAACCATTCGTTATCTTGAACAACAACAGCACGTTGACTTGAACTAGCATCCATAATGTGTGAGTAATACATGGAGAAGGTGTCAAAAGAGATTTGCTCTGCTGAAGGAGCGACAGTGATATCCTTGGATAACAAGTATACAGGAGAGCGTGCTATGATATGTCAGTTTATATATACACTTCCTTTATTGCGTTATTACCAAGTGCTACTCCTGTAAATAAGCTTGCGACAATAGTTGTTAATGATGCTGCCTTCATTAAAGCTGAAACAGTTAAAAAGGCGTCCAGCAAAAAAATAATGACGTGAAAAAGTCCACAGGTTACACAAAGGCACCAGCAGTCCTTCTGCCAGAGTCCTTCTCCCTTAAAAATTAGCCAAATATTCATACGAACATTTTATTTCAAGAGTTTAAAATGAAATATTTTCTTGAATTGTTCAAGATAAGCGATACTGAGGGATTTGGATACAGGCAAAATAGACTGCGCAGGCTTCTGTTGAGTACAATGACTGCATAATAATTGACACTGATTGATCTTTGGCCAGCCAGTATGCGATGTCTGACAGGCAGAGCAGTCGTAGCTGATGTTTAATGTGTCCATATTCCAACGACTGTCGCCATACACTTCGCGTTCTCCATATTCAAGACAAGCAAGCTTGAATGCCTTGATCCAAATTTGATCTATATCGACCGTCAGTCTCTTTGACACTTTGTGTCGGGTATTTTTTAATAAATAATTGGCAGCCTCCAGAACTACTTGAGCTTGATATGTTTCAAAATCAGACCAGAATTCGCTTCCTTGTTTCAGAAAATGAAGCACTTTTTCTATACGTTTTAGGCTATCTAGGGAATTGCTCTTTTGTTTGCACAATTGATCTTGTTTCATATACTGCTCAGTTATTCTTTTGGTGATCACTTTAAGTTGATTTTGGCATAGATCGAGTGCATGACGCATTTCGGACAAGTGTTGCTCTGTTTGTGCGTTCCTGTCACGAGCCTTGATATACTTGGTCTTGTACTGTCTCGAAAGGATAGGAACTGCGCATAAACGTGAATAATATTGTTCACATCTCGTTTTCTTCTCACGATATCTTTGTGCTTCTCGACGAATCAAAAACAAGGCGTGTTCAACCTCGGTCTGACGCTGCTCAAGAGCTTGTTGATGATCATTGAGGTGAGTGATCTCATGGTCTATGCATTCTTTTTGTTGATTGAGTCGATCTATAGATGATTCGATATCTTTCATCTTTTGTTGATACTGAGCTTCGATCATCTGAGCCGTGCGAAGATAGATATGAATACATCGTTGACGGAGTTGTACTTGATCTACTAACTTATGTAACCATGTCCTTTGTTTTGCCTTATCGCTTGTTTGAATGATCATTTCTGCTAAATCAAGGTTGATATTCATTTTAAATAAAAGAAAAAAAGAGAGAGAAACAGAGACAAGTTCTTTTTTAATACGGAAATTTTTTTTTATCTTACTGCAAATACGTTACAAATCCAACAATCTTTTTCCACTTCTCATAATGACTATTCGAGTGACTCAGTGATGGCTTGAGTAACCACTGATAAGCTTATATATATTCTCTCTTTCTCTCTCTTTCTTTTTATTCACATTACTTGTCATGTCGTCTGTCTTTTTTTATGGATCTTTAATGTCTTCTGTTGTACTCATAAGAGGTATATAAAACTGAAACTACCAGAGGCATATTTTGAATGTTGACTTTTTTTTTCTATTCAGTATTACTTGGGTCTGGTGCTTCAGAACAGGCAAAATTAGAAAAGTTCAAATCCATTCGATTAAAGCCGGCTTCTTTAAAAGTAATTTTTTTTTTAAAAAAAAAAAGGGCAGCCTATACTTTTTATTAAATTTATTATAAGGGGTATATTCGATCATCTCTTAAAGGTGAGGATTATCCAGCCATAGTTCACACTGGGAAAAAGCAAGATAAAGTTACTGGTATCTTGTGTGAAGGATTAGGTGAACAGGATGTTAGGGCATTAGATACCTTTGAAGGAGAGGTAAACATACACGAGCATATGCTTATAATGACATGTTTTCTTTATTAGGATTATTTACGTTCACCGGTGAGCGTGACAGTAGATGAAGACCAGGCCACTGTTGAGACCAATGTTTATCTTTATGTTGGAGATCCAGCTCTGCTGACTTATACTGAATGGACCCTAACAGAGTTTGTCTCTACTGGTAAAGAAGGAAAATGGTTGGAAGACAGAATTATGTTTTATCAAGTTGATTTAGTTCATTTGAACCCATAAAAAAGATATCCTGGTAACAGCTTACATAATTATTCTCCTCTTTTTGTTGATATTGTTGTGACAAAGATTCTTAGTCCAAATGTGTTTAAAACAAACAACAACAACTGCAAAAAAAAAACACAAAAAAAAAAAAAAAAAAAAAAAAAAAAAAAAAAACAAGTTTATGAGATGCTTTCTTGCAGCATTGTTTAATTCTAAGAATAACCAAAAAGTATTTGAGAATAACAAAAGAAAGATGATGTATAATTTTATTATTATATATGGTTTTTGAAATGCAAACTGGAGTAAAAAAAGAGAGAGAGATGAAAACTTGTTATTTACAAATAAAAATAATGAGAAATGAGAAGCTATTGTTCATATTAATGGATACGATCTACATATGCATAATGCAGTGGTAATGGAGCTACTAATGTAGGTGACTGCTGATGTTGCTTTTGATGCTCTGGTTGTTGCTGTTGATGATGATGATGATGATAATGTTTTAAATGGTTGGAAGAAAGAGGAGGTGAAGGTAGCCATGATGATGTTGATGAAGTCATAGAAGAAGAGCCCATGTCACTATATCTCTTTCGTGATTTTCGAATGCCCTGAAGCGTACGGTATCGATTAAAACAAGTGGCTCGCTTTCTATGAGGTAATTGATGTGATATCTGACCCCAGGTCAAACCTCTGGCTACACCTTCACAGATGATCGCATCTTCTTCGTTTGAAAAACGACTTCGTGATTTTCCACTTGCATTGATTGATTGTTTTACACTATTGACTTTTTGTTGAGGAGATGGTGGTGGAGACACAAGCTGGTCAACAGAGGTAGGGTTAAGCATGTCAGCAACTATTAAATAGAGTTAGTTCATATTATGGAGGTTATCACCAGTTTGTTATCTTACTTTTCATGATGGGCAAGAGTAATTTAAAATAAGAAAGAAAGAGAGCGATATCGTCGATATTTATATTCTAATGATGCTTGTATTTATATAAAAAGAAAGAGAAGAGAGGGAAAGAGAAAGATGAATGGATGTAAGGGTTTGAAAAGTAGGTATGCTTATGCATATAACCATCTTTGGTATATATTATTGACACGCACGCTCACACTCACACTACACACGCATATAGACGTACTTACAAAGGATGCATAAAAAAAGGCATCAAATTAAAATATGAAAGGGAGATTGGGAGAAATAAAAAACAAAGAGGCACACACAAGAGATGCACAGACACACACACACAGAGAGAGAGAGAGAGAGAAAAACAAGAAGGGAAAGGGTTAAATATATAATTCAAGGGGAAATTATTAATAGCATAGTATCAATAGTATTTGTATTGGGTTATTGTTGTTACTGTGTGTGCAAAAGATAAAGAGATTATGTAATATATTTCTTTACTCCTTGATCGCCTTAATGTTTTTATATAAAAAACCTGAGGAATGTGCATGTCTGTTAGCAAACCGTGTTATACTTTTGTGTAGTATTTATCCCACTTTACATTCCTATTGTTTATGAAACTTAAAATCAATCTAGCCTCTTGACACTCCCCTTGTTTCTTTATTTTTTAAATACACACATTTTAATACATAAAACATTCCATCCTATATATAAAAATTAAAAAGTTAGAAGGGTAAATAAACAAGCAAATGCAGGTAGAATCTCTCTCTCTCTCTCTCTCTCTCTTTGTATTCCCCTTTTTTATTTTCTCTCCTTTGTTTTATATTAAATCTAGAAAAAGGAACAAAAGAAAACCAACACTTTATATTTTCAATCACGTCATATACTCTACTTGCCCGTATTTAATTCAAAAGTGAAAGAGAGAAGGCGACCATGTCCTGTATTTTTGATTAAGTCCTTTACTCTTTTAATTACGACCCTGCCATATGATAATCTCACCCCCCCTTTCTCTGTTGTCTCTTTTTTTCATATGATTTAAATGTAAGCGTGCCTCACGCACTAGTCAAGGATATGACATAGATAGATAAACAGGATTATAATGTGTAATATTATAATATACAATTAAGCTCTGGTCACTATCAAATGAGCGGTTATACATTAAACAACTGTCTGTGCGTTTTGTCTCATATCTCTATTTTAAATCATCATCTTTTTGTTGGTTAGTATCCTTTGTTGTGTATTCATAAAAGAGTGTGAAAAATAAGCAACCATAAAGAGATCTAAAACATGCTGACGATATGTGTTTGTTCTTAATAATTATTAAAGGTACAGTTTATTGCCTTCTCTACATGTCTAAATGACTGTTATCACTCCTCCATGGCATCTTCATCTTCAGATTCGATTTCTAATTCTTCATTAACTTCTTCTTCAGGCTCTTCTACTGTTTCAGGGACAATTTGATTTATGGATTGAATAAGTTCTTTTGAATGTTCAAACATGGCCACATCATCAGATCCAATCACTTGAAATAACTAGAGTAAAAGAAGGTTACTAACAGTTGTTTGAAACAGAACAGCATCTCTTACTTTAACAGCTGTCTCTAAGCAGTCTCTAGCATCACTCCATAACGTGATCCTCTCTTCCTCTGTTCGTCCCTCTTCATCTCCTAAACAGTAGTATGTCCAACCATAAAGATACCACAAGTCAACTACTTCATCGTTTTCCTTTTGCAAATTTTCCAGCACTGTAAATGCATGCTCAAACATGCCAACTTCCAATAGTAATTTCACCAATGCTAATCTTGTATCATAAATGGGTATCGCAGCATCTCCAGGTTCTTTATCTATCCATAGCTCCATACTTCTATTTAATGCAGCTGCTGCCTCTTCATTACGTTGCTGACTTAATCGGACCGAAGCTAATAACTGATATACTTCAGGATTTTCAGGATCCACCTGTTGTGCTTGACTCAAGTATTCTTCACATTTTGATTCGGCTTCAGGCTCAAAACTAATAACAGCCGTGTGTGTATGTGAGTATTGTTTTGTTTTGTTTTTGTTTTTTTGTAATGTACGAGTTATTTCTTTACCAACAATCTGTTAAATAGATCTCAGTCATGGAGCATAAAGCGCTTGATATTTTTGAAGCTAAAAACTTGGCTTCGTCCGATGTTGTATCTTGAATTTTGCTTTTTTCGACTACCATCAGATCCACGCCTTTTTGAAAAGCTTGAATAGCATCCTTTTCAGTTAACATTTGTCCTAGATACATGTATTTGCTGTATCCTTCATTAGGTGCAACTTCAATAGACTGTAATAAATGCTATTTTGTGATGGTATAAGACGACCTTGTGTATCATTTTACATTACTTTTTTTTACTTGCCTTGTGTGCTGCTTCAAATTGTTCTAGTTCAAGTTCAACTTGTGCTGTCATTTCTAATAATTCTGCATTTCTCGGTTCAAGTTGTAACCCCTTTTGACAAAACAAAAGGGCAGCTGGATAATCTAATTTGTCAATATTTTCGGTAATCTTGGCTTTCAAATCATCCACTGTATATGACATATCGTTTATTTATATTATATTTATAGGTGCGTATAGGCGTATAAAAGAGAGAGAGAACCAGCCCTTTTTTATTAAGATCATACCTTGTTATCAAGAAAGGCAGTCCATGTGCTCATAAGCCACGTACACTTCTAAAAAGCATCCTCTGTTACACACACACAAATATCACTTTAATAAATGATAGATCAAAAAGGAGGAAAACAAGGAAAGACAAAGTCCTCGATATTACTCTCCCTATTCGTTTATTTGGTATATAATTCATCGGTTGTGGAATATCATAAGGAGAGTTCAGTCAATTGATATTGCTTTATTAGCAACAGTTATCCTTTGTCAATACAATAATGACATTCTCAATTTTGTAAGGGGAGGTTTACATTATACATCAAAGCATTCCCCATTTCTCTCTGTGCAAACAAGATTATTATAATAACAGTAAAAGAAAACATGTTTGCTTTTTATTCTATTCATTAAAAACATAGCACATACACAAGATATTTCTCTCCTTGGAGGCAAATGCGTTTTAATAAAGGTAAGGAGGGCCAATCTTGGTCGAGTCTCGTTTGACTTCAGTAGAAAGGTTGGCAACCTTGAAGCGAGCAGAAAAGGATTCGTAACTAGAGATAATTTTAGTATAATGTGCCTAATGTAAAATGTATAATATGCTTTTTACGTTGTATCTTGATCTTGGAACACCAGTTGGAAACAGTACGTCTTACTTTCCTCAAAAAACGCAGTTGCCTATATATGTCAAAAATAAGTTAGAAAACAGTATTATGGATAAAGAATATATATTACAGGGAATGAATAAACCGAATCACCAGAAACACTTTGAAGGCTAGCAGCCCATTGCGTAGGCTGCATACTATTTGGGTCATCACCTTCAAGTACATTGATACTTAGGGTACCAGGTTTTCCATTACTCCAAGAAAGACGAATGCTTTAAGAAAATTAGGAATATGTATCAGTCATAAAATAAAGTCCTTTACACTTCGCCTTTCACAAAGGTCGTTTCTTGACTAGGCTCAGTAACATAGAATGGACTTGATGGACTGTCAGCGATAACAACGGGAGCAGCAGTAGTCACTGCAAAGATAGGGACAAGGGCAAGAAGAATACGAGAGAACTTCATTATGAAAAACGATGAATGAAGAAGAGAGAAGTAAAATAGGACAGAATTTATATTCCATCAACTCAAGTCCTCGTTTTCACAAAAAAGATGCATTCTGATTTACTTTTTATTATCAATGAAGAAGGGGAATAGAATAAAGAAGGTAAAGAACGAGATGTATGCGCTAATTCATTATTCTTTCTCCTTTGCATGTTTTCTTCCCCTTATTAATGGTCCATTGGGTTAGGTTTCCACTCTACCTTGACGTATGGCTTATTACTTTCTTTTTCATTCAATTGTAACTCAATCGTTTCTTCTACATTAGTTGCTGCAGGTATATCAATCAATTCTTCGGATTTTGGTGTATTTTCCCATAAATCTGCAATAATCGGTAGAGATGATTTCTCCCAGTGCAGATAGTCAAAGGTGCCATCCATAACGTAAAAAAAATCAAAAAGAAAAGCGATTCTGGTTGTAAGAAATTGGGCGTAGTTTAAAAATGTTCTATACCTGTGCACTAAGGTCCACATGCATATTTACATGTTCTACTTGCTGTATGTATTTCATTCTTTTTTGTTCACTTCATTTCTTAAGGAAACATAAGTAATAGCTAATCTAGTTTCTTTAAGAATGCACGATCCGTTTTCTCTTTAGAAACCTCATGCAGAGATAATTCTTACTTTTGACACTTGCAGCTACCATGAAAGCATCTTTCTTTCAAGTTATAATGGAAAACAGACGTTTCAAAAACGGGAATAATCTATTTATTATTTGTGTACTTGAGCCATTCATGAGCCATTTTGCTTTGCATAGGTCTAAAGCGAACTTTTTCCACAGTCAAAATGGGCGGGATGAAAAAGAAATTGCTCGGACTGTCCATTTTAGAGTCCGATGTTTGTCCCAAGCTGTTAACCCCCTCAATGTATAACAAAACGAGTGGCCCAAATAGTATAACGTCCTCTTTTTCGTCATAGCCAAAAGGTAGAGTATTCATGATAGCCGATCAAAGAAGGAAGAAGGGGTTGTTGGATATATGTATGGATGGATGAATAGATGGATGGCATTTTGTATTGTAGTTGACCTGAGGTAGACAAGTGATGGAAAGAGATACAAAAATAAATAGACAGCAACCGTTGATACATTACACAATTAAATTCAGTCTAATCGCAGTAATTCAGTCATGGTCGATGCGATCTATATATACATCTGCATGTAGCAATACTTATTCTTTTGCTTAGTAACAACAACATTGATTGATCATGTAGGATTTCGATTATGCACACGTTTATACAATACAAAAGCAGCTATTCATTCATCCAGCACCATACTAAAAGAGACAGAGAGAGAGAGAGAGAAAGAACGGTTTAGTTAACTTTTACATATAGCTCAAATGTCGCACGCTCCTAGAAACAGCTTCATTGCTCCCGGCGTCTCTCGCTACTCTCGCTCTGCTGTCTACAGCAAGAAGGCTTTGTACAAGCGCAAGAAGACAGCTGTTGCTGCTCCTGCTCAACAAGCCGCTGCTGACAAGACTGTCGAAGTCAAGGGCGCCAAGAATGGTGGCAAGCGTGTCGTCCCTGCCCAAAAGGCTCCTCGCTTCTACCCTGCTGAAGACGTTCCTCAACCCAAGGTCACCCGCAAGACCTCCAAGAAGACTGTCCTCCGCTCCAATATCACCCCTGGTACCGTTGCCATCCTCTTGGCTGGTCGTTACCGTGGTAAGCGTGTTGTCGTCTTGAAGCAACTCGACTCTGGTCTTCTTCTCGTTACTGGTCCTTTCAAGATCAACGGTGTTCCTTTGAGACGTGTTAACCAAGCCTATGTCATTGCTACTTCCACCAAGCTTGATCTCTCCAACGTCAAGGTAAGATTGATATTTTATAAAGTGACACTCTGTTTACATTGTATTCCAGATTGATGAAAAGTTCAATGATGCCTACTTCAAGAAGTCTGCTAAGACTGAAAAGGCTTTCCTCCAAGGTGAAGAGGTATGTATTAAATGAAAAGATTGAGATTCCCGAAAACTGATTTCTTTATAGAAGAAGGCTGCTTTCCCTGAATCCAAGGCTGCTGACCAAAAGGCTGTTGACAAGGCTCTTCTTGAAATCGTCGTCAAGACTCCTTTCCTCCGCCAATACTTATCCTCCACCTTCAGCTTGCGCAAGGGTCAATTCCCTCACGACATGAAGTTTTAAATATAATACGAAAATAAACTTTATAATTTCATGTAACTGTATCCTATAAGACAATGCTATTTAAGGCATGAGAAAATAGATTATCCCCATCTTACCATCAACAACATGCTTACGTATCACGTAAAGAAGTCATCCGGGAACATTTTGATGCCCTTGTTTTTGTGTTTATGGGTGAAACAATGCTGGAACTGGTGGGAATAGCTCGGAAAGCATGCTAGAATAGATCAATCAGTATAAACGGTAATTTCAATATAGAAATATATGTACAACGATCAATGACGAATAAATGATGAGTAAAGAAGAAAGAGGAAGATTTGTTTATATATAAAGATCGTCCCTCACTCATCATTTACTTCTCCATCTTTTTTCTTCTCTTTTGTCTACATGTTTACCTTGATTGCTTTATTCACAGGTGTTCTCTTGGCTACATCATCTAATGGCTTTAAAAGTTCAGATATAAACACGCTTATTTCTTTTGGTGATTCCTATACCACAAGAAATATCAACTTGAGCAATCTTACATATCAATGTCGCGACTGCACGTCAGCAGGTGGTCCTAACTGGGTAACTTATCTTACCGAAGCTGAAGAATGGATCAGTTGGGACTTTGCTATGGGTGGTGCTCCATTAAATGACACGCTTGTTCACAAGGTAGAATAAACAATGTTTACTTTGTCGTATAAACTAACCTTGTTGTAGGATCCCTTGTAAGGGCATTCGCCCCTCTTATAGCATGTTTACATAACTTTGTTTAATAGAATTATTGATGTTGCTGGTCAAATACAAGACATCTACCCTAGCGTATTTGTCTCGCCTAGTAAAAAAATGGCTAAAATAGTCCAATCAGCCTACACAAAAAGCCCTCGTACCTCTCATTCTACCTTGAACAGTATCTGGGTCGGTATCAATGATATTGGTCTAACCTATGGTTGGCGAAACACGGGTCAAGTGGATGCAACCATTATGCAGCAATACAAGTCCTTGATTGTAAGTGTCTTTTTCTTCTTCTTTCTTTTTAACTCATTTGTGTGATAATAGAAAAAGCTGATTGCGAATGGTGAAACTCAGTTTATGCTGATGAATGTTCCACCTATTGAACGGTCTCCAATGTGGACAAACACGACTATAATGTCCAAGAACATCAAAAGGCATGTAGAAAGTAAGATCGAGCTCTTAGGTTGAGATCATTTTCTTATTCTGTTGAATTTTTCCAGATTTCAACAATAGGCTGTTAAAGATGACAAAAGACTTGAAGAAAGAATACTCCAATAGTACTTTTATTGTATATGATACCTGGTCTTTTTTCACTCAGGTGCTTGATCATCCTTATAAATTTGATATAAAATATACCCAAAAGTACTGTCCTGATTGGTAAGTTAAATCACACACAGACAAGTAAACTCTGTGCTCTCTCACACACGCATATCTAAAGGTCAACACCAGAGAAATATCACTGTCAACCAATGCAACAGTAAAAAAAGAAGAGTAAATTACATACATGTCTAATAACATTCAATAGGTATTTCTGGCACGACAGTCTTCATCCTACCAGTCACGTACATCAAGTCATGGCTAAAGATATCCAAGTCTTTCTTTCTAAACACTCTAATAAATAAAGCCTTTATTTAATACCAATGCATCAATGTCATTATATCACCGTTGAAATTCTAATGTGTAGGAATTACTGCAAGTCACAAATAATTGAGAGTCTTTTTCTCGTGCTTATCTATTGTTTGCGTCAATTGAAAGACGTATGTTTGTGCATTATTATTTGATTGGAATAGCTTTGATAAAAGTTGGCTGTACTTTTATGATCCATTAGACTGTATCCACGGAGATTCAAAGCCAATTGGAATTTCTTAATCCGCAATTTCAACTGCGAGCTACTGGTGTATTTTTTTTTTACTGTCCTTTTTTAAATCAACAACATATAAAAAAAGGTTACTACAATTCAACAATCAACGACCTATGGGTGATTCTTTTTTTGGGTAAAGATACAAAAAGGAGAGAAAAAGAAAGAAGGGAGTTACTCAAAGCTTGAACATAGTTTCGACACCAACTTACCGCCTTTGAGCGAAAGAGAATTGCAGCAATTGACTGACCAAGAAAAAAATAATAATAAAGATGTTTCAAGTTATGATCAAGCTGATGTCGATGTCTATGACTTTGCCACACTTCGCGACGAACTTGGTGCTCATGAAGATGTGTTGCTTGAAGACGACGATCATCTCGGTGATCAGTTATTAGAAGAAGGCGATATCAACAATGATATTACGTTTGCGGATGCTCCAGTCGGTAAAGTTTTGCTACATTATAGATTTATACTCTTTATTAAATTGTGTGTCAATTAGACAAGGACTTCGATTTTTCTGGCAACACTCAGAAATTTAGTGCAAACTTTAAAGAAACGGGCTTTACAGAAGAAGAAGCTTTCTTTGCTAAACGAAGAACAAAGGAAGAATCTGGTAAAGAAGACATTTAAGTTTTGAAATGTACTTATATTTATTGTTGTTGTTGCTATAGTCAACAGCAGTTTTAGAAATATCTGGGGGCCTTCAACCAATCCTGCTGGACACCAGACAACAGTTGGAAGAAACTTTGGCGAGGTAAAGAAAAGAAAAGAAAAAAAGCTAGGGTTTATATATTCATATTGCTTAGGCTTCTCCTATCGCATCTTCCAAATCCATTTGGGGCAACTTTAGCAGTGGACTATCAACACGTACTGTTAATATACATATTATAATCACTATCGACTAAAGTCACCTTTTATAGCCGAAACAAACGGGTTCTCTCCTTTAGCTACAGGTCACAGTGGTTTGTCTCCCTTTACGGCTGCTAATAAACAATCTGTGCGTACTCCTCAACATCAACCACAGCAACAGCAACCTCAACAATTTGTCGGTGGCCTTTCTCCTAGTGTATCTGCTGGATATGGTCCTCAAGCTCGTGTGAAGCCTTTGACCTTGGAAGATTTAGAAGCAGACATGCAGCGTCAAGCTGCGGCCAATCGATATCGTACTAATGATCCTGTTAATGGCAAGGTGATGAGCTTGGCTGAACTAGAAGCTAGTTTTGCTACTAGTGGTAATCGTCCTCAGCCAGGAGCACAGACATCTCCTTTTGCCTACCCTCAACCTGATCCTATGCAGTTGTTAGCTATGAAACAGCAGCATGAATTGAAGGAACAGTTGTCGATTGCTCGAGAACTCAAACGCAGGGAGAACTATCGAAAGGTAATTCAATTGTTCTATGGCGTGTTGAAAACTGACTGTTATATGATAGTCTCAGTATGATGGGCTCATGACTCAGCATGATAAAGATCTTGTGAACCGCATTCAGCTTTCTCAGCTAGCCTCAGGTGATCCATACGCTGATGATTTCTATTATCAGGTATACACCTCTCTTCGTCAACGAGCTGGTTTACCAACTGCCCCTGCTGTCAACACACCTAATGAACGTGGAAACCGTGGCCGTAGAGACGACAATATGATGCATCGTATGCAACAACAGTTACAACGCATTGTAAATGAAGCCAAACGTCGTCCTAAGCAAACCCAAGTTTCGCTTGAAGGTGCACTTGGTAAGATTACATCCTTGACTGTCCGTAACCCTCGTCAAGTATTGCAAGTCGCCAATGCACACGCTGCCCATACTGACTCAGGCCATACGTTACATGATGCTCACTCAGCTTCTGTCTCTCAAAAGGCTAAAACCAATATCGACAGACGTCAAGTGTTGAAATTGACTGAAGATCTGTACACGACTATACTTGAAATTGAGCAAATGCGTCGTCAAGGACCCCCCAAGGGAGCTGAAGAGGACGATGAAGCAGATGCAGTTGAGGAATTTCATCAAGCGCTTGCAGACAAGGTTGAAAAGCTGTGGAATTCTTTACGCCTTTCAGAATCTTCTGATCTGACTGTTCCTTTTTTGGTGCTCTTATTATCTACAGCTAAAGGCAAGAAGTTGATACCTCGTATCGTTCGTCAATTAAACAGCAGCCAAAGCATGAAGGTTTTGAACGCGATGATTGCCAATTTCACCAAGCTTCAAGTCTGTCGTTATGTCATCTATCCTGGAACAGCTGTTGCTAATGTACAAGAAGCTCAACATCACATGTTTGTCCCTTTTGAGGAAGTAGAACTATTCATGAACGCGACAGCTCCACCACTTTTACAAATCATTGCCGAATCACCTTTGCACACAGTCAACGATTTACTCCAACTCTTCCTTCAGCAAAACGATGTACTCTCGATCGTGCATACAAAGCCTGGGCTCGCTTTTCTGACGATGCTCTTGTCGCGTGCAGAGATTTTGAAACAAGGAGGAGGAGCTTTACAAGGATTTGCTCCACCTTCTCCTGAGGAAATAACACGATGGCAGGACCTTTATACTGCCTTGTTCAACATGATCAAGGGACGCTATCTCGGCATATTTCCTTCTTTATACTACCTGATTCCAGTTAATCCCAATACATCGATAGTTCAGCTGTCACTAGCAGTAGATGACATGTATGTCTGGCAATTTTTGGCCGCGATGGCAGTTGGTGCCTCTATGGAGCAGCAACATATTCTCGTCACAGAAGTCAGGTAAAAAAAAAAAAAAAATGCATTAAAAAGAAACGAAATTAATGAAATATACAGAGACCGAGTCATGGAAAATATTTTGCTTGCTAAAAGTAATAGACTTCCTCTTGAGCAAGCAAATCACCGCATTGCAAATGTTAACTTATTCCTACATGCCTTGGGTTTGGATGCTTCTCAAGTCTCCGTTCCTCTATAAACAGACTTTCTCTAACAAAAAAAAAAAAAGAAGAAAAAGCATAAACCTTTTATATATTGTAATTTGAATAAAAAAAAGATCCTTTTATGAAATTATAATGAATGATATACATTTATTACTGAGCAAATGCTGAAAAATATAAAGATGAATTCTAGTGAATCTAAACAAAGAAAAAGGGGGTATTCTCTTAATGCTTTTGTTTGTAAACGAAAAATTGAATAAATATCTACAAAAAAGGATAAGTTTCATTACAAACAAAATATAGAATATCACTTTACCAAAAAGTCAAATAACAAAGTACCAACACTTCCCACAATCCATGACATATTCTTCCAGATATAGTCGACGTCAGTTGACTTCAAAAAGATGGACTATGATTGGATAAGCATTATAATAAAAACAACACAAACATGTATACTTACGGCTGTATAAAATATATTTCCCATGACGGCGCACAAAAACATACCAATACTTAAACCTTCTGTACTTTGATTTTTATAGTTTTTTACTAATTGAGGTATACGACTTCCGACATAAAGCAAAGCACTCAACCATCCCATGAGTTGAGGCAACCAGGTGATGCCACTGGTATCGTGGGTTTGATGGACGTTGTAGTATGTGTAACATGACACAATGGTTACCAATACAATTGACAATGCTGATATCCAATTGAATAATGTGTGGTATTTGCTACTTTGCACTTGTTCCTTCTTTTTATGCACATATGAATTCAATAAGGATGATCTCTCGGATACACTTTCTTCGTCATCCGAGGGTAGTTTTTTATGCTGATAATAGATAACTTGCCATATAAGTCCCATGTCAGCTACTGTATAATAAAGTGCCAAAAAGAACTATTTATTTGTGATTAACTCTTTTCTGTTTTGACTTTGTAATATCACTTTACCATTGTCACTAATAGATCTTGCATGATGACACCCAAGAGATTAAAGACATCTCCTGCTAACCAAATGACAAGAAACGTCATTGAAAGCCCGTCCCCGCTCTTCCGTCTATAGTTCTCCCATAGCTGTCTATAAGATAATAAATGAATATAGTTCCAATGAATAAAATCATGCGATTATTTACGGTGTGAACACAATAAGCCAACATAAGATAGATAAATAACCTGTGATGGATGACGCTAACGAAGGATCCATTAGAAAATAAGAAAAAAAAGGAGAGAAAAAAATGTTTTGAAAGTCCAACTTTAAAATTAAGCGTCATTTCAGCCACTTGACAGCATTTGTTGTTTATTTACTTTTGAACAACAAAAAGTGTCATTTTCTGCTTCTTGTTGGAAAAAAAAGATTAGTTATTTATTGCAGTGGGATCTTTTTTGGTATATGCTCCGTTTGTTGAGTTGTGTCACTTGTAGAGTTTTAATGACAGGTCTACATTGACTGCAGGAGAAAGGAAAGCGGAGAAAAAATGCCTGATTGGTTAAAAGTATAATTCAGTAAATGGGTCAAGCAAAGTAAAAGAAAAAAAAAAGAGAGAGAAAGAGGCAATAAATATCAAGATATATGCTTTACATTTTCAAAGAAGACCGTCATGCTCAATCTTGGTAAAAGAAATAGCAGTTTATCATATCGCTTAAAGAAAATGTTTGGTCTAAAATTACAGCTTTTCTTTATGTTCCATCAAAGTGAGCTTGCCAAGCTCTCTTAATGTAAAGAAGATCTGCCAAGCGACTGTGGTTGAATTCATTAAAAGAAACAATATTGATGATGATGGTATTATGTACTATTGTTCTTGAGGAAGTACGATTAAGAATATTACTTCAAGCACTCAATTTCTGATCATTTCGCACGCGTTCAAAACCGTCAGCACCATAAGACCATTCTTCATCTCTTAAATGCGACGGTAGTTACAACTTTTTATATTTGTGCTTAATCGAATAATGACAGGGATTTTCAAGTTAAATACCACTCGGCAAAACCACTGGCTATATCCATTATACGGAGCTTGCTACACAGTCTATCTATCCCAATCATGACTAATGTGATATTTGACCTTATAAAAAGGCGCCGATATCCATCGTAAGGTAAATAATAGTGCTTAAACAACGTTTCTTTCTACTAATTTGAAGACATTATATTCTAGCGCTTGGTCAGCTACGTCAAGCATCACACTCTAATGGAAAGAAACAGCCAGCTATTGGATCTATTATAATAGGCTTTATCTCTCGACCTTGGTAGTTCTTTGATATGTCAAAAACCAACCTTGTCTTGAATATAAACATTATCTACCATTCATCCAAATCAAATTCATGTCTTCGGTTCATTAATAAAACCTTATGCACACCGACCTTACATCCTATTTACTTTGTATGACAATGTCCGAAGAAGTAAACCAGACTATTAAAAGGGATTGCAAAATATACAAGGAAAAGATCAAAAGCCGCTCTCGTGTAGATCCCCAACATTTATATCAGCAATTAATCAATAAAAATCCGTAACTCTAACCTTAACAAAAGCCTTGGCTTTCTTGTCAACCTCCGCATGTCATTCGTAATTTCAGATAATGCCTTTGTCGAAAAGTGCATCGTACAAGTCTTTTATTAGCTTCCTCAATCAATATAATTTCTTTTTTAAACGGCTTTCATTAATTTCTCTATGTCTGAGGTATTTCTTTGCGGAAACATTATTATAAAGCTCTGTTTTTCTTTTAAAGCGCCATCGAGCTTTCTTTGTGTACTTATCAAGCTGAGCCAGTCAAAGTAATGCTTTTGAGCCATTCAATGTTTTACAAATAAAGGATTTTGTTTAATCGTATCTTAAGCCCTAACCTCGTGCTTGGCTTAAAAGTATCACTCAAAAGCCAGACACACTATGACGATATGCTCATCATGACAGGTGATTCATTTAATAGAGCATTGATTATAGACTAGGAAAATATATAAAAGGGCAGGAAATCAGATATTATCTTTGAAATGAATCGCTAGAAAGTTTGTGAGTGCCTAGAAGTGGCAGCCTTGGCTGCATACAATAATAATCTTCATGTAACATTTGCTGAATGATTTGCGCTAGAGTTAAAGTAAGAGTATGAGCAGAAATAGAAACAACGTGTCAATTGGTTGCTATTTACAGAAAAAATAACGTTTTTATAACGTGACGTAGAGATGTATCCCTTTCATCCAGAATAAATTTAGCATGTCCTTACTATGTTTGTGACACATGAAGGTAGATCAATATATGTATCATAGCAACAAATGCTATAAAAACTGTCCAACATCCCAGGCTAACAGTATGACTTGATACTAGTTCTGATGCAAAATAAAAAATACGGTCCAAGCTAGTAGCTTGATCTGAGGGTAGCCAACTCAGCAAAAAAATGTCTAAAGATGGCAAAATGTTTAGTATGACAGAAGTCTTGGCAGCAGTAATCCTGTGTTACAGCACAGTTATTTTAATAGCTAATTTTACTAATTTTAGTTTTTTGTTTTTAGACTAGTGTCTACAGGCAAAAGGGGTGCGCACCGCGAAAAGTTATTTCCGCCATTGTTATAAATACAGTGAATGACTCTTTGTTATTTTTCTGTGTTATTACCTCTTGTCTTTACTGTAGAATGCAACTCAAATCCATTGCTATTTCAGTTGCACTTGCAAAATTGGCAACTATTGTTTCCGCAGATGCTTCAAACTATTGGCAATCATTCACCTCTCAAGTCAATCCTCAAAACATCTCTATTCCTTCCATCACTCAAACAACCAGTGTTGACCCAACTGCTGAATGTCAATATTATCAACCTGACTCATCTTTGTTTGTCTTTAATCAATCTGAATGGCCTACTTCCTGGCAAACAGCTACTAGTAACGGCATGTCCCAGTCTGCAGAATTCCAAGCGTTGTATAACTCTATCGATTGGACTAAGGCACCCAGTATTCAGCCCCGTAAAATGACTACCAGTGGTGGATTGGATATGAGCAATTATTCTTCTGCTGAGGATCCTGACTGCTGGTGGTCCGCTAGCACCTGTACAAAGCCTAAGTTGGCTGATGTCAATAAAGATATTGTCAACTGTCCTGAACCAGAAACTTGGGGTCTTACCTATGATGATGGACCAAACTGTTCTCACAATGCCTTCTATAATTATCTTCAAGATAACAAATTAAAGGCTACCATGTTTTATATTGGTTCTAATGTCATTGACTGGCCCTATGGTGCTATGCGTGGTCTCAAGGATGGTCATCACATTGCAGCCCACACTTGGTCACACAACTACACAACTACTCTTACCAATGAAGAAGTCCTTGCCGAACTTTACTATACACAAAAGGCTATTAAGCTCGCTACAGGTGTTACTCCTCGTTACTGGCGTCCTGTAAGTAAAAAAAAAAAATAGTGTGAATGTTTCAAAAAGCTTATGCATTACATATAGCCTTACGGTGACATTGATGACAGAGTCCGTTGGATTGCTACACAATTAAACCTTACTGCTGTTATCTGGAACCTTGACACCGATGACTGGGCTGCTGGTCTTACTACTACTCTGGAAGCTGTTGAACAAAACTATCAAAACTTTGTCACAATGGGTACCAACGGAACCTTTGCCAATTCTGGTAACATTGTCTTGACTCACGAAATCAACAACAACACAATGCAGTTGGCCGTAAATTACTTGCCCAAAATCGTCAGTGCTTACAAGCAAGTCCTTGATGTTGCTACCTGTTACAACATTTCTTACCCCTACTTTGAAAATATCCAATGGACCAACACATTGAACGGTACTTCTGCCAAGAGCAGCAGCAGCAACAGCAACAACAGTGGAAGTAGCAGTAACAGCGCTGCTTCATCTAGCACCTCACCCAAGATTGGTTCTGCTGCTGCTAGTAGTTCCGGTAACTCTATTGTTCCTTCTCTTGGCTTAGCTGCCGTTTTCATGTTTACTGCCTTGTTTTAAGTAAATAAATCCATAATTTAAATTAGATGATACACCAGATAGATGATACATGTACTACTTACTTTATTCGTGTAATTTATCCAAAAACTATCTATTTTAATATTGCAACATGTGTGTATCCTTCAAGGGTAACATTTCAAATGCTCATCTCTAACTTTATCAAGCGTTATTGAACTAGTTGCTCCTGAAAACACTTCAAAGTAAAAAAAGAGGAGTTAATAATGGAGCAAACAGTTTAAACAAAAAATCGTTTCTAGTTGACTTTCCCATTTTTACCTAAAACCATGTGAATAGTTAAGCATGTAAAGCTTAGAAATCCCCCTATAAACATGGTTATCGTAAAAGAAAGAAAAGAAAGAAAGAAAGAAATGTAGTTTCAGTAACACTTTCCTCATTGACTTTGATGCTTTTTTTACGTTTGCATCTATAAATCTTCGTCATTGATAAATCTTAGAAATCATATCTATCAAGATTCATTTTTTTTTAATAGCAGCCGTTAATGTTACTCCCATAAAACGAATGCAACAAAATGTTCTACGGAGTTCTAATTGTACTTTTTTTTTCTTGTGGATTCTTTTTTTTTTTTTTTTTTTTTTTTTTTGTCAGTAAACAATGGATTCAAAAATTGAAAGTCATCGTCAATCTATGCTTGAAAAGCAAAGACAAAAGATCTATGAAGAAGCAGAAAGAGAACGTCAAAAGAATGCAAAGGTAACCTACATAAAACAAGTGTAGCTAAGGAATATAAGTATTAAATAAAAAAGTTTTTTATTCTTTCTAGATGAGTGAAGTGCGTGTTGGATCTGACAAATTCGTAAAGACAAAATCAGATATCGAATCTCAATTAAAAAGTAGTACTGTGGGTCTTACAGAATTAAAAGATTACAGAAAGATTCGTGAAAATTTGGAAGAACAACAAAAGAGAGAAGCAGCAAAGACATCACTATTAAAGTAAGCTGAAAGATCTTTTAGTATGTGTGCTTGTATTCATGTTTCTGCAAATAGTGAAGATAAGAAGAAAAAGAAAAAGAAGAGACAACTCTTAAAACTATCATTTGCTGAAGATGGAGGGGAGGAAGAGGAAGAAGAAGAAAGAACAAAAGAGAATGGAGAAGAGAAGGCGCCAAAGAAAAGAAGAATCATGAAGGATCCTACGATTGATACAAGTTTTTTGCCAGACAGAGAAAGAGAAGAAAGAGAACGAATTGAACGAGAAGAATTACGAAAAGAATGGCTGGCAAAGCAAGAGCAAATGAAGAGTAAAAAGGAATAAAGTGACACTAGGAAAACGCTTACTAATGCACCTCTTCCATTGCATAGATGAAAAAATTGATATTACCTACTCATATTGGGATGGCAGTGGGCATCGTAAAGTTGTTACAGTAAGTATATTCAGTTTTGAAAGCGTCTATGATACTCATCATCTGCTGTAGTGTAAAAAGGGAGATACTATTCAACAGTTCTTGGAGCTTTGTCGTACACAATTCCCTCAACTGAGAGGAGTGAACACAGATAATCTATTATATGTAAAAGAAGATCTTATTATCCCTCATGTAAGGACCAAAGCACATGCTATGTAAAAGGAACAGTGCTTACATAATATAACTTAGCATTATACATTTTATGATTTCATCGTCAACAAAGCAAGAGGAAAATCAGGTCCATTATTTAATTTTGATGTTCATGATGATGTTCGTTTAGTCAATGATGCAACTATCGAAAAGGACGAGGTAGGTTTAATAGGAACAGAGAGAGAGAGAATAGCCGCTTATGCATCTATTAGTCACACGCCGGTAAAGTGGTAGAGAGATCTTGGTATGAAAGAAACAAACACATTTTCCCTGCAAGTAGATGGGAAGTATTTGATCCATCAAAATCCGTAAGCAAAAAAAGATAACCTCCCTTGTGTTATTTACTAATATTTTCATGTAGTATGGCAAGTATAGAATTAAGGATACCAACAAGAGTTTTTAAATATAATAAAAGCTTTGATCAGTTTTGATGTTTATAAAAGATAAGACGTTGTCTAAAGAAAACATTTTTACTTATGTACAGTATATTTATAATAAAATATAGATAAATAGAAAGATTTAGGTCATTTCTTCTTGTGTATCGAGTTTTCTCTTTTTACGAATTTGGTATTTTTCCTTCTTTGTTTCATCCGTATCGCATCTTGGTCTTTCCAATACTGGCTTATACTTTGTCATCCTTGTTTCCTTCCCTGCGCCCAGGGGCACCACGACTGTTCCATCTGCTCTTTTGGGTTTGCGCTCAGACATTAGATCAGCTATGGTCTTGACGCTCTTATCTGACATAACAGCTGGGAATGATCCAACGCGGGTAAGATAATATTGATAGGTGAGTGTTCGGATCATCTGCATGTTCCATGCTTCATTGAAATGCAAGTAAGTACGCATCGTGGGTGGGAACGTTTCATAGACTGTATCTTTAAATGCATAGTGCCACTCGAGATCCTTAAATTCGCAATCATAGAGGACAAGAGGCAAATCACTCGCCATTGGAAAATCAGGCTTTGAAGGTACCTTTTCAATATCCAGTAAATCGCGAACTGTCTCCGGAGGCTCCAGGCCTTGTCCGACAAGGAAGAGAACAGACATCATGTATCGAACTTGATGCCAGAGAAAAGCGGTACCCTTTAGTTCGACCTCATAAAAATCTGTTCCGTGTCCTACAGACTTGGTATCTGTGTGCTGAACAGGATTGATCTTCATGGAAAGAATCAGGCGGCTATAAGAAACAATATTCTTGGACGGATCCATCTTGCAGAAATTGCGAAAATCGTGCTCTCCTTCAAAATATTGACATGCCTGACGCATTCGATTAATGTCCATGGATCCTCTCGAGAAGAAATACTTGTATGTGCGTGACGTACAGTGGTATCGAGCACTAAAGTCGTCAGGAACAGGTGCCCACGCAAGGACGCGGATATCATCTGGTAGGACACGATTGATCGTCTCGGCATAAGCAAGTTCCTCTTCGGGAGGCAACAGCCCTGGTGAAGGGTCAGAGGCCAGCTTTTTAGATCTCACCCAGAGTGCAATAACTTGTCCGAGGCCACTGACGCCCTTGTCTGTTCGACCGCATCGCGTATAATCTACACTATCGTCGATTTGCTCTATCAGTCTACACTCCTTCAGGGCTTTGAATAGCATGTCTTCAATCGTCGGTACTCGTTCAGGATCTTGTTGGCTAGCAAACCCAATGTAGTTCCAGCCGATATAAGCCACGCGAAGTGCTATCTTTCGCTTCGTGTACTTGGACATGTCGAATGGTCGTTGCTTGTCACGCTTTTTTGTCTTTTTGTGCTTCAGCTCTGAATCATCTGTTTCAGTCTTATTCAACTGTCCTTCTAATTCGGCAATGCGTTCCAATAACTGTTCGCGAGTACAGTCGCTGTATTTTGATTCCATTTTCCTTGCAGAAAAAGAATAGTAATAAATGAAATGTGAAGACGGCTGTCTGTTTTTATACACAAGCCACAAAAAGCCACCATGTGCATATCTGTCTACTCTCGGCTTGATTTGTCTGAAGCTATGGCATATTCGATATAACATGATTCTATGACAATATCAAGAGAGTTGTTTTATTTTTTTTTAAAAAAAAAGGGGTGACTACTTGCATATGTATTGTCTGGCTTGTAGAACGTATGCTGTTACTGCATAAACTATATCAAATTCAAACTGATTCTACTTGTATGCTTTCCAATCAAAAGTTTATCCTTTAATATCAATAGAGAAAAGGTTATCGATTGAATCAGATAGAGAAGAAGGGTGACTAGAGTCGATGAACAGGGCAATACTAGAGAGTATATTGACAGCTTGAGTAACGTGACTTAATTTTTTATTCTTTTTCTTTCTTGTTTGGAACATGACAACGTTTGAAGAAAAGGGGAAAGCATTCTGGGATTGGTTAGTGGCAAATGGGGCGACGATAAGCGACAAGATTGCGTTTAAAGACTATCGCTCAGAAAATTCTGGACGTGGTGTTATTGCCACACAGGACATAAAGGAAGGAGACGTCTTATTTTCACTACCTCGGTCTATCCTTCTCTCACAAGTGACAAGCTCACTTAAAGATAAAGTGAGCGAACTATCAGAACTTCCTGGATGGGCTCCACTTATTCTTTGTATGATGTATGAAATTGATAAGCCAGAATCGTTCTGGAAGCCTTATTTTGGTAAGAGTGATAATACAAGATAGGGGTCATGAGGACTTACACACACGCATAGATGTTCTACCTCGAGAATTTTCTACGCCAATGTTTTGGAATCAAGATGATTTGAAAGAATTGGAAGGAACCGATATTGTCTGTAAGATTTTAGTCATGTGTATGTGTCTTGATATGCTTATTCTTTCTTAAAAGCTAAAATAGGAAAAAAGGATTCGGATGACTTGTTCCATAATGAACTTGAGCCAATTATCAAAGTAAGGAAGAAGCAAGAATTAGCTAGGGTCAAAGTACTAATAACATATAGAAACATCCCGAGTTATTTGATGAAAAGAAGCACAATCTTGAATTATTCCATATTTGTGGATCATTAGTTATGGCCTACAGTTTCCTTGACGAAATGCAAAAATTACCAAAGAAAAAGACTCAAGAAGAAGAACAAGAAGATGAAGAGGATGACGATGATGATGATGACGAGGAAGGATTGATCACGATGGTACCAATGGCAGATATGCTAAATCATAAAGCTGGGTTCAATAATGCACGCTTATTCCATGAACCAGATTGCTTACAGATGAAAGCAATCAAAAACATAAAAGAAGGGGAACAGATCTACAACACCTATGGTGATCTATGTAATGCTGATCTTTTGAGAAAGTATGGATTTGTTGATGAAAAGAATGATTTTGATCTTGTCGAGTTGGATGGTCTTTTGGTTGTCGATGTTTGCTGTGAAGGCCAAGATGAGGCATTAAAGGAGAAAAAGGTAAGGATACATATTGTAGACAATTGATATTGACTTTATTGTAGATTGAATTTTTAATGGAAGAAGGTGCTTTGGATGAGTAAGTTTTTCTTAAAAAAAATGGATGCTGTCTTCATGTTATTAACCCTTTTGCTAAAAGGTGTTTTGTTATCGATAAAGAGTACGAAATACCTCCTGAACTGATTGTTTCTGGTATTCAAATGCTATATCAACAGAAACTCATTTACTAACTCTAAAAAAAGTACATGTATTGTGTAGTACAAAGGATGAGTTCAAAATGATGGAAGAGAAGCAAAAGTTACCAAAGCCAAAGTTAACAAAAGAAGCAAAAGAAAAGATTGAGACTATTTTAAAGAAGAGACTTGAGAGATATCCAACTAGTTTGGAGGTAAATTATAAAAAATGATAAGAATGAGCATGTCCTGATGATAGATTAGGATGATGAATTGATGCTTACACAAGTAAAAGATAACAAAAAGAATGCACTCATCGTACGCATAGGAGAAAAGAAAATAATAAAGGAAACATTGGCAAATGTCGAAAAGACACCGATTGCAGTAGAAAAGAGACCAGCGCCACAAAAAGTAGATAAGCAATCAAAGAAACAGAAAAAATAAGTAAAAGCCAAAACGATCTAGACTTTCTATTTTGAGTTAAATCATTTAAAAATATATCCATTTTTGGTTTATTTTGCCTGCAAGGGTAATAAAAAAGGAGGCTGTACTTGTCCCTTATTTTTACCTTTTTTTCCTTTTATTATTCTTTATGATTAGTTTAGCATCAGCACATCACTTTGAGCCTAGAAATATTAATCATCTTATTGCATACACGGCTTTAAATGTAAAGACGTTGCTTGAGTGTTCAAAGGAGAGATCACATTATCAGCATAGACTATTACCCACATTACAGGTCTTTATAAAGCATACATTCTACCATTGTAAACTTACACCTACAATACTGGTTGTGGCTCTTATTTACCTTGATCGTCTAAAGAGTTGCCTACCTCATCAGTCAAAAGGAGGTAAGCCTTATATCATATATACACATGTCTTTACTTACTCCAAGTAGAATTCGATACACCTTACAAGATGTTTATTGCCGCAGTTGTTTTGGCTTCGAAATTTATTGAAGATTCAAACAGTATCGTGCAATCAGTACACAAATTTGTATCCCCGTTGTATAGTCCAAGAGAAGTAAACGAGATGGAAAGAAGCTTTCTAGGTAAGTCATGTTTTTTTTTTTATCTATTTGACATATGTTAATCTATTTTTATTAGCTGTTGTAAAGGTAATATTTAAAGAATATATGCATCATTCTTTTTTTATACTAAAACACATTTTTTTAGTATAACCTATTTGTTAACCTGATCGAAGTGGATCAGTTTATCAAGCAATATAAAGATTCTCTAGAATTTGCACTCAAATGAATACCCGCTTATTATACTAACATATATATATCAATTCCATCATTTGTATCATACAACTTCTTGCACTATCACACATCATGAATAAATAAAAATTATAACCGCCTGTTTCTTGGCATATTTACCATTAGACGTATTGTCGGAATTTTAAGTCTCATTAATCTATCTTGTGTACACTATTAGGAAAAAAAAGTTTGCGAAAGAGCCTGTTTGAACCGCATTGTCCTTCAGTTGATAGATCAATTAAATAAAATATGAAAATAAATGATAAACATGAAAAAAAAAAGATTATTATGTTGATATCAAGTTGTATCAATAGAATGTCAATAGACTGAACTTGTATTTGAAGCGCTTCGTTAATTGCCTCATTCTATTCTATAATAGACTTGACTTATACGTCATACCTAACAGATGGCGTTCCTTGCCCATTTTGTGAGCGATAATCTTTAATAACGCATGGTTACTCAGGGTGTTGTACCCATGGCAACATAAAGGTGGATAGTTTAGGATTAGGAAGATTTGCTCAGCTTATGCCAACGATTGGCTGCAACTTTAACAAGAGCAAGCCAGCAATGGTAAGCTTTCTACATTTGGACAAATTGTAGCAAGCTCAAAAATGTATTTATCCATCTTGACGCCTGCCAAAATTGAGAAGCTGCATTTTTAAAGCCCAATTACAATATCTTCGGTTGATGTCCTGTGTACGTTTTATGAATTTGCTCACACTTGATCGGCTACAAAGTTTGATTGAACGATACCTGAGTTCACTTGCTGCTTGGCTTTAGTTTTTAGGAATGTATTGATGTTGTACTAACCAACTTGAAAGGTAGTCTCACATTTATTTTAATCGTTTAGAATATCTGTTGCAATATCTCTGTAGGCAATTTGTCCCTACTCTACATATCAAAGGGATACCTTTACGTAGGAACACAGTAAAGAAAACAAATGCTTAACTTTTGATAGAATTACGTCTGGTCTATGATATTCCGGTTCGCACTTTCATACCCCGAACTTAGCCTGAAGTTGGGCGTTCTCCAGCTGTTTGACAGTTTACTTGCTGCCGAGAAAAGATTTTATGACAGAGAGGCGAGGCTTTTAACGCAGTAGACGCATTCAATGTAGATTTGTGATACAGTGTGACTGATAGTATCAAAGTTGTTAAAACAAGGACCATGTATAGAGGGACTGATGCACAGTCATCTCAGCTTTGTATACATGAAAGGTATTTGAATAATTGTAAGTACATAACCAACCCCAAAGCTTGAAGGGACAATGCATGGATACATCAGTTTGCATAAAAATAGACGAAATAACACAAATAATAAGTCTGGAAGAAAAAGAAGATCCTTGTTATAGAAATATACAGCTTATTGCATATAGCGCACAGTCTTTGATATATCTATTTTTTATCACTATGAAAAGCAAATGACTGTATTATATACTTTTAGAAAATGGAAAAAAAAAAACTTAATGGAAATACTGCAATGACAAATAAAGAAGCTATGGAGTTTTTTGTAAAGCGCAAACGTAAAATCTTTCCACAGATAGATCAACGTAATTTAGTAACGTACAGTTAGGTAATAGAGCTTTGCTTTAGTTTTTCATTATTTTCCAGGCTCCAAATATATATTAAAAAAGTGTCATATTTCTTTCCATTACTACAACCTCAGTCAGTATAATTACAGCCAAGCCATGACGTTGTTGAAAGCTTTTTACATTAACTGCTCAACATTGCTTAAAACTGCCTTTACCTCTGTCCTTCTTTCTTCTTTTTTTAGTAGTTCTTCTTGGTTAAAAAAAATAGAATGCTCTCATATTTTCTGCCACTTCTCGGATATTATATTGATCGTGCCAATAGGTCTGGTTTTTGCTACTTCACCGTTAGTAATCCTTTAATTAATGTTTCTTCTGCTAATACATCATGCTGATTACACTTGAACGGCATCAGTGATGCAAGGTTTCTCAACAATCGAACATCTGAATCTATAACGACATAGATTACCTAGAACGATGAACCATAAACAAGTATATTTATGTTGTCAACACCAAGACTGTCCTTGCTCAACTGTAGACTCAAAGTTAAGTAACCTAGGTTTAACCAAGTTTATCTCTGAGCCTTGCGTTTCAATCGAAGATGAATTTGAAGAAACCTTTGCAGTCGGAAGAAAGTTCAGTTCCAAGGATGCGCTTAGAGACAAAGCAAAGGCTTTTGGAAAGAAGAATAACATCGTTCTTAGCACCCTCAGATCAGACAAGATAATGGTCACTATTATGTATAAGCATGGATCTCAATATCGTTCTGCTAAGAAGGCGGTTATCATTATGCAGCAAACCGAATCTTCCGAGAAGCCCAAGGGCACGCGTAACACTGATACTCAGCGATATGGCTGCCCTTATATGGTTTATGCTGTTCTTGAGGGTAATCAATCCGTCATCAGAAAGGTTGTTTCACAACATAAACACCAGATTATGCAAGGTCCTCGCATGTATGCTCTTAACCGTCGTTTAGATGCAGTTCAACTTGAAAGAGTATGAGCCCTTCTTGAGCTTACAGGAAACATTCCAGCAAAAGTTTATCAAATGCTGGCTAACGAAGGTGTTCCTATTGTTAAAGTGGATATATATATATATATATTATCTATACTCAATTTGTGAAGCAAACATCTGATGGTTTAGAAATGCTTCGTTTCATTAAAGGCCATGAAATGAAAGGGCACTTTGTTTGCTACTCCATTAACAGTTCCAATACTGTAATGAAGGTTTTCTTTGCAAACATGGATGGTATTAAGCAAGCCCAGAAAATGTCTGAATGCACTGTTTTAGATGCAGCCTACAAGTTGAACAGTCATGGCATAGCTTACTGAATATTGTTGGTACTGACTGTGTAAGTGGTTAAGTAAAGAGTACGTTGGCCAACTTCCATATTGCTGGAGCCTGGATGGACCATGAGAAGGAAAGTGACTATGAATGAGTACTTGAGAGTTTTAAGGAATGCGTATTCCCGGAAAATTTAGTGGTAAGCTCGACCATTGAACTGCCTAATGTTTTCGTTACCGGCAACAACAAAACATTAAGGAAAGCATTGGACAAAGCCTTTCCTCAAAGTGGCAAGCTGCCTAGTTATGTTCATATCATGTGGAACTTTCAAGTTCATGGGCTTTCTAAACTAACAAGTCTCTATTCAACTGAAGAAAACAATAAATATGTGAAAAGAGAAATTGCCCAGCTTGTTTCTGATATTGCATTATCAGCCAACACTCGCCAGAAATCTGAATGAAGCCATAGACAAGTACAAAGCATATTTTAAGTTGGAAAGCCGTTGTACTGATAATGGCGAGCATGTAATTAAGTACTTGAATAAGATGCTTAAAGAGCAAAAACGCTGGGTTGCTCTGTACGCAAACGAATACATACACTTGGGCAATAGAACATCAGATAGAGCTGATAATACACATGCCTCACTAGAGCAGTTTGTTCAAACTTCTTCTGGCAAGCTTGGCCTGGTAACTCAAAAGATAAGCCAGTGGGCAGAAGAAAAAGCAAGCATAAGAAAACTGAAAGACCAGCAAGAAAAACTAAAGCAAAGTACAAAATTGATCAACCCTAAGACTGAATACAAGCTTCAATGCCTTGTAGAGAAGCTTCTAGGTATACAATGGATAAAATCATATTGGAAATGGCCATTTCAATTTCTGCAGGCACTGTAGCTTGTAGCTCTTACCTTTGTTCAGCGAAAAAGAGCTTTCGCTTGCCTTGTCAAGTTGTTGATTAGGTCCAAGGTTCTTGATAAATCTTAGAAAGCGTGCGATTGGAATCATTGAATGATCATTAGTAAAGAAAAAGGTGACTGGGCAACCACTTCCGGTAATGGAATGTCTAGCGACAATACTATATAATATAATATTGGCTATGTTAGGTACACAATGGGCAGCATCCAGGCAAAATGATTCAGCTCGAATTAGCTGCTGCCTTTGCCATGGAGAAACAAAACCGAATATATAGCTCTGTTCGAAAACTTGAGCAACATAGGTAAAATAACCTCGTTGTTGCTGAAGATCTTTCAACCAAAGCTTGATCGATTCTTTCTGTTCATTGTGTTTTTTACATGATAGTTCTTGAACCTTTTTATATATGTTGTACACATCTTCTGAATGGGCAAACTGAACACGGTGTACAGCACACACTGAAGAGGATGATAAGCTAGCAGTTTCATGAAAAAGACCTCTTATCCTTTCATTAAAATGGCGTTGAATTGCAGCTCTTGTATCTCTTGTACCATAGCCTTCACGTAACTTTTGCAATATAGCTTCTTTGGTATTATCCGATAAAGGCAAAAAAGAGATATCATCAAGGCTTCCAATGAGATGATTGTGCTCATTATGAAGCTTAATGGTGACCTAATTCGGTGTCACGAAATAGCAGGCGACAGTAGCATAGCATTTGCAATCGATCTTCTTGTTTAGTTTCTGAACTGGTCGGCTTTTAGATGATTCATCTTCTGCCTATACGCTAGCACAACTCTTATAGGCCGCAACTTTATGGCATATATTGAAGAAATGGTTGAATAGTTGATTGGCAATGAACTATGATTAAACAATAACTTCCAAGTATATCTTTTTATTTTTGTAAAATAAGAAGTGAAGAAATATATAAATTATTAATACAGGGTAGCAATATACACCACATTATAGCACAGATTATTAGTGAGATGTCACTCTATCTACAGGCTCTTTTATATACAGTGTAATTTGGACAGGTACTGTACAAATTATGATAAGCTCTTTGAATACTCTATAAGTCAACATCAGTGCTAAATATAACATATGTACTTAAATTATGCTTCTTCTTGTTACACGCTTTAGCATAGGTTGACCTTCTTCGTTTGAAGTAGACATACCACCATTCGTCTTATCCTTATAAATCCAACGTTCTGCATGATAGACAGGTGAATTTTCAATAATATTCTTTTAAAAGTCGATATCAACGATAATTTCTCTAGGTAATGGTGTGTATTGCTCTAAAACTAAGCTCTCAGACATGACTACTATTCTTTAATAAAAGGGGAATAAGTGGACGAAAAAGCTAAAGAAGAATTAATGGCCACAACATCAAGAATAAATAGTCATTTCAAGAATTTAAAATTCAGAAAGGGGGGAAATAAGAGCAAAATAGAATGTGCTTTTTTTTTTTTCTTCGTGCCAATCACGAAGATGCCTCGTGGCTAGTAGTTTGTGATTCTAATTGAATTGTATAATTCTTCCTGAAACATAGTACGAAAGCCCCCGATACTGTCTCCCTCGCACTGAACGCTCTTAGTCCTGGAGATGGGTTCTTCGTGTTTCTTGAATGCGCTGCAGCTAGTAGCCTATGATTCTCCAATAGAATTATATAGTTCTATCTGTAATCACTGGCGAACCCTCCCGATACTATTTCCCCTGCGATGTTTGCTATTTTGTGAATATCCCTGGAGATGGGTTTCAAGAGTGCACTGGTTCATTACGATTAGGTGTCAAGATTTAAATTCGTTTGAGTAATTTTGAGCCTGGAAGGTCTGAAAAACAAGGACATATTGTTCTGATAACGCCAATAGCTTGTTAATTTAAACTCAAGTTAAAACAAATTATGCTCATTTGAACTTTGTAGATAGTTTGCCCAATCAACATGCAATAAGGCAGCTTTATGTACTGACTTAGCAAAAATCGCTTGTTTTAGCAAGGAGGCCATTGATTATCATCTCCTTGAGTCTGCAATAGCATTTCAGATTCATGATAATTCTGTTTTCTTATATCTATGTGCATACATTTTTTGACAGTAAATATAGGGTTTGCTGTTACATTTTATCTTACAAGTCTTGATCATGACAGGTTTTATACGATCTATGAATTTGGTCATCTTGACATCTCTTTTTCTTTGGCGCAGCTTCCTGTGTTTATAAACCTCAAGAATCTTAATATTTTACTCCTTGTTTGTCATGTTTTTTGGAAGTTTTGTAAGAAGTCGCAGATGCCCGATATAATCCAACAAAGGCGTCGATTATCAGTACAGCTACTGATTTAATCGACCTAACAGATCCAACAAAAGATGGAAATCGAAATCGTTCAATTCGGATCTGATAATGCTAATGTGTATATTTCAAATAAAACTTGTTGAAGTTCACTGAAACAGATAACCACATAATTGATCACTTTTCTTACAATTTTGTATACCTTAGAAATGAAATATTTTGATTGACGAAACTTTTTTTTTGTTAACTTTAAGAAAGAAGTTGTATTTACTTACCTTTTTAGTACTTACCTAATTCTGTTGAGTATAAGGCATCAGTGGCCATTATATGGACTCTTTATTCCGGCATTTATTCCAGTACTTGTAAGAATGCGAAACGAACCTTTTGAAATGACTTTTCTCCACACTTTTGCAGGCCTCCGTAATTCTTTTTGATAAAGTGTCCTCCTGTAAAAATCTATGGCGCTTTACCTTGCTCTTTGCCGCTGCCTAGAATTGTTCTATTAGGTTAAGTTCGGGAGAGTAAGGAGGAAGATATACGCATTGATATCCTCAATACTCAATGTACTTCTTTATGTTTTCATTCGTGTGAATGGGTACATTATCCATAACTATATAGTGGCCTTTCATACGTGGATGTTTATTCGTTTCATCAAGAATCGTTTGTAAGAAACTAATGTAGTGACCTGTTACAGTCCCTGAGCTTATATATCCATCAGCTTTTCGCTTCTTGGCAGGTCTTGGTTTCTTACGCCAATCGTGATCAAATCTACGGCAGAGATAGCGCCCAATATAAACGTTGTGTTTGCTCTCGTAGTAGGCCTGGTAACAATAGCACCGATGCCTTTTTTGGACCAAGCTCTTGAACGTTTCATGTTTATATCAAAAGCAGATTCATCAAGAAATACGTAATTCGTCAGGAAGTCCATGTCTGTATTTTCCCACTTACAAACGCAATCATGTCGTTCCTCAATCTTTGCTGGACTGTTTCTCTTGATAGAATGAAAATCTGCTTTTTTCAGTGAAAGGTTGCATTCACTTCTTATAAAGCTATAAACAGTGCTGTGTGAGACTTTAAGATCATGAAATCGCTTCAATAAATACTTGGTCACTCCAACAGCAGCAGCAGAGGGATTAGTATCAATGAAGTTGATAACGGTTGCCTTATGCTCTTCGGTTAAGATACATTTACGATCTACGTTTTTACAACTCTCAAACATACTATCAAGGCACATATCATACTGTCTGGCCCATCTCTGAGCAGTTCGAATGTGAATGCCCAACTGTTTCGCTGCTGCTGATGCACTCATACACTTTTCAATCCTCAGGTCGAAAAATCTAACCTTATCCTGGACGGTATAACACACATAATCACGTTTCACGCTGACCGCCCTCATATGATTGTCTTCATCTTTTAGCTTTTCTATTCTCATTGGACAAGCCGAAGAAGCTTCGCTAGAAGCTGCATTTTTCAAGTAATCAGTGTGAGTGGCAATTGTTTCAACAACAAACTCATTCTGATCGACAATGTACTCCATGTGCTCAAGGCCGCCATTCTCATCAACAACATATCCATGTCCATCTTCAAATAAAAAAAAAGCACGGCATTCATCTTAGAATGTAAAGTTTTGAAAGAAGAAAAAAAGCACACACACGTACAGTTTAAGGTCTTGATTTTATATTTTTTCGAGTGTCAAGAAATCATGGTGACACGACGTCATTTCGTTTAAAGATGATATTTTGTTGATGGTCCAAATGAGCGCAAAAATAAAATAATAAAATAAACGTCCGCCCGGACTCGTTTAATCCGTTTGGAAGTGAATGTTAGCGAAAAAAACCCTTTATAGGTACAAGGGTAAAGAATGTAAACGAAAATGAATGAGTAGGGTTATCGATGAAAAGTTAAATGAATTGCTTTAACCATACAAGAAGCTTTTGACCATGGGAATGCTTAGTAGAGATCAATTTGTTATGGTGTAATTGATCTAATTCATGTAGTAGGGAACATAAATCAGCCATCGTTGAGACCAGGTGAGGACTAGGTTTGGGGGAAACAATATCATTTCAAGCATAGCAATATGGTTTCCAAAAATACGACTTCCATCTTCGAAAATGTAAAATTGATTTTGATTGGCTGCGACATTGCTTTTTGGAAGCACTGTGCAGTAATTCCAGCCTACGCAGAACATTTGGTGGTTCTTGCAGATCCTCTATAAAAGTAATGTTACAACTGACAAAGTTGCCGACTATGACAGGGCGTACCCATATACTACAAGCACAATTCCTCTTACGATCTCTGTCATTGCCAGATGATGTGTTTCTGACTTACTTCCACATATACGTCTATCCACAAGTCATTCAAAGTGGTATACTATATCAAAAACGCCACTGTGGAAACGTTGTGCACAATATACTGATATCCTAGACAAATAGCTATTAAAGAAAATACGTCTGCAATACCTGCAAGGCAACTTAGAACAGCGGCGTACTGCACGTAGCTCAAATCTGCTTTTGCTGTGTCACCCAATAATTTCTTTGGATCCAATCCTTTGGTTGTCTACGACAAGGCTAGAAAGAAGCCGATACATACGGTGACGTCTTAGTTGGTTAGCCAGTCATAGCACTACTCGCTGCCTTCGACACATCTCACAGCTCCTTATAAAGCAACATGCCATCTATTGCCTCGACATGCATCACCATCTACAAATACCGAAACCTACAGCTGATCCCTGTCCTTCCTTTTAAATAAGCTTCCCACTCGAAAACCATACCCCTTTCAAACAAGATTGTTTTAGACTATCAGATGGCCCGTAATCTGCGCTATCTTACATGAGTTTGATCACCTATACCATGAAAAGAGCCACCATCACCATCTGACCCAGGGAAGAAACTGCTTAAATGGCTATTTAGTTCTTCATAGTAGTGTTTTTAACACTTGTTCCGTGAATCTGTCAGCCAGAGCATTTTTGCCCTCGAGCCCAGAGGGATTTTTAGATACTGTTTCACAACTTGAACCGGTCAGGGCAAAAACGGTATAATAAAAATATCACGTGCCACTTATGGCCTTTATATATTATAAATAAATAAAAATTGTTTAACCGTATATCCATGGATGTCAAGGCTGATACTACGAAAATATCCCTGGTGATGACGAATTTACATTTCGTACAGCATGAATTTTGCTCTCACCATTGAGTGCATTTATTTTCGATCACAGGCGGATTTACTTCCCGGAAAGAGTGTACAGCATAGAGACAAATGCAGTCTATGTATTGAACAGGGAAAAAAGAAAATAGGACTAATTAACAAAAACTTCCTTATTTGGAAATATCGTAATACAATACTTTCTTTACTATTAAGACAATGAGTTCTGTCTTTTTAAGAGAAGAGAAGATAAATGTGGTCAACACTTATGAATACCACGTAACTGAAAAAGTTGCTAGAGACTTTGTTTAAATAGTCTGATCTTGGCTTCTTTTTCTTTTCTTCTTTGGACCAAAAAATAAGACCAGCTATTTCCCAACTAGCCCTAAGGTGTGTTATATTATTTACTCTTGTTTGGTTCTTACCAAACTTTGGTTTCCAACACTCCTTCGACCCCTTCCGCTCCTTTGGCCGCTCTCTTCCTTGCTCTCACATGCTCTTTTTTCTTCTTTTCTCTTCTTTCTCCGGGCCAGTTATCGCTGGCCTTATCCATGATGCACTTTTGGTAAGATATTAATAATCTCTTTTACAAATTTACTCACTTTTCTTGTTTCTCTTTTTCCCTTGTAAATCCTCTTTATAATGTAAGTATTTAATATCAATTTAATAACTGATTTACTAATCATTTCTTTTTATATCCTATTCTTTTGCTTCTGATGGGCTCCCTTTTATCATTGATTGTTATTTCATTTTGTTGTCTGAAATTATCATTTTTTTTATCAGTGTGCGAATAATTTGTGAATAAAGTGTACGATTAATTACAAAAATAGCATCTACTGTTTGACCTTGGTTACGTAGGTTGGCGCTTTTTTAGAAACCAGAAAAGAGATGGAGATAAAGAGAGAGATGCATAGAATAAAGAAATAACTTTTACAGGCAATCAATTTATATCCATATATTAAAACATATGGATAAAAAAAACGATAAATGTCACTTATAACTGCTGCTGTGACATTACTATGGGAACAGTAACAAAAAAAAAGGTGATGATCAGGAAGACATATACATATAAGTTTGTTCTCCGAAATGTTACAAACAAACAAAAGCACATTTGAAACACATAGCTGTCACTTTTAAAGAAAATAAAGTAATTGAATAAATTGTATGTCTTTGACTTTCATGATTTAAAGAGCAAGTAATAGAACATCTAGGATACGTTAGCCAAGGGTATGGACTAGTACAGTTTTAGACGATTTGGATGCTACACAAAAAAAATTAAAGGAGCGGTAAAGAAACCAGTTATTTTCAACTCCTATCCTAAATTGATCTAAAAATGGCTTTACTTTTTTTTTTGGTTTCTTGATTTCCCTTTTTTCTCTCATTCGCTCTCATTCTAACAAAGCTTTACCCTTTTTACTTTCTTTTTTTTTTTATCTTATACTTATTCCTCTCCTTTCACTCTTTTCACACACACATACATCATCTCTCTCTCTCTTTTTTTCTTAGGAAATGGCATCCTTGATGAATGAAAATAACAACAGTCAATCATGGTCAAATAATAGTAGTGGTATTCAGGAAAATAATAATGAAAATGAAAACACTACGATGAATGACAGTAACGATGACAATAATAATAATGATAACGTAACAAATGCACAACCTGTTCGTAAAAGAACAAGAGCAACTGCTGACCAATTGTCAGTATTGGAAGATACTTTTGCAGTCAATGTTAGTCCAAACTCAAAATTAAGAAAGCAATTGGCCGAACAGTTGCAGATGAGTGAAAGATCTATACAAATTTGGTTTCAGAATAGAAGAGCAAAAGTGAAGCATATGCAAAAAAGAGCACAGATGCAAATGCATCAAGCTTCTATTAGAGCCCAATTGTATCAGTATCATCAACAACAGCAGCAGCAAGGTTATGCTCAACCCATGAATTATTATTACAATCCTGTTACTGCTGTTAATTATCATCATCATCCAAGCCGAATTCTTAATGCAATCCCACGTGCTCAGAGCGTTGATGCCATTCAACACTATCATCGTCAGCAGCAGCTTTTTGTTCCTCCACCTCCTCCGCCTCCTGGTATATCTCCTTCTAATTACAATCCTACCATGTTTTATCCTGCGATGGATATGTCACCAATATCAAGACAGAGCATGCCACCTTATGATCTCAATGATATTGGATTAGAATTTCCTGAATATCTAAATGGTCCTTCTCCTTCACCAAGTCCTATTCAGCCAATGAAACCGTCCACCATACCCACTTTGATACCTGTACCTGATGCAGGTCCGACTGCTGTATTAGCAACAACAACAACAACAACAACAAATACAAATACAAATACAACAACAAAAATAAATAATAAAAATAATGACACTGCAAACAAAAGGACTTCATCCGTGGAAGACACTTGGATATCTTCCCCAGGTAAAAATATATATAATGAATACCCTTTTTTTTCCTTTGTTCTAAACGCCCTCATTTTAGATTCTTCCAATAACAACGATGACAAGAATAATAAGAATGCCACATCAACAGACAGCAGTACGGTTGATCCATCAAATTTACTCATTACTGGTAAAGAACAATCGACTATTGTTATAGAAGGCGACGAAGAAGAAGAACCTAAAGACCTATACCTAAGTGCTACTACACTTACTATTGGTACGTGGCACAGATTAAGGATGAGTGAAACAGACTTGGTTTGTGTTTATCGACCAGATACACGTACATTTGCGTGGCATATTGTTGACGGAGGATGTCATTTTAAAATGGAAGTAACGCAAGATGCAGTGAGTAGTATTGAATATATTGTAAATGGTGAACATGATGCGTTAGCAGAAGTTCATTTTGATATAAGTGAGCCTCCACTCTTTTATATGGAGTCCACGACAGTAAATACAACTATTGAAGAAGACCCACATGATAAAAAAAAGAGAAAGGCTAGCAATGCAAGCATAATTACACCAGTATGGGTGCAGTGCTCTGACTTTACAGAGGGCAAGCAAGCATCAAGATTCTTTAGACATACATTAAAAGGTGTGCAGCATCATCTTAAACAAGAACTACTGGCCTTGATACAAAACCATGAAGAAACAAGACGACTTGTTCATTTCATTGAGCCACCAGCACCCTCTGCTGCCGCTGCCGCTGCTGCTGCTAATATTTATCCCATGGACTATCCAACAGATATCGCTGGTTACTTAAACCCAGGCGTGTACTGGAATAATGGAGGTGGTATTCCGATTACTACATCTGCTGGTAATACGAATGGTGGAACATCAAGTAACAGTGATCTATTATCCTGTGGTCTCTATATTAGTTAAATATCTATACATATATATTCATCCATATACTCTCTCTTTCTCTCTCTGTTTGTTGTAGGTTTTACTTGTATAATCTACCTTTTCTTTTTTTGTTGTCATATTTTTTTTTGTTGTTGTATAGTATCATTATTTTTTCTTTCTTTCTTTCTTTATTCCTCTCTTGCTTAAAATAAACCACCCGCTTCCTCCCCTTTCTTTTTATAGGTTAAATGACAAACACACTTGACATTATGGACATTGATGGTCCAGAATTTATTAGTCAAGTGAATGAACAAATTGCAAGCTTACGTTTACTTGACAGAAAGGATATTGTGGATGTCACCATGTTTGACATTACTCATGATTATGTAAAGACAACACATGACCTTCATCTATTCAATCAAAGCTTATCAATATCAGATATCAATCATTTTGCTCAAATTGCAATTGTTGATACAAACTTTCTTATTTCAAACTTGAAATCTCTTCAGACTCTATTAAATTTGGCAGAAGAAAATATCGGAAGCTTGCTTATATTGATACCCTGGGTTGTCATAAGAGAATTAGACAGTTTAAAGGTAAGATACAATGGAACTATCATGTTCTCATCCAACCCTAGACATGTAATAGGAAAGAAGAAGTAGCTATTTTGTCAAGGAAGGCGATGAAATTTATTGAGAGTCAACTACGAAGTCAAGTCAAATCAATAAGAGGCCAGAGATTACACGAAACTTTAGATCAGAGTAACATGCAGGTGATGTATATTAAGCTATTCAACCCGCGTCATTATTGATCTTAAATGCTGATAGAATGATAAACTTAAAGGAGACGATAGGATATTGGACTGTTGCATGTACTTTCAATTAACTACACATAAGCCTATAGTGTTATTATCCAACGATAGAAACCTTTGTATCAAAGTCATGGTTCATGGCATAGAGTCAATTTCAACAGAGACAAAGGATAGAATGAACGCGTTCTTTAAAAAGATGGGCGTATCTCAAAGACAGATAGCCGAACCTGAAAAGTACACTGTTGAGGAATCTTATGTACGTATTATACATATTTGACGCGTAAAAAAAATATGTAATTGACATGACACATGGTAGGATATGGATATAGATGACGATAATGATTATACCCAGTACCAAGGCCATTCAATGGCAATCGATAACGTCCCACATATCCAAAAATCCTCTTCTTCTGGTAGTAAATGGGCGCATGAGACTCTAATTGCTCCCCGAAGGCCGACGCCTCCCCCTCTTCCTGATCTAGCACCTCCTGCTAATGCATCAGATCGTTCCACTTGGGCCTCCATACATGCTCCAAGGCGCAAATACAATTAGCTTTATTATTTATTAAACTTGTTCTGATCGTTTACGTAATTGTTGTATGTCATAAAGCTCGTAATAATTGATTGCATTTGGTTCTACCCAAAAGTCAAGACAGTTATTCCAGCATCCATGATCAAACACATTTCCTTTCTTTGTATGTCTTCTTGCTTTGTGTACTGCATGTGCACCTGCTACAAGTTGCAAGCATGGACAGAAACTTCCTTTGTGATGATGGTGATGTCTGGGTCCAGCTTCTTCAGATATTGAAGGGCCATCTGTACCTGCTGTTCCCCCACCTGCTGCTATAATGCTGGTACTGGCATTCATGTATGCATATCGGTTAATATTAGCACTCTCATTCGTTGTTGTGCCAACCGCAACTTGGTATAATTGGACAACCAATAGAAATACAGTCCAGGTCAGTTGAAATAACACCCAAATAGTGAGTGATAATGTCCATGCATCATAATCAAAGTATCCGCACATGGTGGATCCTATTAAACAGGCACTATCTACTCTATGATCATAAATGGGCGAGCTTATCGATAGGTCTATTGAAAGAGTGAATATATTTGTCGTGCTTTTTTTTTATCTTTGGCAGAAACTTACAGTTGAGAGATAATACAGTGAAAGTGACGATGGCAATGACCATATTAATCAAATATATTAAAAATGATCGATGATTTTTGATTCCAATACAGTTAAATATCCAAGGACAGTGACTATAACGAAAAAGGTTGAGTTCAAATTGAGCCCTTTATCAGCGTAAACTTACTGATCAAATCTTGCAACACATCGATTACATATATTGCAATGCTTGGATCGCAATGGCTTTTTGACTAAACAGGTAAGGCAGAAATGTCTGGCATCAAGACAATTGTCATTTGCCAATTCTTCTACTGCAAGCCGCTGTTTTTCTCTCGAAAGGTCGTTTTTCACAAAGCCAGGATCAGATGAAACAGCTTTAAAGAAGGCAAGCATGGCAGTAAAGAATGCGACGATAAATAAAAGATGCGTGAATAACCATTGTGAGGTTGCTAAAATAAAAGCAAAAGGTTAGTAAGGTAACATGAGTTGATCCATTCATATTACATGGTAAAAGAATACGTATCCAAGTAACAAGGACCCAAAATGCAGAGGCCTGAAAGATGCTTGAAAAATAGGGTGTCCTCCAGACGGCGTCATTGCTGGGTATTGGGACAACATAATTTACAATCGTCAAGTGCATTGCTGCACATAAAAGCAACGTCAGTGGCAACCCAGTGTACCAAGGAAATGTAGCAAGGCATTTCAAAACAAGGCCAAGAGTGATGTATGGAAAGATATAGGCTATTGTATTCACAGTTCGCTATAAATGAGTTTAATGGCATATCGTTCAAGAAGAAGTGATCCACGCACCTTGGACAATGGTTTTCCTTTTGAACCAGGATACTTGCCCACAAGAGACGCATGAGAAGGGTTCTCTTGTGCATACACATCTAGCTCTAATACTGCTCTTTCCCAGACTTTTTCAGCTTTGTTTTCACGCACAAAATCCATGACCGACTTCCCATCCTGACCACGCGCATTCGCATCGGCACCATATTCCAAAAGCTTTTTGATACACATCTTGTTACCTCGAACAGCAGCCCAATGAAGTGGCGTAAGCTGTGCATGGTCAGTAGCTGCAACGTTTGCTCCAAATCTCAACAATAGTTCCACTGATTGTGCATATCCCTGATAAGCTGCCCACATCAAGGGAGTGTGCCCTCCTACATCGTCTGTAACATCCACGTCCATATCTAAATAAAGCAAATAGAGTACTAGCATCGCATGTGACGAGTGAACGGCCAAGTGAAGTGCATTAAATCCTTGACTATCACGCTTTGAAGGGTCTGCACCTTCTCTTATTAGTCGATGCACAGCAGCTAAGCGACCTTGTCTGTGTGAATTGTATGTTTTATATCATATACTTCTTTGGTTTGTGTGTATATGCTTTATTTACCTGGTTGCCCAATGTAAAGGCGTTGCTTGTAATTCACCGCCTGGTGCATCAACCACTGCTCCTCTGTCAATAAGATATTTTAAGCACACATCATTATTTGCTAATGTTGCATAATGCAGTGGTGTTGCTCCATGAGAATCAACATCATGAACCGTTGCAAGTTTATTATCTAGTAAATAACGCACAGTTTGAAATGAGCCTTTCTGTGCAGCTTCGAATATAGTCATGGCTAAAGAGAGAAGGTTAGTTAATCAGATAACTCATCATTAATAACTTACATTGCTCAGCAACAACATTTGCAGTTGCTTCAGTGTTTGTTACAGAAGTAGTTGGTTTTTTAGCACTCGATAGTACCTCTTTGTCTATTAATAATGGTTTTTTATCTTCTATACTTGTCATAAAGAACAGTTACTGAAAACAGTAGAAAGGACTTTTAATTCCTTTTTTTAATATTTATAGAAAGTTTTCCGGATATCCGCTTTTTCCTCAAACGTGGATATTCGCATAACAAAGAGTCAGTCTATTAGCTCTTCCCTAGAATAGCCATACTTTATGAAATCATGTGCCTAGATGCTTCCCCAACAGCTGAGCAATTCCTCTCATAAATAAAATTGCTCTCTAGCAGTAAAAAAAAGCTCTGTTTGTTTAAGGAATTCGTATCCTTGCAAGATTTACGTGTTTTAAATTCCATTACTACGAAACATTTGCGTAGTATATGACAAATGAACTTTACTTTGTATTATTGAACAGCATGAGAAGAGTTATTGAAAATGCCTTCGAATAACTGACGAAAAGTGAGCATGGAAGCTTCGAGAGGGGGCTTAGATATCCAAAACAGTATCTCATAGATATATCAAGGCGCTTGTACAAAAACATCGAGGTTAATAATGCTTTGACCCAAAGAGGAGGACAAGGCTTAGCTAGATAGCCACATATAATTTCAGTAAACTACAGACGATGATATATCAAATGCACTCAGCAAGAGAGAGACTGCTACTATTAATGAAAAATTTGAACGGAGCTAGAGTAAAAAGATATAAAAAAGAAAAAATTTTCGAGTATTTTTCTTTTTTAAAAACAATGAGGCTCTTTAACTAAATGTACTTTATTTATAGTACTCCTTAGTCACTCAGCACTCAAAGATTACTTAAACATTTCCATATAGACAACAGATCATGATCAAAGAGAGAACACATATGTATTTTCTCTTTTGACATGAGTGCCTCTGTTCACTTGTGGAAATTCATCTTATAAACATTTAAATGAAAATATTTACTTTAATTCTATAAAGGCTATGATAATTGTCCAAAAGGTGCTAATGGCGATGCGTTCGTGCGTTTTGCTACTCTAAGTTTAGCTGATCTGCATCTGGCATTATTTTCGAGTTCCTCCTCTGATGGTTGTATAACATGTTTGGTGCATATTTCAAAAGAAGGCGATACACTTTCTGCTTTTACAGAGGGCTGTCTAAATAACGTATCATCAACATCATCATCACTGGTATATTTCATCGCCTTTCTTCGTTCTCTATGAACTGCTCTTTTAAGATCAAATTGGTTATGCTGTGAATCAGCCAGGGATCTCTTCCCTGAGCAGTGATATAAGAAACGCTTAGCCATTCTATCTTCTAAGGAATGGAAGGTCACAATGGCCAGTCGACCTTCTGATTTGAGCAAATATTCACTTGCTTTTAAAGCACTTTCAAGCTCACCCAGCTCGTTATTGATGTATATACGAAATGCTTGAAAGGTACGGGCAGCAGAGTTTCTTAGCATGTCATCATTACCCCGTTGCCATTTTGGTTGAGGACACGCCTTGTGAATAATAGCTGCAAGTGCAGAAGTAGTTTCAATAGGTCCCTTTTGCCTTGCTGTTATAATAGCAGAAGCAATCTTTCGAGATAGTCTGTCTCCACCGTATTGATATATGATGTCTGCTATTTCCTCTCTAGAAAAATAATTGACAATTTCATAGGCAGAGACTGATTTTTTCAAAAGAGCCGTTTCATCCTCATGAACTGGTGCATCAGTACTGTTTCTACCTCTAGAAAACATACGCATATCTAGTGGTCCGTCTAACTTGTAGGAAAATCCTCTCTCTGGTGACTCTAATTGCCCACTGGAAACACCGATATCCATAACAATACCATCAAAACAAGGGATTCTAAAGCAACATGGATTAGTTTGAGATATTCAACAAATTATTTTCATCAGTAACCTATCAAAATGAGATTTGCAGTAATCATAAATAGAGCCAAATCTCCCTAGAACAGGGATTAGCCTGGTCTTGTATTTATCTAGTTGTGATAGCTTGAGAGCCTTTTCGTATGCAGTTGGATCTTGATCCACTGCAATCACTTTACAATTACAATGATCTATTAAAAAAGGAGTTTAGTCATTGTCAATAAGAAAGCGATATTGAGATTTACCAAGTAATGCCTTTGTATATCCACCATCTCCAAACGTCAAATCACAATAGATCTCGTTGTCCTTTGGTTGTAAATGCTGCATCACTTCGGATAGCATAACGGGTACATGTATCCTGTTGTAAGGTAGCTCTGAATAAAATCGCTTTTGTAATTTGAATGTGTAGCTTCTGCTTGCAAGTAATCTCAACATGTCTGTGAAGGGAATAAATAGGTAGCATAAATTTCTCAAGCATTAATAAGTATCTGAGTTACCAATATAATAATCCTCTTCAGGGTGAAATTGTTTGTCCTATTATTGAAGGACTACTAATCATTTGAGAAGATAGGACATACATGTTGATAAGAAACTGGGCTGAGTCCCCTGCTTGGGGCACGATTCCAATACAATGTCTCTTTCAAAAGGGCTTTTTTTTTTAATAGTCCATCTTTCCAACACAATATATGATAACTGGGATTATTCAATGTTCATTCTTTTCTACGTCAAAAGTCAAGAGTGAACTATCTGATAGATATAGGGCATCTCTTCTTGGATTAAAATAGGCTATGTGGTCAATTGCCCTAACCTTGTGCTTGTTCCCGACAAACAATCTTATTGGATGATTACTGAAAAGCTAGACATGACAACATCTCTATTATGTCTCCTTTACTTACATCCATCCACTAGCTTATCTTCTCTAGTCGCTATTAGAAAAGATGTCTTAATCCATGCATATTTATACAAGTAACAAGTATTACAGCAAGTACAGTGTTTTAAAGTAAGCCTTGTAAGATAAACGATTTAGAATCTATCTGTCTCTCTCTTTTTCTCTTTAGGTTCTGTCAGCTTATTTACAAATTTACTATGATTAATATATAAAAACTGGATTCAAAAAAAATGTACACAAATATATTAAGACCTGCTTGACCTTAAACCAATCAATGCACTAAAATGCATGACTTGTTGTCGCATGACCAAGATAGCTGATAATATACAAAAATGATATCCTCTTAAAAGAAACTCCAAAGCATATAGTCAGTAGGGTTTAGTATTCTATGGTACAATAAATAAAAATGGTATATGTATAACTCTCCATCGAATGAATTCTCTGGAGAATTTTATGCGACGGTCGGATAGAGCCAACGAGGGGAGATTGTGAAAGTTAAAACCAATAAAAAAATACAATGTCATATAGTTATTACTTGATCTTCTTTTTCGCTCGGTCAAAACTGCATCAAGATCATCCTTTATGTCAGAATTTACTGAAGAATCTTTTAGTGCGTTTCGTAAGCAACTGGCTGAAACTCAAGCTATTGCACAGCAATTGGTACAAGAGCGTTAAGTATCTATAAGCGAGACTGGTACGCTGAATAAGGGTCAATAAGCAGTGTATACATATAAATAACAAAAGCTCAGTAACATAAACTGACCAATCACAATACTAATTACAATTTTATATAATAAGTGTAATTATCAATTTTTATACCTTCATCTTTATTCTTCTAAATAAAAGAAACATAAAGAGTCCCATTGTACTTTCTGTCAATTCACATTAATAGAACAACAACAACTACAGATGCCACAAGAGCAATAGAAATTATAAGAGAAATATGTTGATGAGTCTCTTTATAACCACTTAAAATTACGAAAAGAGAGAGCTCACTATTAAAAACAGGGTCGTTTTATATGAAAATAGAATTATTAAGTGAATTATATCAAATAAAAATTGTGCGGTCAGTCTCTTTGTATTTTCATTTTTATAAATTTAAAGTAATCTTATGCATTTGTAGAGTAAATACTACGGATAAGCTGTATGAAAGGGTCTTGTATACATAATGTGTAAATGTGGTGTGTATTGATTTGCTTACGTCACTAATTTGGAAGCATGTAGTGTTCACTCCGCTATAAACGTTTGGGCGTGTACCGCTGTAGATGCTCAGTCAGGTGGCCATTTGGCCAAGCCACTCTCCTAAGTAAATTGTCCAGCTCAAAAGTTAGGGTGGTTTCTTTTTTTATAATTTACAAACAGGCAGGTATGGAACAGAAATTAACGCTAGGATTCTCTATGCACCTTTTCTTTCAAGAACAAACACGGTTTCGGACAGCCTTTATGACTGGTCGCCAGCTAGGGCCATGCTGAAGGACTTTGCAAGGCATGGTTGCTAGCCTTTACCGTGAGCAATCCCCTTAGACTTGGTGGCTATCCTTGCCTTGACGCGACTAGATGAAAGTAGAGTCGACTTGTTTGCTTTGCAAATAAGGTGTCTATCGGGGTTGCTTTGCCTTAATCTCGTTTCTGCTCAAGTATAGAAGAAGATCAACAAAGCACTTACTAATTACTTTAAACTTGAGTAATAAACTAGGAGACGACTTTTTCCAAGCTCAACCGTTGTCACTAGCCTTTATGTTTAACAGTTCACATCAACAACCTGCAACTGAATTGCCAACTCTCTTTAAAAGCCAGTAACGAACATCACAACCAATCAGTCTCTAACAGCAATTGACTACTACTGAAATATTTCCAAAAATAATGGCCTGGCTAATTCCTATATCTAATATCTGCTTCTTCCAAGTATCGTATCTATAGTTTTTCAAATAAAAATTTAGACGCATTAGCAAAAGTTGAACTAGAACTTTTGATTTTTCTTAGTTATCTTTTTGGATAAGAAAAGAGGTTTTAAATAAGGAGCTGTTAGCTAATAAAAAAAGGTAGGAAATCACTTATAGTTTATCTGTATCGTGCTTTAATCTACCTTCTATCTATATCTCAGGTAGAGGCATGACCTTCATCGGGAGGTGCAGAAAGGAAATGTTTAAGTTGGAGAGTTTTCAGTGCCTTCTGAGCTAGAGCGCTTGCGGTATTTTCAAAGGGCGGCCACAGTCTTATCGATGACTGGGTACAATATCCCTGAAGCTTGATACGACCGTCAGGCCTTTGTCCCATAGCTGTGGTGGTTCCAAACATTTTTGATCTGTACATCTAGTAAAAAAAGTAGTTATGAAAAGTAGTTTGCCTTTTAGAAAAAAAGGTTGAGGCATATCCTAGGAGTTCATGGCATATAACTACTGAGTTATTGGGTCTTCGAAACTCTCGAGGCCTTGATACTTTCATAAATGTCTCCAGCTTAACATCTTTACATTTAGGCGAAGTGAAGATAACTTGAAATCATCGATAAATTACACTGGAAACTCATATTTTTTTTAGCATTCGCTTTTTACCCTTTCCTCTGACAGGCTCGTGAAACTTGATGTTAGAGGCAGCCCTGTTACCTATGAACAGTACCTAGTCCTCTACAGACTTGCCTCTTAAAGCCTTAGTAAGCCGACTATCCAACTGTTTCCTGTTGAGGATGGAAGAAAACTTCATTTTGCGAAACGAGAGAAGAGACTTGTCACACTCTGATGACTTGTCTTCATTGGAGTAATAATACGAAGCGTCTTTCTGTTGGTCTTTACGCTACCTTCAAAAAGAGTCTTAAATGTCGTGAGCGTTCGTCTAAGATTAAAGTTAAAGAGTTTAACAAGAAGCTAAGTGGTAGATGAATTATTGACCTGAATAAGCAAATAGATACAAATTTAACCATCTTACTTTATCCCCCTAACTCTACACTTTTCTCAAGTTCATTTTGTTTAGTAACATTGAGACATAGTATATATCTGAGCAAGACTATTCAACATATGCTTAATGGCTATGGCTTTAGTATTGTTAAGCGGATGCCTCTTAAATACAGGCCGACTTTTTTGCCATCTTGACCACCCATAGATTGTGTATTTTAAAAGAATGTCCAAATTTACTATGAGGCCCTTCTTTCAGCATGGCATTGGTCCCATAGTCTAGCCAAAATTCTTTGAGCGTTGCATATCGAGAAATATGACGAAGCTCAGTTGCAGTATTATGTGCCTTAAGCAGGCCTACTCTACGAACCATGCTCCAGGGCATCTCAGCTGATGAGAGTAACTACTTTGAGATATTCTCAAAGTTCAATGATAAGACGAAGTGCAATGAATATGTTCCCTCGTCAAACTACTTAAATTATATATATAAGTATATACTTTACCTTGCCTTGGCCTACTAAAACTACATATTCCAACCTCATGGGGTATGCTTTAAGAGTTCTGAGATACTTTCTTCTAATAAAATATAGTGGAAGGAACGTATTTTATTTAAAATTATTTGTCTCAACTTTGTGACAAAATATAACTCTGACGAATAGCAATATGGCCGATACCACTTCATACTAGTATAGAGGGTACGAGAGACGGAATTGTAATCACAAACAGCACAAAACCACCTCACGGCACGGTCTTCGCTTCGGCAACATCTGGATTTTTACAACAATCTATTACTTTTTTTTTTATCATAGCCGTTGTAGATGCTCTAAATAGGTATACACTTTATGTAGTATTTTATCCTTCCTCACTTATTTATACATTAAAGGATTATGAAGAACTTACAGTATTTCCTTTAATGCTTGAAGTCTGGAGAGACATGATATTCAGTGTTAACAATAGACCTACGTATATCCTATTAGTCGACATCATGAAAAAAAAGATATCGAGTAGTCATCAATGGCCGTATAAATGTGAAAAAGTATTGGACTTGGCCTTGTTTTTACTAATAATACAGTCGCACCCCGATTCAACAATACTTTGTGTGGATAAGAATTGCATCGTTATATAAAGAAAAATTTATCGCTCAATATAGTGACAATAGGCTGCAACACTTCAAGCGTAGGAAGAAAATGTAACGTAATTTCTGAAAACGTTTTTAGCTAACAGTACTGTTAAATTGAAGTACGACTGTACATGTGCTTGACTTTTTACATAAAAAATGAAAGCTTCAACTTGTGCCATTCAAAAGCACTAAAAAGTTTAGTCTTTGTCACTATTCCCTTTTCCTTTGAGCGTCATTTCAAGCTCTCGAGTAATTTGAAGCAATGCATATGACCTGAATGATGTTTTGTTCTATAAGCGAGAAAAAACAATTTTTGTCCATTTCAGTATTGTTTTCGACTGAATATTTGTAATTTGGCAGATGTGATTCAATCTAGTGAACTTCCATAGATTACACAGATATGATGGTAATTAATATTAATAGAACTCTATTGAATAATAGTGAGAGTTTTGTTGTGCCAGCTCATTACCAAAAAAAAAAAAAAAATTGCTGCTACTGAGATCTCGCATTTCATCAATAGAGCAGCAAGTGCTGGTAAATAACAAGACTCGATTCTATATTACTTGTCTCAGATATCATACCACTATGATTATGACTAACAAATCAACAGCATGCTAATAGTCACAAGTCTTTGTATCCAAGAAAATGAGGGTTTCTTGTGTTCTCCATCATTGGTGTAAATTATAGGATCACTAAAATAGCTCAACAAATACTGTAACAACCAGATATCTTTAAGTAAGGAATAAACAATGTAGCTACGAGCAACCATGGTTCTCGAGTTTCTTAGTCTGAAGCACCTAAACTCTTTAATCTCTTATTATCGAGAGGGAAATACTATTTTTATTTTTATTTTTTTTTATTTTTTTTTTAAAAAAGATTTGGCAATATGTATATAAGCTATACAAAGAAAAACTAAAAATAAAGTAAAAATAGTTACAGGAAAGAGGAGGAATAGATAGGTCCTAGATCGCACATTCCCGAACTATCTTCTTCATAAGTCAGCTTCATAATGATGGGATCGATGCTCTCCCTCAAACTAGCAGGCTTCTCTTTTGCATATCTACAATTGGCTGCATTTTCGAGGTGCTCTTCTCTAACACTCAAAATGTCTTCCACGGACTGATCAAGTAAACTCTACTTGAAAACACATTGTAAGTACTTTTGGACAAACATATCAGATCAAAATGTTAACTACCTTTGCAGATAAGCAAAAACCAATCAAATCCGGAATAAATTCTTGCTTGTCTTCGAAGTTTGGTTTGATGTGCAGATGACGTTCTCTAAAAAAGTCAAAGAGATTGTTTTCTCCGTAGGACAGACTCCATAAATGTAGATAGCTTCCTTTAGATTTTAAAAGGAAGAGAGTTAGCTCATTTTTCTTTGCTTCTTATTTGTTACTTACCCGCTGCATTTAGAAAGAAAACTTTCACCCTCTTGAACTTATCAATTGAGGCATACTCAAATTCATCGGCGATTGACTTCAACATTGCAAGGCAACCAAACATCCCTTTATGATGATCAAAATTCAGTTTGATCTTTTCCTTGTTGTCAAAATAACCTGATGTCTCTAGCAGTAAAAGTTCGATGTTTTTCAAGCCAAAAAGCTTTATCAACCCGTCTGATTTATACTGACTACTATCGTTGAAATATAAATTTGAAAGTTTAAGTTGCCTCGTCATACTTTGCAGAATTGGTTGTCCTTGTATAAAGTCCGGCTTGACATTGGCTTTCAGACTCTTTCCAATAATCTTCGCATATGGGTATACAGAAATTTGATTAAAGCCATCTTCCGTATCTTGTTCAACGTATGATGAATATGCCTCATGGCTGCAAAAAAGAAAAGAATAGTAAGTATTGCTACTGGCAAAAAAGTTAGAAAAAGACACTTACGCCTCGTTTAGAATTTTTTCGACAATCTCTAGGCACTCGATGTCTTTCTTATCTGATGATTTTAGAGCTGGGGTGATAAGCCTAATAGCCTCCTTTGATTCTTGTAGATTCTCCTGTAGCGAAAACAGAAGTTAGCTCTTATTTTTCTTGAACAAGATTTGACACAATACTTTACAGCGTTGACAAAGGCGTCGATAAATTGATGACTACATTTTGGAACTAAAAAGTCTGAGGCCTGATGGATTTTCATGTGTTCAACGTACAAACTTGGGTCCAAGAAGGGCTTAGGCGATATTCCTTCTCCTGATCGGATTACATCGTTGGCTTCCGGGCTGAATAGAGTTCGATTAGTTTAATAGCTACGTTATGTATGGAGGTCTTCTCGTTCTACTTGCCTAAATGGGTGGAAAGCATCAGCATGACTATTGATGTATCTGAGCCATTCAGACCAGATTGTTGTTGGCTTCTGAAATATAGTAAACAAAATTAACTGTATGAAGAATACCTGCCTTATCTCTCTCTCTAGTACTTACATTTTCATTCTCTTTGACTTCATGTGCTTTTCCTTTGTTTCCTTCTTTGTTCTCACTTCCAGTTACATCTTTGTCGTGAGAGTTGCTGTCGTTCTGGCTCAGATTTGACTAGAAGTATTCAGTACCTAATATGTATTTTCTTGCCTCAATGAGTACATACCGAGTTTGGTACGTTCATATTACCCATCACGTTGTAAATAGTGCCTTGATTTCTGCTGTTATCCACCGTCAGCAATACTGGTGATATCTTTCTTCTTTTTCTTGCATTTTTCGCGAGCTGATTGCGCAGAAGTGATCTTTCAGGCTTAAGGAACAATTTAAGCTTCATGTTCTAGTTTCAGTTCTATATATATTTACATACCTTTTTCTCTGATAGAAGATAAAGTGCATACTTTTTGATTGCCTCAGGCACATCGGCTAGCGTAGTAATCCATTGAAGATCGTTATTGTAATCAGATTCTATTTTCTTAAAACATTTTGCTTTGTTGATGTTATCGTGTGTTTTTTCCCAGTACTCCAAAAAGCCCCAGTCTTCTGCACTATTGGTAGAAAAAAAATGTCTTGAACCCTCGCTTACTACTGATAGCTTATATCTTTTTTCGGCTTCTGATAGCTGCATTTAGCTTCTTTAAAGGTCAGGTGTTTTTCAAGCAAAACAGCACGGCGATTTACTACCAGTTGCTAAGATGGTGTAACCCTGGGAGATAAGTTTCAATCCCAATCACTAAATGACCCTGAAAAAAGGCACGCTCTTCGTTTTTCATTTTATATTTCTCTAAAAGGAAATGTAAATCCTTGTCGCAAAACCAAGCAACAGTTACAATACTTCCTGCTACCCTCTTTTTTACTTACTTCAATATTATTACTTAAGCAACTTAGTTGTTTACCCCATTTTGTTTTCTTTTTTCTTTTCTCTTTGACTCTCACATATTTTATTTTATACACTTTTTGCAGAAAATAGAAAAAATAAGCATTTTGTCACTTTTGTTTTTGAAGCTGTTGCTAATGAGCCCAAAACTTATCTATTTAATAAACTCAAAAGAAAAGAACAAGCCACGTATTTCAACTCATTTTTTATTGCATGAGTTGCTGTGAGAGGGCCATCTTTAGTTTTTACTTTTCTTCTTTGTGTCTTATCGATTTTAACCTTCAATATGAGCAAAAACAACAACAACCTTAAAAACCTAGACATTGACCAGATGAACGATGAAGACTTGATATTTTTATCTTTGCAGATACTATCTGAAATGAATGGAGTAGAAACACTTGCTGCAGCCACTTTAGCCGAAAGTACAGCTATTGTAAACCGTCAGACACAGATAATTCACGACTGGGTCGCAACTGTTCGCGTATTCGATCAAATAGTGCTCAACTTGAACGAAGATGCCAAATTCTTTCTCCAAATGACGAATGCAACACCCATGCAATACAGGGTTACGTACCTTTGTTTGGAAAGCAACAAAGGATTTTGGGAAGTTTAACATCCAAACTTAATCGATGAAGAACGTGACATGTTAAGACCTATTATGACATTCAAGTATCACTACCGAACGTTCATGTTGAACGTTTTCATGGCTTTTTAATTGCTATCTGATCATCCAGCCTACCAACTAGTTACACAAAATTCTACTACTGATTGACAGCAAGTAGCTTGTATATTTCAGCTGTTATTTGGGCAATATGGTGCAGAAAAGTTTTTTTTTTTTTGGTTTTGGTTTTGGTTTTGGTCAAGGATCATATCACAACTTTACCAACAGATTTCTTGAAGTAATGACTAGACTTTCCAGGAATATCATTGCATGGCCTAAAAAACACAAGCAAGTTGAACAGATTTTACACGATTTTGAGTATCCAGATGAGGAGCTCACCGCACCGGATGCCAAGACGCTTCCGACGTAGTTGATGGAAAGCTTATCAACATTTATAAGCCAAGAAAAAACCTTCAAGAGTTATAGAGATAGAAAGGGAAATATCTCTATCAATTTGCTTGCCGTTTATGATAGCCAACAAATATCCACTTACATGTACGTTGGAGAATTAGGTAAGCTCTCATTTATGGCGACTAGAAAGAAAGATACATAGAACATATTTTAACAAAGCGTGATGTAAATTAGAATGCACTCACTATGCAAAAGCCTTCAACAGAAGTGAATTGAGACACTACTGTCAAAATTTTGAGATTTGTTTTAAGAATGACAGTTACATGCTAGGAGGAAATAAACATATGTATATATGCAGTGTTATCATAAACTAGTCAAAAGAGATGCTTCAAGCTATGTAAACTCTGTAGGAAATCAGACAATTGTTGCGTAACTTGAAACCAAAGACAGAGAAATACAAGGTGTTGACCCGGATACTAAGCTAATAATTCATTTTTTTGGGTAAGTGATAATTGAATACTAAACTATAAATCACCAAAACGAAACTATGGTGTTGTATTCACGCTCGCTATTCTACGCTATCACAACATCCTTTATTCTTTTGCCGTGAACTGAAAATCTCTGCAGCGCAATTTGGTTTTCTACGCAACGCAAATTGACCAATCAATTTTACGCAAATTAGTATTTAAAAATACGCAAAAACATTTGAAAACACGCAAATTAGTACCGTGAGCACCGTATGGTTGTTTATTTCTTATTTAGAATATTAAAAATTCCCATGAGTTGATAGCAAGGGGAAATAAGGAAACTTGAATAGAGGAGAAGGAAAGGGGGAGATTGTAATGTAAGAGGCAAAATAAGATTGCAAGTAGTTTAACTTTTTACGCTTCTTCCTTTTCTTTCTTTTAAAGAAGTAACGCAGGAGATAAGGGCAAATGTGAGCAGATGCCAAAGTGTATCTTGAGAAGATAGAATCTTCTTTTTGTAATCTACAAATTCAATGAACAGAAATCATGCTTACTATATAATCAAGAGAATAAGTTGTCAGTGATATGAATAAATAAGTAATAAATTACCTTTATCTAAATGAGATGATTTTGATGATGATCTCTTTCTCTTTTTGTGATTATTCTTTTTATGATGACTAGTATGCTTTTTCTTTCTATCCTCTTCTGTGTTCTTCATAGGAGGCTTCTTGAGACAACTTTTTAATTGAACCGTAGCAGAGGCATCTTTTTGCTCTTGTTCCTCCAAGTGTCTAGCATTAGCTGATGTATCTGCTTGTATTTCGACAATAATATCTTCACTCAACATTTCTTCATTGAGTGTCTTCTTTTGCCATTCTTCGCGCCTTGCTTGTTTAGCAGCATCACGGCACTCTTCAAAAGAAGGTAATAGATAAACAGTATTATGAGATAAATCGAAGCTGACTCTGCGCTTAGCGTTATTGATAGGGGTAGTAGTAGTAGTGGTTATAGTGGCATTAAACTATAATATAAGCTTTAATACCAATCATCATAAGTTGCTTTTTATTATTTATTTACTTTTTGTATTAAAGAATTATTGCGCATGATTTTTTTGGTTGGAAAAGAAAAGAAAAGAACAGAAAGGTTTGACACATTTTAGCTTTATTTTATGTAAACTGAGTCACCATCCCATCCAATAGCAATGGGTTTCGGAGTGACACCAGTCAAATAAGGAAGTATTTATTATGCTTCTTCACTCTCTTTTTTTAAAAAGCGTATAAAGCATGTTTAATTCAATCAAAAGAAACATTTATTATTATTATGACTAAATGTGCCTTTTGTTGCTATTCTCATCTATTTACAGTTGTTTTCTATTAGAATACATATTCCGACACAAAATTAATGCCAGCCAATAAGACCAATGTTTGATTATTTCGATAAAGTTCTTTAATTACAATTAAGGAAAAGTTTTGACACATGTATGTGTATGTGTTGACATCTTTGATCGCCATAGAGTCTAGGGTGTCCACAAAAAAAGACAAATGAGAAGGATGAGTATTGGTTGCTATGCTACTAACGATAGCCTTTTCCTTGACGTGTATTTCACTTTCTAAAAGTCAATGACACACGTTTCTGTTGAAATACATGCAAGAAATCTTATTAATTGAGAAAGAGAGATGTCATTTTATCATGACAATAGATCATATCATCAGTCAATTTATGCTTGGTTGTGCCTAGAGAATTACGATCCCTGAATGATCTACAAATGACTGTCCCTTGTTTTCAAGCTGGCCACGTGTTCTTTAGTAGCTTGTCTCTGATTTCTATTATGCAGTATTAACAGCATAGGATTTAACCTGTCAGAGAACAAAGATAGTTAATTAAAACAAGAACCATAAAACTGGGGGAAAAAGAACCATTGACGTACATTCAGTGATTGTGGGGTGTGTTATTAGATGTCCATAGTAGTATAAACTTGGTAAGCCAATCATAATCGATTTTATTTTACCATTTTTGTATCTTTTTATTATTATTCTTATTCTTCATTTCTTTCTGATTAATTTTTTTATATTCTTTTCCTTTTCGTTCTTTCTTTGGTGTGTTTACCAACTATTCATAATACAAAAAAAAGTCTGTCTATGTATAATACATATGACGACAACTATCGATAATCTCTCAATGAAAACTACTATTATTATGAATAGTACCACTAATATTAATGATGTTACAGCACCCCCACCTTCTTATGCAAACACCATGACGACTAGGATAAAATCCTTTTTTGTTACCTCAACACCCACTTTCACTATACCAAACGACTTTGATACTGCCTCTCAGAAAGGTTTCAAGAGTAACTCTTGGTTTTCAACAAGCGAGGAAAAGAACCAGAGTGAACACACAAAGACTATCCGTCGTGTCGCTTCTGCCCCCAATGCTAAACTATTCAACAAGACTAAAAAAAATATCAACAACAATAATAATTATAATAATAACAATACCAATAATAATTATAGTAATAATGTATCGACTATCTCAATACCATCATTAATGACAGAACCGTCTTCTCCACTCCAAAGATTGCATAGATCCTGTCGACGCACTTATTCGAGCAGTAGTATTAAAGTTAAAAAAATTGAAGTCGGTCCTTCCAGTTTTACAAAAATTCGAATGCTTGGGAAGGGTGATGTTGGCAGAGTTTATATGGTTAAACAAAAGGAGACTGAAAAGTTGTATGCCATGAAAGGTTAGCTTTTTTTTTATTTGCAAGGAGTTGGGATATGAACGTCTAAATCGAACATTAGTTTTGTCAAAGAGAGAAATGATTAAAAGAAACAAAATTAAAAGAGCTTTGGCAGAACAAGAAATCCTGACAACTTCAAATCATCCATTCATCGTTACTCTTTACCATTCCTTTCAGAGTCAAGACTATCTTTACTTTGTAATGGAATATTGTATGGGCGGTGAATTCTTCCGAGGTACAGGTCTAACTTTAATCTTGTGGTATATAGATGGAACTGATCATTGCTAATTGTATATTAGCACTTCAATTAAGACCAGGAAGATGTCTAAGCGAGGAAGGAGCCAAATTTTATGCTGCTGAAGTCACAGCTGCTTTGGAATATCTACATCTTCAAGGACACATCTATCGAGACTTGAAGCCTGAGAGTAAAATAGTTTTGTGCACAGCCATTATTTTTATGTAACACTCAATTGTAGATATTCTTTTGCATCAAAGTGGGCATATCATGCTGACTGATTTTGATTTAAGTAAAGGCTCTCATCCACCTGGTAAACCATCCATTGTGAAATCAAATTCTCCTCATACAGTAAGTTTATACAAGTGTACTATTTATATCATTAACATGTGGCAGCCACCTTCTATCGACACAAAAAGCTGTGTTAATAACCTCCGAACAAATAGTTTTGTTGGCACAGAAGGTGAGTTTATAAAAGATAAATAAACCATATCTTTGACTCACAACTGGCATTAGAATACATTGCACCTGAAGTGATTAAAGGATGTGGACATACAAGTGCTGTCGATTGGTGGACACTAGGCATCTTGATCTATGAAATGCTGGTAATACCAATAGATCACTCCCATATTTATACACCTATTCATTCCATTGTCTAGTTTGGAAGGACACCTTTTAAAGGATCTGGACGTAATGAAACATTCTCTCGTATTCTACACTGCGATGTTCAATTCTCTGAACAACCATCACCTTATAAAACGCAGATATCAAATCAAGCAAAGAATCTAGTTAGAAAACTGTTACACAAAGATGAAAACAAAAGGCTTGGTTCGAGGGCTGGTGCTTCTGATGTTAAAGCACACCCATTCTTTAAAAGTATCAACTTTGCTTTACTCAGGCATTGTAAGCCACCTATTAAGCCAGTTGTGGAGAAGCCCAATGGTATAGACGCAGTAAACTTTAGAAAGATGCCACCAGACAATAGTAGTTTTGATCTTGAATCAGATGACCTGCTTGTTACCATTCAGTCAGACAAGTCAAATCCATTTGAAAGATTCAGTTCGAGTAAGGCATAATACTATTATATGCTCTCTTCATGAACTCACTCTCCTCTTTTAGTTACTCTCTATCATGATGGTGACTCTGATTCTGACTATGAAGATGAATACTAAAAAGTCATTTAATGTACACTTATAATCTATACATCTACAGTAATAATAATCTATAATAGCAGTAATAAATAATGATAGTTATACTTATTTATGTATTTGTAATTGTTATTGTGATTGATCAGTTTATGTTACTGAGCTTTTCGTTATTGATGTGTAGACACTACTTATTGACTCTTATTCAATGTAGAATACGACACTGATTAATAGGGACACAAGCCTTGGTAAATAAATCTTCATCTTTTTGAGAAAAAGCAAGAGACTCGTATAATGTAGTCAACACTTATAAATAACAGGCAACTCATTTCCTAAACAGCTACTTTATATCTCATTCTTTTGCTTCTTGCTATTATTATCTGTTGTCTGAAGTCATCATTTTTCTACCAGTGTGCGAATAATTCCTGAATAAAGTGTACGTCCGTTTTATTCTTATAAACATTATTTAAGATGTTGATCCTAATACACCCATCTTTTCCAATGAACGAGGCCCCATTTCTTCCCATTCTTGCTTAGTAACCCACCATGATTCATTATCCTTCATGATATCGGCAAGGACAGCTCCTCCAAGGTATACCATGTGCTTACGTCTAGGTGGGTCTTCAATACGAATCTTGAATTTCTATAAACACGTATTAGAAAAGCATCAAAATAATTTCATAATCACGTACGCTTAATCTACTGGCATCTCCATTTAATACATTTGTAAGATAGAGTTGTTTCATTTCCTTTTCTAAACGACTAGGCAAGCCAGGATACATGGTTGATCCACCAGATAAAACAATATGCTTATAGAGATCAGCACGGATATCGATATCTGCTGCTTGAATAGTATTGAAGAGCATTTCTAATCATCGTTATTATTACACTGCTTGCTTTATTTATTCGTCTGTGCTTACCGGCCATTCCTGGAGCTTCAACATCAATCAAATTGGGCTGGAACAAGCACTCGGGTGCTTCAAATCGTTCAGATCCAACCTTGATAACTCGTCCATCAGGGAGCTATGACACAAACGTTAATCGGGAGTATTAAAAAAGTTAAAGCAAAATATAAACCTCATAGCTCTCTACTAATGTGGTCGTCTCATTACCGAGTTTTTGATCTAATTCAAGATCATAGCTATTATCAAAATGATTAGTCTATACCCATTTATGCTTCTTCTGCTCCTTACCTAACATAACAAAGCTTTTCCTTCATTTGACGCACAGTTTCAAAATCAGCAGTACGGTTGAATGCATATCCTCGTAACAGTAATAGCTTGATCAAGTATCTTGTCACATGACGACCTGCAACATCGAGACGACGTGTCAAGTTGGCAGGCGCATAGCCTTGATAGACAGGTACCTATGATGATAATTAATAAATAAGTCCCTTTTTCTTTTCATATAGATCTTTACAATATGTGTAACACCATCTCCAGAGTCAACTACGACACCAGACATCAAACCTATGTTATCCTTTAGCCTTCACTTTCTTTTTTAACACATTATTCAAGTTTACCTTGAGCGAAAAGCGTCAACACTGCTTGAATAGCCACATAGACGCCTTGGAATCCATATTCTTCAAACATGATTTCAGCCATTTTTTCTCTATTCTGCTTTGGATTCATGGGTGCTTCTGTCAGTAAAATCTTTGAATCCCTTGGATCAATCTTTAGCTTTTCGTCAAAAGTATAGTTCCACAAATGACGCATATCTTCCCAGTTACGAATGATACCATTCTCCATGGGATAAGACATTTGAAGGATGTTTCGAAGCTGAGCGGCTTCATCGCCCACCATTATATCTTTCACTTGAAGGTTTCCGACTTGTTCTTCCGCACGTAAAATAGGTCTACCGACGACACTAGGAAATACGTGTTCAGGGAAATTAGAACCCGCATAACCACATTTTACAAACTAGCATGTATAGATGACAAAAGATATAGTTTATTAGCAAAGGTGTTATTGTCAAATAATACTGCTGTTATTGCTATTGCTACTACTTACACCAGTACCATTGTCAACAACAAGTGTTTTTGAAGCATTCATCTTGAATAAAGTAGTTCCAACGTCAATTGGATAATACTTTGAAATAGCGGCCGAATTTTTAGAATATATGAACAACTCTTGGCGCACCACCAGACGCACCACTAAATTAATTAGTGACGTTGCTATCGAAAAATGCTGTGTTTGGAAGAAGACAACAAAAGATAAAGACAACAGTCTATCTGTTTAGTAGAGTAGCTTTACTTTATTTTTAATACATAATGAAGAAATCTATAGGGCATACTGTTGGGAATTTTTTTATAACTGCTTTATGAAAGGATTGATTTTTAGTATAGGAAGTTTTGCTAGCCTTCCAGTCTTGGTTGTTGCAGCCTGTACAAGGTAAAGATGGCTGTGGCAAACTGTACAAACAATTTACTGCTTGTGCGAATTGCGCCATTAATAGACGCTTTCGAAAAGACTGCGATAACACGACCAAACGTATCTGCTGCAATTTGTGGGTAATCAACGGTGTTGAACCAATAATCTACAGGACGTGGAGATAGGTTACATGACAAGCCTTTCTCAAAGCTGTCACCGTCATCCACTATATTTGCATACAATGTGTTTTTATATTTTATGTATGTTTGCAACATTTGCTCTTTTACTTCTTGCCATCTGCTTTGGTCATTGAGTATGGCCATGCTGATTGCTCGGAAGCCACAGTTTCAATCTTTATCATGGCTGTAAACACACGTCACTTTTCTTGTCTATTGTTTAATGCTTGGCAAACATCTTGAATTATGCCATAACAACCAAGACTACAATTTGAAATATAAGACTGAAATTAGCAGATAAACCAGGATGCCTCTTGATTACATCATCCATTGTGTCCTATGTAAATGCTGACAGCATCTTTATTAAAAAAAAAGTTAATCAGATACTTTTTGTGGTGTCATTGTTGAGTATTCATGACTTTACCTGCATATATTGGTGCCATGACCCATTTATACTAAATACTTTCCATGGCATTTTTCAGTATAAGCAAAAGATCTTCCACCAATAGGACATTGCAAGAGGAATGGCATTTTCAAATACCGCCAAATTGATGACATGTGGTAAGTGACGTAAAGACGGTCCTCGAGACTGGCGGCACCCCCTTTTCGAGTTTGCAACCCCCCCTCCCCTCCTTCGAAAAAATTTCCTGGGGAAAGTAAATTTTGAGTAGCTAAAAAAAATTTTGCTTGTTTTTTTTCTTTTCTTTCTTTAAACACTAAACCACCCTCTACAACAATGCTTAGAAACGTTGCTCGTGTTGCCAGTCCTTTAGCTGCTCGTAACTTGGCTTCAGCTGTAAGCATTAACTTTTTTTAATAGACGCTTCTCAATCTCTATATTGACATTAAATACACAAACATGTAATTGTTGACATGGCAACTACATAATTATGTTCCTACACCAAATATATATAGTCTACTGATACACAAGAAATTTCTTTGATATACACCAGTTAGAATGTTCTTGAATACAACGCATAGAGATTGAGAAGCGTCTTCTTTTGTTTTAAAAAAATAGTTAAACTCAACACCATCATTTCATAGGCCCGTATCAACCTCGGTGCTGTTGCTGCTGCTGCTCGTAGCTATGCCACTGCCAAGCCTTCTACCTCTGAAGTCTCTTCCATCCTCGAACAACGTATTTTGGGCTCCAGCTCTGAAGCTGATCTTCAAGAAACCGGTCGTGTCTTGTCCATTGGTGATGGTATTGCTCGTGTTTATGGTTTAAAGAACTGCCAAGCTGAAGAAATGGTTGAGTTCTCCAGTGGTCTCAAGGTAAGATAAAACACAAAGATAGAGGTTATGAAGGCTGACGTATTTATTATAGGGTATGGCTCTTAACTTGGAAGCTGACAACGTCGGTATTGTCGTTTTCGGTAACGATCGTTTGATCAAGGAAGGTGACACTGTCAAGCGTACTGGTGCTATTGTCGACGTTCCTGTCGGTCCTGGTATCCTCGGTCGTGTTGTCGATGCCCTTGGTAACCCCATTGACGGTAAGGGTCCTCTCGAAACCGTTGGTCGTTCTCGTGTCCAAGTCAAGGCTCCTGGTATCTTGCCTCGTCACTCCGTTAACGAACCTATGCAAACTGGTATCAAGTCTGTTGATTCCATGGTTCCCATTGGTCGTGGTCAACGTGAATTGATTATTGGTGATCGTCAAACCGGTAAGACTGCCGTTGCTCTTGACACCATCTTGAACCAAAAGAACTGGAACAACGGTTCTGATGAATCCAAGAAGTTGTACTGTATCTACGTTGCTGTCGGTCAAAAGCGTTCCACTGTTGCTCAACTTGTCAGAACTCTTGAAGAAAACGGTAAGTAAAGAATAGAATGGAAAACGAACAAGAAGCTAACTGACTTATAGATGCCATGAAGTACACCACCGTCGTTGCCGCCACTGCTTCTGAAGCTGCTCCTCTTCAATACCTTGCTCCTTTCTCCGGTGCCGCCTTTGGTGAATGGTTCCGTGACAACGGCAAGCACTCTTTGATCATCTACGATGATTTGTCCAAGCAAGCCGTTGCTTACCGTCAAATGTCCCTTTTGCTTCGTCGTCCTCCTGGTCGTGAAGCCTACCCTGGTGATGTTTTCTACCTTCACTCTCGTCTTTTGGAACGTGCTGCCAAGATGAACAAGAGCTTCGGTTATGGTTCCATGACTGCTCTTCCCATCATTGAAACTCAAGGTGGTGATGTCTCTGCTTATATTCCTACCAACGTCATTTCCATTACTGATGGTCAAATTTTCTTGGAAGCCGAACTCTTCTTCAAGGGTATTCGTCCTGCCATTAACGTCGGTCTTTCCGTCTCTCGTGTCGGTTCCGCTGCCCAAACCAAGGCCATGAAGCAAGTTGCTGGTTCCATGAAGCTCTTCTTGGCCCAATACCGTGAAGTTGCCGCTTTCGCTCAATTCGGTTCTGACTTGGATGCCTCTACTCAATTCTTGTTGAACCGTGGTGCTCGTCTTACCGAATTGTTGAAGCAACCCCAATACACTCCCTTGTCCATTGAAACCCAAATTCCTATCATCTTTGCTGGTGTCAACGGTTTCCTTGACAAGGTCCCTGTCAACAAGGTCACTGAATGGGAAAAGGACTTCATCGGTCACATCCACACTGAACACAAGTCCACTTTGGAAGAAATCCGCTCCAAGGGTGTTCTCTCCAAGGAACTTGAAACCAAGCTCCGTGAAATCTGTGAAAACCACACCAAGAACTTCTACTAATTTAATGACTCAGCTATAATATTACAAGTTTTCCTAAAGACGGGTAAAGAACTACGCTAAAATGTATAAAATAAAAAGAAGAAGCAAGATTCTTTATATATACACTTTTGTTTTAAAATAAAAAAAAAATGTGTCTCCTTTTCTTACTACATAAAATCGTCTGGCGTGTTTGGCATTTGTTCTATGGACGGCATCAAGCCTTTCCAATGATCTGTCCACTGACTTGAATGGGCAAGTTCGTGTTTTACATAGTTATTGTACATGGTAGACACATTGGTTTGCATCTTGTGTAAATATGATAATTCGGTCATGATGCAGTACTTGATGAATATCTCCCTTTGCTTGATTAGACTTAGACCATGATCTGCCAATCGTTTGTGTTTAGCTATCTGTTGTGCCAGAATATCATTTGATACAAAGGGCATACTTTCTTTTCGTTCAATCAATTCCTGCAAATACATGATTCATATGAAATATATAAAATATACTTTGCAATGTGTACCTTGAATGACTCAAACAGGTCTTTTTGGCGGATCAGATGCTCTATGACAAGATCTTCCATTGCTACTGCCTACACACACAAATAAATACAAGTATTGATTAATAGCTGCATTGAGTCTTGTTTTTGTAAAATTTATTACTTCGCGATTAAGCGACATGCCTGCCTGCTGCATAGACTTTGCTATACTTGATTGACTCTTTGCTAATTGAGGACAGCCTTGACAATGAGAAAAGGTACAGTCTTTATCAAACTCGGCAAGATTACTTTTGAATAATGGGTCATTCATCATATGCCTATTCAAAGGGGGGAAGCAACTTACGTCAGGGCCATACTATATCGAATATAATCCGTTCCTAAAGCCTTTTTAAACTTGACAATCCGATGCATGATAAAAAGCATCTGCTGGTATTGCTTTATGTATTGGATCGACCTCTTTTTCATTCGTATCACACGATCATCCCAGTCAATGGGAACCATCTTTTCTAATTCTTCTATATTCTGCTTATGCTCTATAAACTCGTCATCGAGAGCTATAGGCGGTTGTTGTTGTCTCCATTCTGTCAATGAGGATGCGTGACTCAGAAAGATATGTACAATATCATCTTTGCCGAGTACAGGATGTCTAACTACGGCATTGATGAATCGCTCAAGTCCTCTTCGTCTATTTTCTTCAAATTCTAAAGATCCTAATGATCTAGTGTTATTTGATTCATCTCTTTTTTGTCTAGTTTTATTTTACTTGCAGTGAGTCTCTTGGGCGGTAAATGAGGTATAAGCCTAAATGGGTATCTTCTTAATAGCACTTCCCACAACCACCAAAAGTCACTGAATCTTCTTATCACCTTTGTACCCAACTTTTCACTTTCGAGTTGATAATTGACATGCTTGAATAGAAAGTTTCCTTCTTTTTCAGGCACCTTGGACAATAAAATGGTGTCTAGGCTCGAAAGCCATTGGTTGAGTAATCTTTGCTGTATATCATGAGGCGATAGAATTGAAGAACGCGAAGGCGATGATATGGGTGGATCGATGGGATCAAAGTAAGGAATTGGTAAATCTATTCATATAGAATAACCACTGTTTACAAATCAACATCCTTTTTTTTACTCTCTGTATACTTACTATGTTTATATTTTGCTATCGACACTAATGATATGTCTATTATATCTATGAGTAATCATAATCAAGGTTCATAAGCTGTTTTTTTTTTTTTTTTATACCTATATCACTTTGAGCTAAAGAAACAAGAGCAAGAAAAAGATGAAATGCATTCCTTGTTACAAACAGAGGGTTATTGTGATTGTTGAGATGGATGATATCAAGAATCTGTTGTTGTACTGTCGTTGATAGACTGGATGCCTTGAGCAATTGCTCCAAGCAGCTTATGTCAATCTTTTCGTATTTTGATTTTATATCATGGTATATTCTATTGTATTCATCAGGTACAGTATCAACTAAACATCAATAAGCATAGGTGTATATATTGTGTATTTATATTATAGTACTTGTAATATCCTGTATGCTATCTATATGAGCTACCCAAGGATCTTCGGTATCATTATCATTATTGTTATTATTATTATTAGTTGTATTCATTTTTTATTATTATTGTAATTATTAAAGAGAAAGAAAGAAAGAAAAATTATGCACACAATGGCGCTATATATTTCGGATGTTTAATTCACTGGAAATTCAGATAACCCCAAGTCATCCTCTTTATCTCCTTCTTCCTCCTCCTCTTCCAAGAAATAGTCATTATCATGGTATCTCTTATCTTGCTCTAAAGCCAATAGACGATTTCTAAACTCCATGCATTCATTTTCCCATCTCATCTTTTCTTCCCATAACTCTCTGAGTTTCTTGTACGCTAATCCACAGATGACTTCAAAATTGTCCAAAGTTTCATCTAATGCTGCCTCTAGTCTTCTAACTTCGGTTTCGTCCTCTTCACTTTCTTTTTTAGTCTCTGGCACCGTGATAGGGTCCGTTGAATGCTCTACATCCATCGTCTGCACCTGCATATGTCTTACTCTCTTTCCATGATGTATATTATCCCTCTTCATCTCTTGGCTACTCTGTTCGAGTACATGTGTAATACCTAAAGCCCTTATGTGTTCCGTAGCTAAGCCAGCAGCTACTTGGTCGCTTGGAATCGGCTGATCCAGTATGCGTATCCTTTCTAGCCTTTGCAATAATGCTGTCTCTACTGTATCACTTCCTTCTGATGCCTTCAGAAAACTATCTGTGGCAACTCTAGCAATTTTATGACTATCAGGGTGACTTGACAGCAACCTACGACCTGTACTCAACTGACTCTTGATAGATAAAGAGTGTCGGAGTGATTCACTGTATAGACTAGATTCTCTCTTTTTGTTGGGCAGAATTGGATCTTTTGTTGTTGCAGTGCTACTCTTGCTTGGACGTAACACAAATGACTGGATTGATGCTGCCTCAAAAGAGGGAGCTCTACTGTTTCCTGCACTTTTAGGTACAAGTTCAACATAGCTCTTCTTGGAACCATTTGCGCTAGTTGGAGGCACCGATCGAGCAGATAAGGAAGGTACTCTCTTGGCTCTTCTCATCCTTGAAAAAATATTGGTAGATCTTTCCGGCCTTTGGAACTCTTCAGGACTTGTTGTCTTTAAGAACTCGACCAATGCTTGAGTGCCTGTCATCGCTTTCCGTGTAGGAAATAAGTCATCCATATCTTCATCATCTTCTTGATACGTATTACTTATAGCCCTTGCATCTTTTGGCTGAAAGTTGTTCTTATGAATAGCCATTGTTTATAAATATATATAAAATACAAAGAAAGAAAGAAAAAAAAAAGAAAGAGAGCTAAAGGGGAGAGAGAGGGGGGAAAGACATGGTTGAACAATTTATATTTAAGGAGACATGAGTTTTGACAGTGTAAACTTAAGGTGAAACTAAACCTTCTGAATTAGAAATAAGTCACAATATTCATAAAAATAAGGTTTTCTTTGCTTTACCTTTGGTTATGCAGCGCTACTCTTTAGAGCCACAAAAATAAAAATAAAAAATTATAAATAGCTTGCACAATGATATGTCATGGCTGGTAAAGTTTATAATCATAGTATTTGCAAAAGGAGTGGCTTTTGAGAGATCTTTTCGAACTAATGTGATGCAAATAGACAGGGCCTAAAGAAGAGGATTCCCGTATGAGATAGGTGACAGAAAAACGTGCTTATACATCCTACACTCTTCAAGACAAAACTAGGTTCTTTCAAACTGATCACTGAAAAATTTACGAGTACTTCGTCTACAGCGAAATAACTGGAATATTCACGTTCGTAAAACACATAGATGAATTAAGCAGTATGAGGAGCGTCCTGATAGCACCTTTGAAAAAAGGCTGTAGACGCATTTTGACTGGGAAACACGTAAAGGCCGGTTATTAATTTTATTGACGCTAATCCTTCTGCTGCTGTTGCTGAAGTAATTGAAAATATAATGCAGCACCCAACACTGTTTATAACTCCATGTATTCTTTTCCTTAAGCAAAAGCAGACTTTCAGCCTGTAGAGAGAAATAACCCAGCAAAGATCGAGGAACGACATGATTGGGCTCGCAAGTAGGAAAAAAAGCTGGCGTGTAATAGTACATAAAAAAGGCTTGGTATTTTTGAGAGAAGAGAAAATAAATGTGATCAGCACTTATAAATAACACGTAACTGATTTACTAACCATTTCTTTTACTTCTTGTGGGCTCTCTTTTATTATTTGCACACAGAGAGTCTTTTCCATAAATGGCAGGCGAATGTTCGAAAGTACCGGTCGGTCATTCAATCCTCAACCCTTGCTTTAGCCTCTTTCTCACTGTCTGTCTGAATTTTCTCTCATTAACAATTAAGGAAATCCACTATTTTTTTTTTTTCTTTTCTTTTTTTTTCTTACATTGACTTTCAATCATTAACAACCACCGTCCTTTATCTGCTTGCATTTCTTTCTCTCTCTTTTTTCTTTCTTTCTTTCTTTCTTTATAGTTGCTTTATGAATTAACAAATGAAGTCAGTTCCTGGTTCACCACATCCTTATTACGATGAAAAAGCAAGTGAAAGAGAAGCTCGAATAAAAAGTTTATTTGAGTCATTGGACTGTAAAAAAAGAGGATACTTGGATGCTGATGACGTTTTAGGAGGATTTTTAAAACTTACTCACTTACCAGCACATACACGATATGTCACCGATTTACTAGCAAAGTGTGATACGGCGCATGATGGAGTGATCTATTATCAAGAGTTTAGAAACTATGTATTAGAAAAGGAAAAGGAACTTTGGGAGCTATTCTCAGAGATTAATCAATCGAGCGACTTCAAGCTACGTCCTAAAGATTTGGAAAATGCTCTAAAGGCAGCTGGGATTCACGTTACGAATGATGATATCACCAATTTCATACAATGTATTGATACTGGTAAGTTGAATTATATAATATGTTTGTGTATATATACTTAATCTATTAAATAGAGGGTAATGGTTATATTGACTTTCAAGACTGGAGAGACTTTCTACTAGTAAATGATAAAGATAACATCCTGCCATTGTATTAATCATCCCTATAGTTATTACCTAGAGAAACAACACTAACTGAAGTATATCAATACTATCAAACATCAACCCAGATCACCCATGATGCTGAAGTGGTTATACCTCATACAGATGAAGCTGCCATCAATGCTTATAAATACTTAGCTGCTGGTGGAATTGCTGGTGCTGTCTCAAGAACATGCACAGCACCATTTGACAGATTAAAGGTTTACCTAATCACTCAGACCGCATATAACCCAGTTCATACAACAACAGCAGCAACAGGAATAATGAAGCAATCGGCCATATTGAATGGTTTAAAGAACATTTATCATCAAGGTGGTGGATTTCGTGCCTTCTTTGTTGGCAACGGATTAAACGTGATCAAGATTGTTCCTGAATCAGCCATCAAATTTTATGTGTTTGAAACGGCTAAATCAGTTCTTGCTGAACTGACAAACTCAGAAGATAAGAATGATATCCCTGTTGGTGCTCGCTTTGTGGCTGGCGGTGTAGCAGGTCTGTGCGCTCAGTTTTGTATTTATCCTTTAGAAACTTTAAAAACAAGAATTATGTCATCGAATGCTATACACGAGAAAAGACATCACCATCACTGTAGTGCGGCTTATAGATCCAAGCAACAGTCTATGATTATAAATACTGCAAAATCACTTTATAAGGCACACGGTTTAAGAGGATTTTGGCCGGGTTTAGCTGTGAGTCTGATGGGTGTGTTTCCTTATCAAGCCTTGGATATGGGAATCTATGAAACGCTAAAGGTTACTTATCTACAATACATGAATTCTCAAAAGGACGACCAAGGAAAGAGCAAACCCCCTAATGTGCTCGTTCTTTGGGCGTGTGGTATGGTAAGTGGATCTATTGGTGCCACAAGTGTATATCCTTTGAATATGATTAGAACAAGGTAAGTTCTGCTGTATGAATAGTATATTCGATATTCATCACAGGAGTATATAGACTTCAAGCACAAGGTACACCAGCACATCCATATAGATATACGTCTGCTTGGGATGCAGCCAAAAAGACGTTTCAAGCTGATGGAGTGAGAGGATTTTATAAAGGATTGGGACCAACACTATTCAAGGTTGTACCTTCTGTTAGTATTAGCTATGCTGTATATGAGTTTAGTAAAAGAACACTTGGTATTTCCTGATGCTTCCCTTCTCCCTTATTTATTCTATATACATGTAATTTCTTTCTTTATTTTATACATATACCAACAAAATGTCTCTTTTCTTTTTCTTTTTAGATCATAAATTTCCTTAGGGATATCCTCTAGTTTTTACTATTATTTTAGCGTAGTTTTCTTTTTATTCTTGGTCAATCTGTCATTTGTTAGAGTTTTATATAAAATGTAAATAAAATACACAATAAAATTCTCGTTTAAAAAAATTACAGTTTATTATTACTACTATTTACAAGTACAATTGGCTTATTTATTAAGCTCCTTTTGAGCTTCACCCTTCTTTTCAGTAACCTTGTTGGAAGCTTCATCAGTGGTATTACCAGTCAAAGAGTTAACAGCACCCATAACAGCACCACTTGCTTGATTAACAATACCTTGGACGTATCCAGTTACGTTTGCAGCAGTTTCTTGGATTTTTCCAGAGGTGTTTTGGGCTTGGCCCTTACTTTCAAGAGATTCGTTACCGACAGCGTTACCAACAGTTTCCTTGACATTGCCAACAAATTGATCTTTCTTGGCTTCAGACTTTGAGGGAGCAGATGAGGACATGTTTTATAATAGAAAATATGAATAGAGAATAAATATGACAAGAAGAAAAAGGCACCATATTTATACTGATTAGAATTCATGCACTGCTATTGAGAAATTACTTAAAAAGGAAAAAAGTTAACGTCATGCTGATTTCATGTTGACGCATTACAATTGTGTTCCTGTTAGCGTCATGCATAAGATACTATATCTGTGATCTATAACGTAGGTACAAAGGGCGTCATTGACGTAGGTCTTTAATTCATTTAAACATGATATTTTATTGATGGCCCAAATGAGCGCAAAAATATAAAAAAAACTATTTTTGGGATGACATTGATGATATCGAGCTTGACTTTGAAGACAATGACAAATCTTCACGATAGATTGTACTAGAGGCCAAGGGAGAGGAAAACCAAAAACATCTCCCTTTGCGGCATCAACTATCAGCTTGATTATCTTGAAACTTTGAATGACTATTCTCTATTGAAATACAATACATGAGGCTATATTCAAGAAATAAATTCTGTATTGGAATCATTTTTCGTACGGTAAGAGGGATATCTAACAAGCCAATGCTTACACTCTTAAACTCTTGGTCTTTTTTGCACCCCAAAAAGTGTTTTTGTTCGGCTTATCCTCGCAGTGGAGCGCATCGTCGAAGTCATCACTATGTGAAGGTATAAAATTTAGTCTAACATTTTTTGTGTCGGCATTTAACAATCCCATTGCCTTCAATGATTTGACAATACGAGAGCGGCATTCCGCTCTAAGAGCAATAGCTAGTATATACTTGAGCATTATCCATTAAATTTCAGAAATAGAATGGATGAGAGGGATTATTATTCTTCGTCTAATGTTGTCACTTTATACCTTTTAGCTTCATAGCCTGTCCGCCCACAAAAAATAAAATCGAACAGGTCACCATAAGCCATCCCTATACCAATTTTCATTATGGTCACCTTTTAGTATATTGTGATGCCACAGGCTACATCTATTATCCAAAAATAAAAGCTTCATTAGTATTTAAATACCACTGAACCACTAATACCTACAGTTTTTGTATAGCTAATTTAATGAATGGGTGTTCAGAATTATCACAAAACGGATCAATTTTCTCGACAGACTGGTATAGATCTTGTTTTGTATGACATTTACCAATATCCTTTAAAACCGTATATTCGTTGTTCTTCAGCAGTATAGGTAATAGGAAGCGATAGTATTTGCAAATATCATTAGCCGAAGACTTAAGACGTTTGGGTACGGGTGATATTTTCGTTAGATCTAAAACACTTCCCATACCACTATTGTAATGACAATTAATATGATATATATTTTTTTGGTTTCTTTTGTATTTCTTTCTACTTGTCGTGTTTACATAGATCACACATCTCTTAATTCTCTATTTATCCATTCTCAGCTAATAGGCGACGCAAATCAGTGGCTCGAACGCGTTTACTTCTCTTTGGGTTTGGTGGTTCTCCAGCATTAGGAACATCATTATCTGAACCAGTTTCATTTTTGTTGGTGTCGTCATTTTTGTCAACCTGAGGTTCAAGGATCTCTTGATATGCTCTTTGCTCTAGGCTATTTTTGAGTGTCCTTTTTAATTGCTATAAAAAGAATGTTCACAGCGTTATCGTATAAAAGTTGAAAACAACTGTGTTGAAGTTACTATTTTGATATTCGAATTAATTATTGATAGAGCAGGATTTGAGTCCATAACGAGTTCTACAGTGTTCACCGGTGCCTTTGCTCTTTCTTTTGCAGCTTTACACGTGCTAAGATTGTTAACTTTTTCATTCCAAAAAGTTTATAAAGCTTTTCTGAATTTGTCCTTCGTTGTATCGGCTCTACTAAAACGATAGTTTGAACTGGTATGCGCAAGCATGTTTACATCCAACCATTCTTTTGGTGGCAAAAAATCTATGTCGCTTTTTAGTACGTTGTCGTCAATTAGCTATTGATTAAAAAAAGTTGATATGCAGTGATAATTTACAGAAAGCTTATTCCAAAAGACCAGAGCCATTGAATATAAGCATAGACATTGCATATATAATGATTGTCAAGATCATGAAGCCACAAATAGGAGTTAAACTTCTGTCTTCTTTGATATCTAGAATGCTGGCACAGCATCTTCCAGCTTTCATTTCCTTTCGGTTACAGACAATTCATTATTCTCTATTTGTTCTAGCGGTATAAATTATACTTCTCTTATTGCGGTTAGCTAGTTTTGTACATATAAATGATACCAAATGTCATTCAAAGCTTAATGCACGTTGCACACGATAAAAGCATTTTATACATGACTATTCTGTACATATGAGGAGCTATAGGATCTACTTTGTGCTTCAGCAAACCAAACATGGCGAATGATAACCAAGCAGAGATCAATTCGTCTATTTCTGTCGTCTTTAAGGATTTTGTTGTACTTGAATTTTACTTATATACAGAGACCGTGACAGAAACAGGAAAATATTACATAATTGAAGCAGATACAACCAAAACAGAAACCAGAAACTAGAGACAAGTTTTCAAAGTCTACATCGTTCCACTTGAAAGGATGAACACTTCATGACAAGACTTAAAACAAACGCGGCTCCATTCTGATTTCTCGGGTGATAAAAAGAAGAGTCATTAAATATACGATCTAATGCTAGCACTGTATACTTAGGACCTAGGCGTCAGTCGTTTCGGACTTATTGGCTTGAATGGCCTTGCCAAGACCTTGGTAGACACAGTAGGCTGAAATAAAAGAGGAGATAGAAAATAAAAAGAAAAGGTTGTATAAGCTTTTGTTATACAGCATATTGTACACTTGATGAATACCATTGTCGCGTAAATCATTGAACAATGATATCTTGTACTCAAATATTCTGCAATCTAAAAACTCTCTGCAACGATTTCTCTTGATTATTTGCGCGTCTAATATGCCTTGCTTTTATAAAAAGTACAGTAATAGTCGTTATTTATTATAAATGGAAAGTTATTTTACACTTTATGATTTAGGCCCTCGTATGTGGTAAGGTGCAAATGACTTAGAATAACATGTTGTGCAAAAGAGATCAGAGTTACGATCTACCATATTTGTTGAATCTAGTCTTTTACCACATCCTATGCATTTCAAGCAAGCCTTATGATACTTATTACCAGCACCAAGGGCTAATTCAGCTGCATAGACAGGCTTCTTGCATGATGTACAAATATCACTTTGCGTTTGAAAATTGAGCTTACGTGGCACATAACTTGTATGGTTACGGATATATCCTCCTCCTCCTTCTCCCTCAGATGCAGGTTTTGTCCAGAATGAAGTCATATTTGACTTACTTTCCTCTACTTCGCTTACTGGTTCTGAACGAGCAGGTGGTGGCGGTGGTATGTCAGTAGTCTTTACTGGACGCGGTGGTAGTGTAGGTGAAGGCGTACTCAGATTCTTTTCCTTCAATATTTCACTAGGTAACTTGGTCTCTGTGCTCAAAAAGGCTGCTCCACCAGCTATCAAAAAAAAAAGTTGGTAAGTCATTACATTGGTTCATGTTGTCTATTACCAAATCCATAGCCTTTGGGTCCCCATTGTCGATTATAGCAAACTCTGCAATAAGCCTATTTGTTGTCTCAGTTTAATATGTCTCTTGTTTTATTTGTTGTCTCATTACTTCATTGTTCTTTTCGGTGAGTGTTGTCGAGTCTAGCCTCTTGTTACATTCCTAATAAGATGACAATATTAGAGTGAAATAAACACATAAGCATAATATCTTTTACTTTGCACGTGAGACAGTAGTTATGCCACGGTCCTCCAGGACCAAGCACCTATATTATCTGTGTTAGTCTCAAACAGTTTCAGTTACATATGTCCCTAATACCTGTTCTGCCATATAGACCGCTATAAAGGAAAGCCATTAGATATTATGTTAGACGTGCGCTCTTTGACTTACATTTTTCACAACGTGGACATTTAGGCGCTCCTCCGAATCTTGGCATGATTATCGTTTGATTAAAAAAAGAGAAACAGAGAGAGAATTAAAGACAATGATGAAATTAACCGGAGTTAAAATATTACATAAGTGAGATGCTCAATTGGCTGTAGATCATTTTTAGTTTAGACTAGAAACAGCCACAACATATCATAAACATATTCTTGTATAAAGAGAGATTAGAGATTATATCACTGATGTTTAATCTCTGTCGTTCTCATTTTAATCTTAACCTTTTCAGTGAAATTTAAATACAATCCAATGGATTTCCTTGGATTATTTTCTCCTTTTTCAGTAACTACTTTGATCTGCATTCCGATTGGATGATGTAAACGTGGAGATGCTGATATTGTGCATTGAAAACGTTTAGGTAGCCATAGTAATTTAGGTAATGATATAATGGAGCAAATTATATACTAATATATTGTACCAAAATGATCATCTTTAATGCTTTATTAAATTTGTATTACATGAATATAAATCCTGGACCATAGCAAAGTAACTTATATCCTCGGTATTATATTCTTCATCAAAAAGTGTCATTCTACATGATATGCAAAGATCTGCAGTACATCAAATGGCCTAATCGATAATAGATTTTGCATTTAAACGTAAATTTAAAAAGAAATCAACAGCATATCATGGTTTGATACACTGTTACTAAACGCAAACTGCTACTGATGTTCTACTGTGTAATAGCTCTAGGACATGTATTCATTCACGATATATAGTATTGTCATTAATGTCATGCGTATTCTTGAGTAAAGTATAAAGAAATAATAAACGATATACAACTGTTTCCTAGCTACACATTAACCAATGGTATGTTCTTGCTTTTTGAACCCTTGGAGAAGCAGCTAGCGTTTGTTTACGTTCATTTATACTATCGATGAGTGATTTGCGAGTTTATAATGCCATGAATTGAAGTTTTTATGCACTAGATACCATGCCCCAATCACGCAAATTTCCGATACAGCAATTGACGGCATGACTGACAAAGTTAATTTTGGTTTCAATTCCAACTAAGCTTAAGGTGATTATAACTGCCTCAGATCAGCATTCTTGACAAGTTGACTATTTTATTATGTAAAATACACACGCTATAAATTGAGTTAATCTTACAGATTCTGCATGTCAAAAAGATGCATACGATATCTATTTAATAAATTTCAAGGAAATAACATATCATCTTCATTATCAAAGACATCGCTTCCGAGAGCATTTCATGCTTTATCTGTTGCTTAAAGCCATGTAAAATGAACGAGCTTTCATGCAATATAGCAATGCTGACCAGACGTCATTACTGCTAACAAATAAAAAACTGCATACAGTCTCTCTTTTTCAAAAGATATAAAAGTTTGCAGTCTTTTATATATAGTAGATCTATTTATCTTCTCGGCTATTTTACTTGTATCAAAATGAGCAGCAGCTACTACAATAGCCTTTTTAACGAATCTTTGTACTTTGGTAAGACAAAGCATACCTGATTCGTTTTCCTACTTACACTTTTTCTAGACTATAACTCCCTTGATCAACTGCCATCCCAGGCGGATACAGAACTTGAAGAAAACTTCTTCAACTGCGAAGAGCTCCTACAAAACAGAACTACAGCTCCTCCAGCCTTATTCCAAATACAAAACTATGGCGTTTCCAGTTTTGACATAACTGCCTTGCAGACCGTTCCTGATAATGCATTTACTGCCCTGTTCGGACCAGATTTGATGGCTAATCCTTCCACTAGTCAGCAGTCAGTAGTTTCAGTTGCACAACGCCCAGTAACTCCTCCAGATATTTTGCTTCCTACCATTTATGTGGCTCCTAATCCTCAACCGATACCACAACTAATGGCTTATTCCGCCCAGCGTCAAATAGCAGTTTCTAATTCTCCCGGCGCTTCTTTTTCTGGCATTTCTTTTTGTGGTGGTTCTTCTTCGGGCGATACTTCCTGTAAAGGCTTTTCTTCCGGTGATGCAAAGTTAATCAGTCCTTCTCAAGAAATAATAGATCCATATGCAAACATCAAAAAGGCAACTCTGAATATTAATGCTCGTCTTTTGCAAAGCTTCCCATATAAATATTGCACAGACAAGCTCATTGATGGCAGGTTTTGTTTGAAATTTGCCTCTCATCAAGTCAATCCTGGTGAATCATTCAATGGCTTTCGTAACGACAACACTCCAACACTTTGGTTACACAATGACTATAACTCACTTGATGGTTCTATTCCGGTCCATCCTATTGCTCCCAAGGTGAACAATACTGAAAGACGAATTCTCTATGTTGGCTTTGAATTCTATAATGGCACTGGTCACAAGTCTAAGAAGAACAAGAAAGGCGATAAAGTAGATCCACGAGACATTGGAGAAGTGGCTGTTTCTTGCATTTACTGGCCACAAAAGAAGGATTGGTTTATCACGTCCACAGACTTTATCGAGTTGATTGAGGTGTGTCTGTTGATGCACTTTTGCCGGGAGGAAAGAAACAGGATCCGTCGCAATCTTCAATGCTTCGAACCGATTACACTGACCAAAAATGCAGAAAAAAAGGACGCGGATCCCGCTTTTTTCTCCCGAGTCATGGGCTACGACGAGCCCACAACAAGCAAAATAGAAAAAGATATCAAAGTATTTCGTTGGAACACGCTAGTGGCTGGTATGAATAAAGTGATTAACAGTTTTGTTGCCAGCAGCACTACGTGCTCCAGGCCTCCAAATAAAAAGTAATAAAGGTTTGAAGTTTTTAATAATTGTGTAAACATTATAAGCTTATCGTGAGTATCAGACGTTTATTTGAATACATGCACAAGAGAGTAGTCCATTATGAAAGAACGCTATAGGCTCATCTTGAATACTGAAAACATGCTCAAAACTGAAGCTCATGCATTATCTTCCAATTTTGGCAGTAGTGTTCCATGCAACGTAAACTAAAAATCGGTTGTAATCAAAAGGTAGAAAAGAAAATGATGCAATATTAAATTGAATAATAAACTAAAATAGTAGCAGAGCTACATTTACCTTGGTTCTTCTTGTGTCAGGAATTGTCTTATTTGTCATTCTCATAATCGTGTTGAATTTGATAAATTGGCTACTTGGCGATGGCTAGCTTCACCATTTTAACATAGTATTTGCTATGTATGATTGATATTCATGCAACAGAATCAAAGGATTGCAGAACTAGAGCAAATGTTTTCAAGAACAATACGAATTGTAGTTGCTCAATAAAAGTTAGATATAATTCTCTTTTAGGTCAGATGTATGCATGTAAAGTATATCTCTCTCAGTATGTATATCACTGCAATTAATAATGTTGTGGCCACTTCATTATGAGCGACGTTCGGTCACAGATCAAAGGGCTTCAAATACAATCACTTTAACCTTGATCAATGGATATTTATTATCAAATGACTTGCCTTTGAAAATACAAAGACAAGCAAGAGAAGTAGAATTTTTAACTGTGTAAATACTTTTTTTTTTTTTAATATGCGCTGACTTGTATGGCTTAGAAATAAAAAAAGAATAAATAGCCACTTCAAAAATTTAAAGTTCAGAAAAGGGACAACAAAAGGGCTGGAGTCGTTTTTGTAAAAGAACAAAAGGATGTCTTTGACAATTTAAATTTTTACAGTACTTTCAATGCTATAAAAGCTTTAAGGATAGTGAAAGATATTAGATGACAAAGGTGGTTATTTGCTTTAATCTTTAAAATAAGGCATATAAGAATAACCAGCTGTAGAGATTGGGACCCGAATTGATGAATTATCAAGCTATCAATGAAAAACCTATGTTTCGTCACGAAGCTTCAATGTGTTAGGACCAAGATCGCTCAATCTGTTTTTTTCCTTCCCATCAATTTCTATTACAGCATTATTCTCTTTTCTCGTTAGACATTGTTGAATAGAGCCATATAAAAGTGGGCTGTTGCCAGCCGTAGTTTTTTGATAATAACCATACGAAAAGGGCTTTTTCTTGTACTATGATGCACGTCAGTGAAAAAAAAAGGAATGCGTACTGTGGTTTTAATGCGCTTACATTGATATCTCCCGCAACAATAAGTTTGCAGCGTGTAGATGAAAGACACCCAAGAGGTAATAATGCATCATGAACATGCGCCATAGATCCATCATCGATAATCATCATTCTACAGTTTGAAAAGCCCTTCCATTTCCTAACATATTCCCAATTCGAAAAACTAGCGCCTACAACAGACACTTTTTTTTGGTGATATGTAAAACTGAAATTTTCTATATCTGAAGTATACTTGATCTCTGACCCCTTGACTTGCTTTTGGTAGGTTTTTTTCGCATAGATGATGTAAGGCCACTTGGCGGACTTATTCTGCTTCTTTATTTCCTCTACTTCTTGTAAAAGCTTTAGTACAGACTTATTACTGTTAGCAGCGACACCAATCACCAGACTTTTTGATTGATTGTATTCGACAAAGTTTGAGATATACCAGTTGATAAATTGAGCTAAAAATTCTCTTTTGACATCGTCCTTAAATTCTCTATGTTGGTTTCCTTTTTTACTTATAAGCATGTGTTAAACTTACTGAACCCCAAATGAGTTGTAGACGTTCTTTCATAATGCTGTCAACAACTTCCTGCTGAGAGCGTAATAAATTGAATCTGCCCAATGGTTCCTTTGTTTCTGATGAGTTAAAATTGATATTATCAAATGGATGCTCCTTTGACCATTTAATAGGATTTCGTAATAAATTCTAAACATAATGTGCTTAATAAATCAAGCTCAATGTTCAACAGTTCAAACCTACGTCAATACTCTTCTTAGTTTCTTCGTCTATTGTTTCAAGCATGTTTTTGAACGAATTGTTTTCGTTTTTGCCTTCGTATATCTTATACAAACGGAACTTTTCACCAAGCGTTTCAAATTTACGGTCAGCTTTAAGATTTACCGTATATTTTTCTATGGCCACACTTGTTACTCTTGGCCAGTTTTCTTCATAGGTTTCTAAACCGTACGTATATTTGATTGCCTCAACAATGTCCTGGTGCAGATTGATTGTCAGTAATACCTCTTTTAAAGAATGACACGTGCTTACCTTGTATCTGTCTGGAACAAGAATGTACTTGTAACCATTTTTTTTATCGTAGTCAAGTTTTTCTAGCCTTTTTTCTATAGCATCTTTACTTTCTGTGTTCACGACATCAAATGTATAAACACCATATGCTCTCTTTTTAAACGAAAGAACCAAGCTTGATGGTTTTTTTGACGACTTGTAGCCACATATTATGTCTAAATCAGCAATAGGAGCTTCTTGACACTGTCTTTGTTCAAATAGGCTTTTATACTTCGTAAAGTATAAGATTCTGGCAAGCATTTGATTATTACAACTGAAAGTGTCTGGCCATTTGAAGTCGGGACATGATAGAGGAAACAATTCTGGCATTGATGACGTCTTGTTAATTGCTAGCTTCCAATATTTTTCCCTGACCTTATGAAGTTGGTTCAATAGTTCAAGTTGCTTATTCTTAGTCTCCCTTGCAAATTGGTTACCATCTGTGTTTTTTTTCGAAAAATCTTCCCATTCTTTTTTAAATTCAGGGACGACTGCTTTGGGGTCTACCATGTACTTTACAGCATCGGATACTTCGTAGTAAACTTGAGCTGGAAGGGCAACATTCTGTTCAAGCAGTTGTTCAATGACAACAAATCGCTCAGTCATAAAGTTCTTTTTAACATTGTCCAAGCACGGAAATTCTTTTAAGGTGGGAACATCTAGCAGGGTAGCATCTTGAAAAAGAGCCACCAAACATTTGGTAGCATTCTTGACTATTTCTTCTTTTTCTGCGCTTTCTAGTGATGTTAAGTGCTTTCCTTGAGAAGAAACCAATTCAGAGAGAAAATTCTTGATATTATACATTTCGTTATTATCGTAAACATAAAACAAACAGAGTCCGTTCTTGCTACTATTCATATGATCAAGTATTGAATGAAGAGCGTTGATAAATCTTTTTGTAATCTCACAAAAAGCATCTTTCCGTTGTTCATCGTCTTTTTGATAGTAACTTTCGTTAAGGCAATATGTAAGCTTTTCTGAAAGATTGATGCTTGGAGATATATGAAAGGCAAAAGCATAAGGATAATAGGTGTAATCGTCATTTAGAAACGAGACGTAGATGTGATATTCAACATTATTGGGAACAAGGGTGGTAGGGAGTCCAAAAAAGATTGGCTCTTTGTTCGGCTTGCGGCAATTAACATACCCTTCAAGCCTGATGTTTAGTCGAGAAACATCTTGTTCATCAAGACACATTTTTTGCATCCGGCCAACAAGATCTTCAATATCTTTAATATCTTCAACATCTTTGGGCATGTGCTTCGCATAAAGTTCGTACCTTTCCTTGTTATTATAAGGTAGATCCTTCACAGTTCCTTTTGCACCTTCTTTGCATTGGATATAATAATCACAATTGCGGCATTTCTTTTGTAATTCCCACTTATATTTTCCACTTTTGATAATATTGGGTAGTGTAGTTTTATAAAGCTCTTCAACTTTTTGGAGTATCGTATGATTTTTATCTTCGTCGATTTCTGAATGAACGGAGAATAGTTTTGGGTTTTCCATATCACTTGGTAGCCATATTCCCACTTCTTCGTCTAAATCTATGTTCATGCGCTTGGTCAAATGTTGAATCAGGAACCAATAAGAAACGACCTGGATTTTATGTATTTCTTCTATTTTTTTGGATGATTTTGCATCTATAATACGTATCTTCTTTCGATTGGTCTTTGAATCAATGACTTGCACAAAGTCTGGCCTAAAAGTTGCTATTTTATATACTTGACCATCCTCATTAACTTTGGTATAGAAAGTGTCGTCCACAGTAAACTCTTGGTTGTAAAAGTAACTATCAGGCCCAGCCTTTTCTAGGGCTTCTTTGAAACCATTCTTTCCGTCGACTATTTTATTTTTTTCAACTAATTCGTCATATAACTTTTTTTCAAACTTTTTGCCTCTTTCTTCTGCTAAAGTTTTTAATGAGCTCCCTTGAAAATTTCCTTTAGTTGACTGATTTGCTGGCTGTTTTTCAGATAGATCTACTTTTTTTCCCTCTGAAAGCAAGTGGTAATAATTTTTTTCGCAGTTGAAATAATAGTTTCTGGACAATGTTGAAACATTGAATAAAGGAACTATATTGCCTGACTATTATAGAGTAAGCTTTGTAAGAAGATGCATTCAATAACGAATTTTTACCTCTTTGAACATTAGCGTCTAAAAGTTAGATAAAGAGAAGAACCAAACGAGAAGCTTTAAACATTCTCTATTAATCGTGTTCAATATTCGGTCAACTCCTTTGTTGCAGTTGGACAAATGCTTGCTGTGTTGTGAAACTTTTATTTCCTTATGAAAATATCTTAAACAAGAAAAGGTTCATATAAAGAACATATACCCATCTGTTTCAATGCTAAGGTCATTATGCACTATGTTATCAACAAAGGAAATAGAATTACTCTACAATAGACAATATTCCAAAACTCTTTATGACTAAAATCGAACAAACTACTATAATGGTGCCACTGCAGCATCGTGCACAGTAGTACGCTACCACATTAGTTTTTCTTGGTGTACACGTAATCACAGGCTAGAGTTTTTAGCCTGATGAACCTAACCGCTTTGTGGTTTCTATTTCAATTCTATGATTGGTATAATAAAATATAGAGAAGGGTGGCGCTTTATTTTGTAGAAATAAGAGTTTTACAAGTGGAAATTGTCGTATTTTCGCGCTGCATTTACTTTAAAAGAGTATCTACTTAGCTTATTACAGCTTGTATGTGTGAGACTACAGAGTGACATCACGCTAATACCTTTACTACAAGGTTTTGCATATAGTTATCCTGAGTGAGTGACTTGTACCTTTTTTTCCCTTTACTTCGTTTGTGTTGCTCGTAAAAGATTCCAATGAGCTTTCGAGTTCCCACGAGGTTCACTGGCTCTTGGCACTTCCACTGGCCAATCATTTGTTTCATCCCTCTTGGAGTCAGACCAGCTTCAATATGGCCATATCTTTGGATGGGCGTTTCCTTCAATGGCCCGATGACTCTGGATAGCCTTTTATCTCTTTTACTTTTTAATTTAATATGGAGAATGTTACGCTCGTTCTCCGTTTTTACTACAGAGACTCCAGTTTTTTGTATGCTGCTACGTTTCTACTACAATCATTCCAATTTTTTTTTGCTTCAATAGCACATCTTTCACCCTTGTCTTATTGGAACTTAGTGTGCGAAAATACTTGCATTTACTATTGGGGGGCTTCACTAAGCAAAATAAGACCATATACAAAAATAGTATGTCTCTTACAAAAGCAGAGCGCGACATACAAAAACTGGAGTGTATCTGGTAAAAACGGAGCGCGCGCGTAGCTTCCCCTTTAATTTTATAGCTTTCTTTTATAAAGAAAGCAAAAGAATTTACAGCTTGTTTCATTGTATTTATCAAGACTAAACTCAATAATCAGGAGTGTATGTTTGATACTTTATTGTAGTGTGTGTACTATATTTGTAGCTTCAGTTAAAAAGCAATGTATGCTTTGGTGCGCCAAACATTGGCCTTTCACCAAGCAAATGATCATGACGTATAGACCAGATTGAGTAGGAGCTTCAAATCGCCTCGTTCTCTTGTTGCTTTTCCCTCAGTCTTGGCTTATTGTTACCCGAATAGGTTGTATTCTCTTTTTATTCTATTTATAAACAGTAGCAATGAGCTATCATAGTCCTGCTCCTGCTGAAGACCAAGCAAAGCTCTTGGATGAAATACTAAATGTCTGCAAGGTCCAAGCTCATCAAATGAAGAAATGCTTGGTTAGTAAAAAAAAACAAGAAAGCCATACTATATATCATCCCTGAACACTAATGACTCTTTATAAAAATATAGGAAAATAACAGGTTGATGGATGGTCTAAAGCATTGCTCAACCATGCTGGGCGAACTAAGAACCTCTTCTTTAACGCCTAAAAACTATTATGAACTGTGTAAGTTAAAAAGAAAAAGTAAATAAAAGGAGTGGAGCATAACCTTTATTTCTTTTGAAATATAGACATGTCTATCTTTGATGCTATGCGACACTTGACAGCCTTTTTAACTGAAGCGCACGCCTCTGGAAGACATCATTTGGCCGACCTTTATGAGCTTGTACAATACGCTGGAAATATTGTACCTCGTCTTTACTTGATGATCACTGTTGGCGCAGCTTATATGAGTATGCCTGATGCTCCTGTTCGAGAAATCATGCGTGATATGATGGAAATGACAAGAGGTGTTCAACATCCTATCCGTGGCTTATTCTTGAGATATTATCTTAGCAGTATGACTCGTGATTACTTGCCTGTAGGAGAAGGATCAGGGTAAGAGGTTGAATAATTTGATATTTAACTCTAATCATTTGCTAAATTTTAGACCTGAAGGAAACATTTATGAGTCCATCAACTTTATCTTGACCAACTTTACAGAAATGAACAAGCTTTGGGTTCGTTTGCAGCATCAGGGCCACTCAAGAGACCGTGAAAAGCGTGAAGCTGAGCGTAAAGAATTGCGTATCTTGGTTGGTACCAACTTGGTCAGGCTCAGTCAGCTGGATGGTGTTGATCTTAAAATGTATCAAAAGGTAAAAGGGTATATAAAAGGCATGAGACAGTCAGTGTAAACTTATCTCTTTCATAGGATATTCTTCCGGGTATCTTGGATCAAGTTGTTAGCTGTCGAGATGTTATTGCTCAAGAGTACCTCATGGAAATAATTACCCAAGTATTCCCTGATGATTTTCATCTTCGAACCCTTCAACCTTTCTTGTCAGCAACTGCCCAGTTACATCCAAAAGTAAATGTAAAGCAAATCATTATTGCACTCATCGATCGATTGGCTGCCTATGCCGCTCGGGAAGCAGAAGGCGAAGAGCCCAGTGAGACGAAAAAGCAAAGAGAAGAGAATATTCGTCGTATTGCCGACATTAGAAAGCGAAAGTTACAAGGTCTTCCAGTAGAAGAGGAAGAGCCTCAGGAAAACGAACCAGTTGAAGAAAAGAAAGAAGCAGAGGAAAATGTCGAAAATGAAGAAACATCAGAGACTTTGGCTGACGATGAAGAGGTGACTGAAACAAATGATGAAGACAACGCAGATGACGACAAAGCAGATGAGGAACAAGAGCAAAAGGAAGATGAAAAGGAAGAGGATAGTAAAGTTAGTCCACCAGAAGAAGAAGAAAGTCAGGCTGTGGATAATGATGATACCAATGTTCGAAAAATCCGCGGTATTCCTGAAGATGTTGAACTCTTTGTCGTCTTTTGGGGTCAGATCGTCGAACTTGTCAAGGCTCGTCCTGATTTGACTGTACAGGATTTAACTGCATTGCTGGTCTCACTCATCAATCTTTCTCTATCCTGCTATCCTGAAAAATTGGACTATGTCGATCAAATTCTTGCCTTTGCAAAAGACAAAGTGCTTGAATTATCTGATTTACCTGACCTTCATTCCAAGGCCACTGAATCCAATCTTTTATCCTTATTACTGGCTCCTATTCAACATTACAGCTCTGTCATCACCCTGTTAGCTTTGGCCAGTTATCAACCTTTGCTCGCACTTCAACCTTACAGCACACGTCAGTCGATTGCTTATGCTATTGTGCAGAGTGTTTTGAAGAACTCGACGATTATTGACATACCTGAAGATGTCCATGGTATTCTCGATCTCTGTGATGTTCTCTTACGTGATCAAAAGGATGCTCCCGTTTCTGCTGCTACACTGCAGCCTGCATATGGTAGCCGTCAAAAGCAGCATGACCTGAGTTTTGATCAAGAAGAGTACGTTGAAAAGCAAGGCTTGCTGGCAAGAATGATTCATATGTTCAGATCTGACGACGAAGATACGCAATTCTTGGTAACAAATGTTTTACACTTGTATCACCAAAGCCTAATCCCTTTTTGTTTTGTTTTTAGTTATTGTCTGCAGCACGAAAGCAGTTTGGTGATGGTGGTGATAGGATCCGCTATACCTTCCCCTCTTTGGTTATATCTGCAGTAAAACTTGCTAGAAGATACCGAGTGCAAGAAGTACAAGACGAGATCTGGGAGAAGAAGACTTCCGCATTGTTCCGATTTATTCATCAAGTTATTTCAGCCTTGTACCATAAATGCGAATGTGCAGAAACCTGTCTTCATCTGTTCTTATTGGCTGGACAGAGTGCGGATGAATGCGGTTTCGAAGAGATTGCATATGAATACTTTGTGGAAGCATTCACAATCTACGAAGAAAGCATTTCGGAATCACGCGCTCAATTCCAGGCAATTACCTGTATTATCGGTGCCCTTCAGCAAACACGCGTTTTCTCTCTAGACAACTATGATACCTTAATCACAAAAGCGGCCCTTCACAGTTCCAAGTTGTTAAAGAAACCCGATCAATGCCGAGGTGTCTATTTATCTTCTCATCTTTGGTGGGCTACAGATCGTTCTGCAGATGGTACTGAAAATGAAAAGGAACTCTTCAGGGACGGAAAACGCGCATTAGAATGTCTTCAAAAGGCACTCAAGATTGCTGATAGCTGCATGGACCCCGTGACAAACGTGGAACTGTTTGTTGAAATACTGAACAGATATATTTACTATTTTGAAAAAGGAAATGAAGCAGTGACTGTAAAATATCTTAATGGACTCATTGACTTGATCAATACCAACCTTAGCAACATGGATAGCCCAGATCAACATCCTCCTACATCCAACTCTTCTTCATTAGTAGACCATCATCAAGGCTCTGTATCTGACTACGTTCGCCGTCACTTCCGTGCGACACTGCTGCATTTACAAAACCGTAAAGAACAATCAGGTCATAGTGACTGGAATGGACCAAAATACGACGAACTGGATTTAGGAGACATTTAAATCATGCAATGATATCATCATAAATAAATAAATTATATGTATAAAAAGGGTGTCTGATTTCAAAGGAAAAAAAAAAAAAAAGAAAAACCAGCCAATAAGAACGCTTTTAAATTGTATAAAAAAAGATGAAATTGTATCTATTTATTCTTTTAAACTTGATTCCACTTGCATTAACCATGAGAGCCTACGTTTATGACGACAAGAGCAACGCTGACCAAAGAGCTCCTCATGACACTGGCATAAAAAAGACACAAGACGACCTTGCAAAGATTGGTATCTTGTATTGGAGAATTGACGGACCTGATTCACTTGATAGATTAGACGAAATTGCAAAGAGAAGACACTATAAGCACAGAGATACTGTAAGTTATATATATATACAAGTGCCTTATTCTTAAACTAATTAACATGCTCAGATCGAGGTTTCTCCTTCTGCTTTTGGTTCTCTTTATGAAGAAAAGCTCAAGCAATTCTTTAGCGAGTAAGTAGTGGAGTGTATAAAAATATATAAAGTGTAAACCAACCCCTTTTATTACAAGACATCTTCATGAAGACGAAGAAATCCGATACATCTTGGATGGCTCAGGTTATTTTGATGTTCGTGACGAAGAGGATGTTTGGATCAGAATTGCCATGGAAAAGGGCGACATGATTATTTTGGTAAGTGTTTGTGTGTAATGGGGTAACATGCGGGATGACTAATACAAACATTAGCCACCTGGTATCTATCACCGTTTTACTACCGATGAAAATGATTTTATTCAAGCATTGAGATTATTTAAAGATGATCCTGTTTGGACACCCATTAACCGTAAGTGGGAACTATTTTACTTTGTATTATTGATATTGAATATCCTTTGATAGGTCCACTTGCTGACGATAACAAATACCGCGTAGAATATCTCAAGACATACAACATTACTGCCTAAATAATTTATTCTAGAGATCACGCTTTACTGCAGGTCAATATATAAATTTATGACATGTATAAAAGTGTCTCCCAAATAAAAAGAGATTTCTATTTGAACCCGGGAATAATCTAGTCAATATCATTATCTAACGTAAGCCAAAATAACAACAAAAAAAAGAGGTGCAAGATGGCCTTTATTTAATAAAGAAATGAGCTTATTTAGACATCTATTATAAAAATAACACGTTAGCAAAAATAGACAAACTTAGTTTGTTACTGTTACCATCATCTTGACAAATTCTTGATAGTTAATTTGACCATCACCGTCTACATCAGCTTCACGAATCATTTCATCAACTTCTTCTTCAGTCATTTTTTCACCAAGAGAAGTCATGACGTGACGTAACTCGGCAGCAGAGATGTATCCATTACCATCCTTATCAAACACTTTGAAGGCTTCTTCAATTTCCTCTTGAGAGTCAGCGTCCTTCATTTTTCTAAACAAGAATCAATATTCGCTCTCTCTCTTCCTTACTTTGATTATCATACCTTCCCATCATGGTCAAGAATTCAGAGAAATCAACAAGGCCATTACCATCACTGTCAACTTCATTGATCTTTTTGAACCAAATGTAAATAAGATTATTTGAGGTAAAGGCAATATATTATTTTACCATATCTTGAAGCTCAGCTTCGGTAGGATTCAGGTTTAAGGAACGCATGATGGTGCCAAGCTCTTTTGTAGATATAGAACCATCTTGGTCTTTGTCAAAGAGGCTTACATTTATAAAGTTATTTTTATTTTATTTTTTTTCGTTTCAAGATGAAACTTACTTGAAGGCTTCACGGAATTCAGCAATTTGTTCTTGGGTGAGTTGATCAGCCTAAGTCACACGAATTAACAAGGAATAAAGGCAAAGAAAAAAAAAACTTGTTTGCGTGTAGTTACCATTACGTTATTATTTTATAAGAAAGAAACAAGAGAAAAAAGAAAACTGTCTTGTTTCCCTTTGCTTACTTTACGCGTGACTCAGCCCATTGGTGTAGCACAAAATTAGTTTACTTGTGACTCTCTGAAAACGCCTCCTCTTCTCTTTCTTAAACACTTTAAATTGATGATCAATCATAATAACAAGTCTCTAAACATACACACGCGATTCTTTTTTTTTTGGGCTATTAAAAAAAAGGGGGGCAAAAGAATATCTATTCCAATTTTCCTAATTCGGGCTTGTCATCTTCTTCTACTAACAGCGGACTATCAATGACAGCAAAACCAGCTGCCACACCACCTTCTTTTGTCGTGATGGCTTTGGTACGTAATAAGTGGCCACCGGGATAGTTGACAATTTCTTGTTGACCATCACTATGAGGAAATAAGTTAAGCTGTACTTCAAGTTGACTTTGAAACTTACTGTAAATAAATACCATAGATACCCAGCTCACTGATAACTTCACCATCAATCACTTCTCCTTCACGTATCATCAAGTTCTCAAGAGATGGGCTGCGGATCAGGTCCATCAAGATGTACGCGCTCCTTTCCTTTGAGGTCAACTTTTTTAAGGTTTCGCGAATATCTTGACCATAAATGTTATTACCACCTCCTTCTCTTTGAGGCTTCATCACAAGATCATCATATCTCTTTAATGCCATCTCATAAGCAGCAATACCTTCAGGGCTATCATCCAAAGGATATAAACCTGCAAAGGATGTACGCATGTCGTCTGCCGTTTCTTTTGTAACATATCGTTCTAGACAACCAGGAGTAGATAATATCTGCTGTATCTTTTTAGAACCAACTAGTTGATATGCTATGGTTGGACACTTGATAGATAATGATCTTTCTATCAATAGTCTTGCATCCCATTGCTGTCATTTTAGCATGAATATCAGTACTTGTGTCACTAGTAGCTTATATTTCAAATTTACCTTTTGTGTGGGGTAATCTTCAGGGCCATAGCCAGCACGGAAATAAGTTACAGCTACTTCATAATCATCACTAAGGGGTATGTTTGAGTTAGTGATAGGAGTAACGAACCAAAGTGTATCAATTACATAACCAGTCCCTTATTTTTAGGAGAAAGCGTTGCTCTAGAATAAATATCCTCAAGGGTTAGACGCATTAGGGAAATGCCATGTCTATGATGTAAATGTAAGATTGTATATAATTGCTATATCTTTTTGAAGCCTACTTTTCTTGTAATATATATTCAATCCATCGTTGATCAAATGCATTTCGTTCTCCTGGTTGCACAACCATCACAATACGCGCGCTATTTATATGTTATATAAGCACGATATGTGTATAGACTGCTTTTTAACTGTACCTTGGGTTTCCATAATGCTTCCATGCACTGGCCAATCCATCGGCAATATATTCGACAGCATTATTTTCAGGTAATTGGTCCATTTTGATTGCATTTCCTGCATATGCCTTTACAGTGGATAATAGGAAACTTTAGATACAGGTTAAAAACTATCTCTCTCTCTAAACTAGGGCTCTCCTTACCGATGAAGCTGACTTGTTCTGGTGCTAAGACTCATAAAGCTAGATGAGATGGTATTAAATTCAACTTGTTGAATTCGTGCTGTTGATGCATCAGCGCCTGGGTCGGCATGTAATAAATAATCATTGCGGTGAATTCCAAGACTAGCAGGCTATTGTTCTGTAGGTGTTAATTGATTCATAGATAAAAATGTTCATAAGACTTGCCTGTGTAATCCCTTCTGACTTTACAGTCTTGTAAATATCATAAAGATGATGAGTAAACTCATCGAGATCGGCAAGACTATCAATAGAAAAAGTTAACAAAAACAATAAGCTATAAGCATAATACATACTTGGCCATTGTATCATGTATCAAGTTATCATCTTGGCTCAACTTATGAATTAATGTATTCCAAGGCTGTTGTAAAGCCTTTGCCTTTTCAAACTCTTTACGAGGGAAAGGGGTAGGATATAGGGTGAAGGGAGCGTGTATGACGGCCGCGTTATTTTTATGCACTGTCTTCTCCAAAGATGGCCGTATAACGAGACCGTGAGCTAAAGCCCAATCGATTGCTGACAGCAATACTTTATCAAGTGCTTCTGTAGATAGTTTGGGTGGATACATTTGTATTATGAAAAGAAAACGAAAAAATGTTGCTGAATAATCAGTCTGTTTATAATCTGTGCGTTACTGCTCTTTTAACAACGAACCACCAATGATAATTTAGGTAATTGTTCCTTATGATGGTGTCAAAAGCCTCAGCTGCTGTCGGTATTTAAATATTTCCTTGATATAATTTAATCTTGACAAATGACAAAGAATATCAAGCGCACATTTGAATTGTCAATATTTAATACAAGCTTTAATGTTTTTCTTTATTTCTAATGGTCTCTGTTTCAGAGATTGTATATCTAGAGAGAAAAGCAATCAGTATGAATTCAAGTAAGCTGAAGGTGGTACGAGAATCCTTTCTGTTACATATTAGGCGGGATTGCTGACAAACTGCCTCAACTCTGTCCCACATACTTTAAGAGTGATATGCATTAATATCTTCTCTGTTGATGCATTCTTTAAGACGTAAAACCAGTGTCCTATTTACTAATGTTTGATCTAACTTTGACCTTTTCAATCCCGTTGTAAAACCTTTTTTTTTCCCTCCCTACTGTCTTCTTCAGTTGCCTTATACACCATTCATATTAGATCATTATTTCTCAGCCTCTCTCTTCTAAAGAGATGTTTTCCATATATTCACTTTTAAACAACAAAAGAGGGAGTCGTTGTCGTTTTAGGAATCTTAAACTTCCATTTTACGAAAATACTCAATATTTCATTGTTCCAATATTATTTTACGACATCCCCTTATTTAAATTTACATGAAGTTTAAATTCGAATTAAATGAATTATATCAACTTTACTAGCCCTCATTTTCTTTTAGGGGAGAATAATCGTTCATTTAAAGACATTTAAAAGAATAGATAATGGTTAATCTTCAATTGAGAAAAAAAAAGGCATTCATACTTCTTTTTTTCTCTTCGACTTTACCAAGGATGTAGTGACTTGCTGATAAAGGTTTTTGTTGATTTATTCTAATTTAATACCTTGTCGATCTCATTTTCTTTAAAGGGGACATTGTTTTAAAAACGGTAATGTGATGAATTCTCAAAAGCTTAAATCGCCTGATATTTTCAAGTATTCTTTTATTCCCCCTTAAGAAACCTGTTTACTGTATGTTGCTTTAAAGGGAATTCAAGGAGCTTTTGTCATAATCCAGAAGAATAAACCTGTAAGCAAGTATTCTGCCACTTCTTACTTTCCCCCCTTATGAAATTAAATAAAGTTATCAATCACGGGTTGAAATGTTAACAAATATTCTAAATATTTAAAGTGCAATGTATTAACACAATCTTAAGTAGTAAAGAAAATGTTTGATTTATACTCATGGGTTACAATGAACGCAGGGGCGCTATATTCTAACTACGTTTTTAGTTTCTCTTTAACAATCAATTCAACGCCACTTGGCTATAGGGAGCCTAGAAACTGAATGAATTTCTGATTCCGCGCCAAGCACACAAAACTCCTTTCGAAGGTACAAGTGATCAATTGAGTCAAGAGCGGCGGCAGACTCCCTTTATAGGGGTCAAAGCGTGACCCCACACTACCTTAAAAGAAAGAAAGAAAAGGAAGGGTTGGGATAGCATATTACCTCAGTATAATAGCATTGTAGGTTTTGTGGTATATTACACGCCATCCCTTTTTAAGCCGATATTTAGTTATCTTGTCTAAAATGCAGAGTTGGAATGTCAGCTCAAACAGGGTCGCTCTTTAAAAGGTGTACGTAAAGTAATATGTATAACCAAGGTAAGAGTATTTGGCTTTTAAAGAAAGGGAGATCATAAACAAAAGTTGTACTCTGTACTCGCTCTGTAATATCACTGTTTTGTTAGGCATATCATAAAAGAGTATCAGAGTACCTTTGCGAGCTATGCTCATGCGCATACCAATAATTGATATGTTTAATACCTCTTTTCTGCAATTAGTGCAGGATATGTTAAAATTCACAGACATATATCACATGGCCATTGAGTAATTATATACAACTGTAGTTCTTTGATTGAACCACAAGAAGATAGAGAAAGACATCGATTTAACTACACATTCAAACTGATCGATACTCAAACAAAGACATTCCTGAGTCATAAACAAATTATTTGCTAATAAACAAGCACGCATAACAATTTATTTATTTATTTTCGAAATAGCTGCAATGCGCATCATATCAAAAAGAAAAAGGACGTCAGCCAATGATCAATTTGATCAACAACACGACGCTTCACAGCTTTAACATCTGAAACATTGTAGGCGATCACGTATTTAATAAATATGTCAACGCACCAAGGGGGAGAAATCGCTGCAAGGAGGTCAAGACGACGTATCAAAGGAACCCAAGGACGCTTTTACACTTAAATTGAATGCAGTTGGAAAACTGAACACAGCTTCTTTATCCATAAATAAGCCAAGATGTATAATACACTTTTTTAACCCCATTACCCCCTCTGGCTGCTGCTGACGATTGCAGAAAATTCTCTGGAATGTCTTGTCAATTGAGTCATATCTTGATTTAAAATGGACAACAGCTTCCAAACGTACAAAAAAAGAAAAAGAAAAAGTTAGAGATACTATGTGCACTACTTTCACCTTATTGCACAGATTATCAATGTTATGTCACTCTGTCAACAGACTCTTGTAGGCTATTTCAACACTCTTTTTACCTGAAAATACGACAACTTGTCTCATTCCAGATGTTCAAAAGCCTTGCATTGGATCAGTGCATTGTGTCTGTGTTTCACAAGAATTGTAGATAGCTTGACAGATACCTTTATTGAATTGCCTAATAGCCCAATTGTTTTGGCTAGGTATGTCATTGATGTGAGGAGTTAACATAATCCTCAGAAAAATTCTTTGCATATCTCTTAAATGTTTGGCAATCCTGTAGAATAAGGTTATTTTCTTACGACCATATTTAGCATAGGTTTGGGCCCTGAAGCTAAAAGAACAACGAAATGCAGGTTTGAAAGCTATCCTGTCTCTCATAATTTGGACACTTCAAACATTTGCAAACGCAAATACTCAATCTCGCCCTGTGTTAATAGACTACTCGTATAGAAGTGTTCATCATTGCGGTGTGTGTGTAACGTGTACATTCGCGAAATAGCATTGATTTTCATTGGGTAGCAACATTGCCTTTTGGAAACACTGTAAATGCTATATAAAAAAAGAGGGAAAAGGAGAGAGAGAAAGAAAGAGAAAGAGAGAGAGAGAGAGGGGTGGAAAGGGGGAAGAATAGTAAAAGATTAGGGAGTCGGTAAACTACTATATTGGAAGAAGGTAGATCCATAGAGGATAAGGGGGATAAAAGAAAGAGAGAAAAAAGGGGGGCTAAAAAGGGTATTATTGTCTATAAACATAAAAAACGTGAATGAAATGACGAAGGGGGAGTATAAGATTTAAGGAGGTTAAGTCTTCAAATTAGAGTTTAGGGAGATCAAGTTTTTTTTATATAATTTCTTTATAAGATTTGTTTAGAATTTATCTCATGCAAAAGCAGTTGAATAGAAAGAAAGAAAAAAAAAAAAAAAAAAACTTTCAATATAACCATAAAAGGGCTGTTTCTATTAAAATAATCTTTATTTAATAAAGCATCTTTCAGCTTTTTGTTTCCCCTTTTTCTTTTTATATTTTCAATGAATTCAACAAACAATTACTGTATGGATATAAGAAGATGCCCTCCTTCGTCAAATATTAATTCCCATTCAGATTCAGTCCTTTCACCGCCTCTCACTCCTGCGCTCTCTCAACAACATCCATTTGATAAAAGGCATTCAACTGACCTCAGTTATTCTTATAGATATTCAATAGATTATCATCATTGGATAAATCATCCTTCAATGCAACATCAAAATATGAATCAACAACAGCAGCAACAGGAGCAAGATCAACAGCCAAGGGTTGTTACTACTAGAAAACAACCCACCAAACAGAATAAACATGCATGTACTTATCCTGATTGTTCTTGGAGCTTTAAAAGATATGAACATCTCAAAAGACACATGTTGGTTCATACGGGTGAAAGACCTCATTTATGTCCTTATCCTGGATGCGGGAAACGATTTAGTCGATCTGATAATTTTCATGCGCATTATCGTACTCATGAAAAGAAGGCGTTCAAGCAAAAGCAAGATATTTTAATCAAGGAAGAAAGAATGCCTGTTCAGCAAGGTATAAACATTTTGCCACAGCAAGATCAACACTATTATGGTAATTACCCTCTTCTCCCTACCCCTTCACCACCCAAGCAACAGGTCAACTTTGTCTATAATAACAGCAATAATAACAACAGTATTAATAATCAGTGTGAAGAAGAGGCCAGAAAACCTCATGCATGTGATCATCCAAATTGCGATAGAAGATTTCGTCGATTAGAGCATCTCAAAAGACATATGAGAATCCATACCCATGAACAGCCATTTAAATGTACTTTTCCTGGCTGCTTTAAAGCATTTTCAAGATCTGATAATTTAACCCAGCATAAAAAGACACACGAAAGACGAGGCTCAAAATATACAGAAACATCCGCTCCACAGTTTATGCATCCTGAACCATTTACATTGGTTGAATTTGTTCGTGATAATCACACAAAATCTACAAACTCTTCTAATTCATCGCTCTTTGGTTGGCAGCATCCTGGCGATACTTCAATCAGCTCACATTCCCCTCCTCCTCCTCCTGCTTCTCCTGCTCATCCTGCTCATCCTCATCATCATCACCATCATCACCACCACCATCACCACCATCACCATGGTGACAATACCAATACAAGTACTACTACTACTAAAGAAAATACTAATTCTACTGAATCTGTTCATTGTTGATTTCTCTTTTCTTTTTTTCTTTATTTTGAACATTAACCATCATAATAATATAATAAAAAGACGTTCTCTTCATTCTCGGGGTATTTCTCTTGCTTAATCAGCCATACTTCCATCTCTGGGTTTATATGGAATACCACGCCTTGCTAAATCATCTTCTACATCCTCTGGTATTCTTCCATACACACGAATTGCATATAATCCTCTTGTAAATTTATCTGCATATGATGATAATATTTAATCCTGTTTGTTTTTTTTTTTTTTTTTTTTTTTTATTTTTCGAATGTTTGGTAAATACCTATGCGTTGCCACCTGCCAACCCAACTTTCTTTTGGGTTCATCATGGCTATGAAACTATAGAAATATAGAAATATAAAAATCATGCATATAGATAAATATTATTATCCTACCCTTCAAACTTGGAGCTTGTACATTCTATAACACGATCCATACTTCCTCTCATCTGCAGTATTTCGTCACAGTTTTCACAACCATTGGCTCTAAATTGAGATGCATTCTATAATTACATGTTTTCATTGGTTGATTTAGAAATAAATCCAAATAATCTTGTATTCTTTATAAACCTTTATAAGTGAACATAATAAGCAAGCACGAAGCTGCTTTTTGTCGATTGGCAAAACTTGTGACATGATTAGATTATAGGAAAAGGTAAGTCTTTTCACTTTTTTATAGTCATCGAAACCAAGTCACACTCAAGACGCATAAATAAACTCCCCCCTTTATTGTTCACTAAGTTTGATATTAGAAAATGGTTGTATGAAATCCTTTGTTTTGTATGCCCAAGCTATGCAATAATGTGCAGAAAGCATTCGCCATTCTTCCAATTCGTCCAAGATTTCTATTTTCGCAATTCTGTAAAGTAGTTTTATATTTAACTCTATTTGTATACATTTGAAGAACATACCTGGTGAGCTCTTCTTTACTTATACATTTATCATGTACAGTATTGATATCAATTGCGGTGGCGTCTTGCCATCCATAATCTATAAACCTCCTCTTCTGGTCCTCCAGTTCGGGAAACTGATAGATACCTTTCAAGTCAATATCTCTGCTCTTTAGATTCTTTATCATCATTTTGCCAAACGCATCATCAGGCTTAATTTGCTCATATAACACAAACATCACATTGATCATATTATCTGTAATCCATCTGAGAATGTTGTCTGAATCTTCAGGGTCCAAATAGATAAACACACATTCAGATATAAAAAGTGTTGGGGCACTGCATAAATAATATAAATAAAGTTTAATGATCACATCTTTTATGTATATATACCTAAGGTCTAGTCCAGATTCTATCAAACGCTGAGATACCGCAGACCAATCTCTGAGATCTCCACTTAACAAGCAATAGTCTTTACTCTTCAAGTCCATACCGCCTTTTTCAATCTTGATGTTGCCTTCAGAATCAATGAGCTTATGTAGATTAGCATGTCTTTTGATCGTCATTGCTTTCTTTGTTGTTGTTTGTCCAAAATCGATCTCAAAATAGCAGGATAAGTTGTCAATAAGGTCAACATTACTGGCCTTTAAGTTTCTAGACTAAAAAATACATATAATAATGATGAGAAATCAAAGTTCATACAATTGTGCTGTTATTACTTTTAGGTTGAAGTAGCGTGTGTCAAATCCAGCTCCTAAAGAGACAATTTGTTTCTTTGGCCCTGGAGAAGCCAGGAACTGACAGACAAGTGAATCCAAAGCATAGTTACGAATGAATGTACCTTGATTCTTTTAATAAAGGGTCATTTTATTGATTGTTAAAAGACTCACCTCTGTTGATGATGGGTGAACGTCTGATGGGTCTCTTCACAAACAACCTTACAAAAGGGTCTTGTAAATATTGAAGAGCCGCTGCTGACCTAATAAACGAGTCAGCTCATGTATTGCATAAAATAGAATAATTACTGTCGACTGATGGTAGCATCGTCATTGGTTCCTCTGACAATATCATCTTGACAATCCTCTTGGTTTATGCTGTACATGGTTTATATATTTTAAATTGAAAAATATGTCCCCTCTTCATATACCGCGCACTGGACTAGGGGGAGGGAAAAATAAAAAATAAAAGCCACCTCTTATGCCCATTTGGATACATTTTGGATCATGTTTAGAACCAGTCAAAAGAAGTTGTCACCTGCCATTCTAAAGGGTCTTTGTCGTTTCTCAACTTTCCAAGAAGGAGACTTTTGTATACTACGTAATGTGAAAAATAACAAGATCTTTTTCACGGGTCCACTTTGCTCTAATGGACAAAGAGGAGTTGCAGACGGAAGTATAAGCCATGAAAGTATTATTGGTAAAAAGCCAAGATCACGTATAGTCGTAGACAAAGGTAATTTATTTTGAAGCTTAAGAGGTTGACTAAAAACAAGATAAAAAAAAAACTAGGTTCTACAGTGTACATGGCACATTTTCCAACTTTACAAGAGTAAAAAAAAAAAAAAAAAAAAAAAAAAAAAAAAATACATATATTAAAAACCATATTTAGATACGTCTTGAACGTGCCTCGTAAATGCACACCCATTTACCCCAAAGATGCTAGCACTATTGTAAGTGCATCACCTATGAAATATCAATTGTATTTTTTTTAATAGAAGGTAGGTACACATGCTAGATGTTCAACCGGGTGATAAGGTTCTAGAGGCAGGTACAGGTAACGGATCACTTACGCTATATCTGGCCAAAGCCGTCTCTCATGAAGGAAAGGTGGACACATTTGACGTACGTCAAGAACACTCAAAGAATGCTCAGACACATGTTCAAAGATATTCTCGTGGAAAATATGCTTCAGTGGTTTCCTTTCATGTTGGTTCTCTGGGAGATAAACTACAGGAAATGATGGAGCCTAAAGAAGAGTATGATGCGATTGTACTTGATATGCCACAGCCAAGTGATGAAATCCCCAAGATATTACCCTATCTTAAAAATGATCGCTTTATTGTTTGTTATTTACCCAACATGACCCAAGTACTATCCTTGGTTGAATTCATACGGGATATGCCGCTCGTCTTAGAGGACTGCTTAGAAGTTGCTTGGAAAGAATGGGAAGTGAAGGCAACTTATATAAGAAGCTTATTGAATGAAGCCAATGAAAAACAAAATGATGAACCTGTCAAGCCTCACACTTGGATATGTCGACCCAAGAACTGGGATGTGAAGGGTCATACAGCATTTCTTGTAAAACTAAGAAAAGCTGCTCCTGTGCAGGATAGCATTGTTTCATAACACTTTGTGGATAAACAAACAATAAAACTGATTTATTTACCGTGGTATAAGATAAACAATACTTGTACTTTTGTTTCTCTATGAATATTAGCTGCTTAAATAAACTCCAAATCAACCAACAGTCGTGATTATTTCTATGATGCCATAAAGACTAGACGCTGTGCCATGAGTCGCTGTCAGAATCATCACTTGCCTGGCCTACATGCTGATCCAAAGAGACAGTATGATGGCCATCGACCACAAGCTCGGCTATATCTTGTTTTGAAGGCGGTGTCGTCTTGGATTCGGAACTTATTTCTAACAGTTTCTAAATAGATTATTAAGTTTCCAACATGTGGTGATATTTTCTTGTTTGGATGTCTATTACTATTTGTTTGTTATCATTATCCAGTAAGCATCCTTTTGCTGCTTTATCTCTCAATTGATCCCATAGCATTGCTCTATCATTGACCTTTTCTTTTGATTCCCTATGTCAGATATTTTAGTTTCTCCCCTGTTCTTGTTCAATATCTCATAAACTCACTCTTCATCCTTATATTTCTCTGCATATTCATCAAAAAGGCTTGAATTGATCTTCATCAATAACTGTAATGCATTGTAAGCAAGTCCATGTATCGTCTTGTTCCAGTGCTCCTTTGAGTACTTGTATAAATGTGGAAAGACAATAGGCATAAGGACTTCAATATGATCGCTGAGTACATGAATAACATTGTCGTAATTAAAAAAGTGCAGAGCCCGCTCTGCTACCTACAAAACAAGAGTCAACCTTTGAAGTCATTTAGTTTATCTTACATACCTGAAAATGAGGGCTACAGATGCATTGAGCTAGTTTCTGAAAGAAAGGAATCATGAATAATTCCAGGTCTGAGGCATCAATAACATCCAAAATCTCTTCTATCTCTGTTAAAAAGATGACTTCCTTTATACTATTTACTTTCGGCCAATATCGCATCAGACCTTTGATAACATCGGTAATAAGCTCTGGATCCTTTTCTATGAATTGTACAACACAGTAGGTTAATTGTGGACTATAGGCTGGTAAAGAAGCAGGCTTATGCAAAGGTATAAGTACTCGGAAAAGAAAAGTTTTATGCTCCTTCTTTAACGGTAAGGCAAAGCCGTTGATAATACTAGCAAAGATGGATGAGTCTTGTATGATAATAGAGCAATAGGTGTTACCTTCCAAGTATCTCTAGTAATTCAGCAATGCCGTTAAAACGTTCTGTTTCATATATGAATTGAAAGAATATATTGTGGATTGATCTACGAATAAAGGCTCGTAGGTTTAAGAATTTGCCATATATTCTGTGCAGTATTGTCTTTAAAAAGTCTCTTTCTCGTGGATCTTCGCTATCAAATAGCTCCAGTAGCTAATATTTGATCAGTAAGAGCAACAGAGTACCGTTGTTATTGTTATACCTGGAGAACAAACTTTTGATCAATGTGCTTTCTAGCAACTTGAGGATTAAACTCTGGTGATTCAACAAAGCGAAGGAACAACTCATAGACTAGTTGGAGATGTGGCCAAGCTGTTTCAAGCGCAGGCTCTTCCTCATCAGGCTCATAGACCTCATTTGCTGGCACTGTCTGAGGCGATATCGTACGGAAAGTATTTACGCTAAACTGTATATTGTTAATTCCTTTTTTTTTTTAAAAAAAAAAAAGCATTATAGCAATGATACCATTTTAACAATCTCTGGATAGATAACATCAGTGATAGCACCTTTAGTTGTTGCCACATATTCCAGCATTTCTTGTAGCTCTTGTCTTTTGATATCTTTGTTTTTTAAATCAGACGAAGGATCAGTAAAGTCAAATAAGGTTTGACATTGAATCAATTTTTTGATGAATAGTTCTTGCCTCCTTGACGACGGGACTTCTGCATAATAAAAAATAGACTATATGTCAGAAAGCATTATTCTCTCTTTAAAGAAATAAATCAAACCATGAAAATTGGGAGACTTTTCCAAATCTGTCTTTCTTTGAAGAGGATATACTCTGGAAGATCGTTGTCTACGAGGCCCAGTCGTGTTAGGAGGAATCGTATCTTTAGGAGTCTCCCTTAACAGCTGTTTAGTTACTTCTGCTGAACGTCCAAGCCGAGGTATAAGCTTTTGAAAGGGTAATTTAGTAATATTACAAATAGAGTATTATTTGACACATACATCGCTATTTGACGAAGGTTCTGTAGTTACTGCACTCTGGGTTGACTCCTGTTGTACTTGTCGAGATTTATTGTGTGATTGCGATCTATTATTAATCTGTCGATTAGAAGCTTTATTTTCTTTATGTTGCGATCTGCTTCTGGAAAGCTATGAGAGAGTAGTTAATGAATGAATAGAGTACAAAGCTTAATATATAAACATACGACACCCCTCAATCCCTTCATCATTTTGTCTGAAAGAAAATAAAAAATGGAAAAAAAGAAAATAATTTCAAGCAACGGAGTGCAACCAAATGGGTGTCTCAAAATGACGTACAAGTTTTGTAAAACCATCAATATCTTTATGCATCTGTTTATGAAACCATTGGAAGAACTGTCTATCTTATTGTCTTCCTTATGTCCTTTATTAAAATGAGATGGCGTCAATTATACTTGTTTGTTACTACGTCGTCATTTTTCAGCTTATTGCCCAATCATTCATTATGCTTAACTTGTGCTTTTACAGCCATTGTAGCACTTCATCTCTTTGTATTTACACAAAGTCATTTCAGAAAATATATTCGCTTTTTTAGAAACTTGGTGTGGCTCAAAAAATAATGTCACTTGATGCAGATATAAAAATAAGCCTTGGAGTAACCTGAGTCATTTATACAAGCACCATGTAATGAAGGAATTTATTTTGGAATTTATTTTAAAGTGTTTGTATCTTTTATTATCAGCTTGCAAAACACAGACAAGATATCGATGGTCAGCAGAGAATCACGCCTCCAAGATGAGCAAATGGCATTCTCCCGCGTCAAGGCACACATTGAATCAGGTCTTTTTGAGGCGCGTAAAGTTTGTACAGTATGCTGGGCAGTTCCAGAATGGACATTGGGAATTGCACACGAGCCAATTCAGCCATCGTGTACAATCCGTCAGCTTTCAACTGGATTGCATAGAATGCCATGAAGGGTGCTAGCAAATAAAATACATTCAGTACAACTCTTACTTTTTTTTTCCAGTAAGAACTAACAACATGCACACTCAAGTTGCTTCTTAAGCTATGCCTATCCATTGCATTTTTCCCAAACAGAGCAAGCCTCACAAGGCCCCAGTTGACCAAGAAATGGTTTTCTGACATGGAAAACCGCTTCACCTCATGTTATCCAACATTCACATCGCCATTGGTTCGGGGTGGGAATACGGTGATGGTGAAGTCCGGGCAATCATTGGAGCTTCATGGTCGTTTGTTGATGTACGCAGGGTCAGTTGGCGTGAACTCCAGCCGTGTTCTTTTATCATCGTCGACAAACAATGATTGAAGAGCTAGTCAAATGTATCGCGTTATGACTGTCATTTCTGACACGTCATCCAGAGTTGCATCCAGATGAAGACTCTGCAACAGCTGCGATGACGATACAGCAAGTTTCTTTTGCCCATTACATCATCCATGGTGTTTGTCAACGCAAGTATTGAAGCAGCCCCATGAGCACGTTCAGTGTTTCTTTCATAAACGCTTTTCGCAACGTCGATTATGTTAAGAAGCGCCTCTCCTGGAAATTTGGAAGCAGCGTTCCAATCTTGAAGGTTATTCTTTCAAATGTTTTCATACAAATGAAAATTGATAAAAGGAGTCATTACTGCATGAATTCTGTTGTTATTCTGCAGCAAGAAGATCGATGATAGAGAGAGAATCAGATGAACATCGGATTTCAAGGCAAAGTTTTTGTTCTTGACAATGTCAAAGAGATATTTCTGGAATTGATAGAATTTTGCAGACACTACTGGATATGCTGTCAACAAAAAGCATTAATGTGTGGCATCACGCTAAACTTACTTATGAATGGATGTAGAATACCAATCTATAAAGTCGCCAACTTGGTTTATGTTTCTTTTCAAGGAAGAAAGAGATAAAAAGAAATTTATTTTCTATTCTAATTTTATGCCGTCAGTTTGAACGACAAATAACCAAAATCAGTCACGTGAAATTATGATGGCATCGTATTTTATACCAGAGAGAGGGAACTGGACATCCTTTCGTGTATAGAAGAAGAAGCACCCGTAGCATTAGCCTATTTCCTGGTGTTTGTACAGGATTTTAGTCTTAATTGATACGACTTGTAAATAAATTCGAGACACTATTTTTTTTTTTGGGACAATTTGAAAATAGAAAGTGGGACGGGTTACTTTTTTTTTTTGGGATTAAATGCAATAAGTTTTTAGACAATTTACATTTTTTTTTTT